AAATATTCCTCCTTGACGAATTCGACTCTTTTTAGCTTTATAATGTTTACTCAATGTCTCATTTGCTTTTGAAGAGTACAAATCTTAGTATTTATAAATGTTATCTTATAAGCTAATATCTCTATACCCTTAGTTAAAGCTGTAACTGTTTCAAATATAAGTATAGAAGAGCTTCCTTAATATTGTACAATTCGATTTTTAATTAAGATTGATTATGAAAAAGTATCGTTCAAGTTATAAGATATTTGAGAAACCCAAGGATCGAGTTCTACAAAGAAGGATCTGGTAAACATAAATATTCGTAATTTGATATTTAGCTTAGAAATAACAGCTTGAGAATCAAAGGGTATTAATCCAGTTTCACGAAATCCAGATAATCCATTTTGAACAGTTATTGATTGTAGGTATGCTGCTTTGAAGACTATAAGGAATTCGACCTTGGTGATATAATTGATATAAGCCTTAATATACTTTTCAATTTGTTGGCCATACATTTGTTTTAAAACACTAAAATATTCGATATCAAATGGTTAAGTAATATGCAAAGAATGACAAGATAATGAAAAAATTATAATATTGTGTTCTTTGCAATATTCTTGAAATACAATCGATTCGTAGCTTTTGTGTCCGTCTAATACTAGCATTCGATAACTACCTTGTTTTCGAGCAATAGTATACTTATCAAAGTGTTTAATCTACTCTAAACTTGTTTTATTGTTTGTCCATCCATTATTAGTGACTTTAATCACCCAATCAAGTGGGAGATCACTCTCAGTATACCAACTCGAAAAGTGATTTTTGTTCTTAATTATTAAAAATGGAGGTGTGACCAAAAGGGTATAAACAGGACTCCGATTGTGTACTTAGAATCTACAAGTGAAGAGCTATGTAGGATGCTAAAAGGAGGACTATATATACAGGTATTGGGAGCCATAAGGGCTAGGCCCAAAAGGGTGAAAGAGTCCTAGGCGTAAGATGCCTAGGTCTAGAGCTATAGAGCTAGGGCTCTAAGCTGTGAAAGGAAGGTCCAAAAGAGCCGTCATATCATACTATGTATATAGTATGAGCCAGTGGGCGGAAGAGAGCCGTCTGTTCTGTCACAGGAGGAATGCTTTTTTCTATATTATTGATATATACAATCGCTGTAGCCTATTCTCGATTACCTGGCTGTATTGCTTTGTTTCTGCTATGTTATTCAATATTAATTACAACCATCCCAAGGTATATAATATCTATCATAAAGCCTGTTTCATCGAAATTGTAGAAATCGCAATCGAGAATACTGTATTTCACCTGCATATTCAATACCAATCGAAACTATTCTTTAATAAGCTTTGGATCTTTGCAAAAAGCTCTTTGGAAATCATAAATGCGATTAAAATATATCTTTAATTCTGGCCAGTGTTATACAAATCGATGTGTTTAAAGCTTTCTAATATAGTATGCTCTACAAGTATCGAGAATATCATTCGCTATATCTTCCACATTACTTAATCGAGGGGCAAATCCTTGTATATCCATATCGAGGATATATTGAAGAATCATTTCTTTTTCTAATTTAGTTAATTTTTGAGTTGGTGATCGACATTCCTGTAATGGAGTTAAATTGTTCATTCGATTCCGAAATGTTGTTTCAGGGATATTGTAAAGTTTAGCAATACTCCAGTGACTCATTTTTTTTGATTTATTAATAACTTCAATAGCTAAGATAATCCGAGCTTCTTTTGAAGTATTATTCATTATTGATTGTTGATTAAACGCGTGTTGAATTGAAGAGTTGCAAAATAGTGAAAAAGTGCGCGAGGCACTGATATGCGCGACGCACTGATAAACCACGTTAGTAGTATAATTTTATAATTTTACTATTTATTAATATTATACAATTATTATAAATATTAAAACATTGAAATCGTCTAGATATAGTTTAGATCTATATTATAGTTTCGCACTAGTCTATATAAATCATATTATACTGACTTATCAATATTTACTATATTGAGAATGTCAATACAATTTTATTTTTTGGTCCCTCTATTTTAGCGTGCTTTGATTATAAGCTTATCCCTGCACCTGCACATGCCATTTTACCCCTCCATCCTCCACATCTTCAATTATCAAATCCACAACCAACCTCAACACCAACTACAACATCGTGAAGCAAATTATTTCACTGTCTGTATGTTCCTTCTTATTGATTAGGACATACCTTATCACAGTAACATCAATAATTATCTTGTACATCATCAACCAATTTACGATCTCCACAGCAACGGCAGCAGCAGCAGCGGCGCAAACGCACAAACCCGCCAAACCATCACGACCTTATTTCGCAGATCAAGAACTTATAGATTCAGTGGCATATTTGGCCGTGATTAGGTAACTCAAATTTCTATCTCAACTGTAATGGTAACAATCCCTTCAGATTTTGAATTTTGACCAAAGCTTACACATGACTAGGATCAGCGAACCGAAGGTCAGATCGAAGCCATGGCAAATAAGAATCAACCACCAAAAGTTTCGGATATCAGTACAGGTCAAAAAGCGTATGCCAAAGCTATGGAGAACGCAGGGACATGCCAATCAGCAGCCCTTGTATCTAAGAATGTTATTCAACGCCAAATTCTCCTCCAAGGACCCACAAAAACCCAACGCGAGGTACACTTGCCACAAGAAACCCTTCGCAGAATCTGCTCCTACATCGAACCAAATGAGCTTCCCAAAGTCAGACTCGTTTCTCGCGGTTATAGCCATGCAGCCGCAGTTCCCATGTTTAAAACCATGAGACTCACCTTCTTGCCAACCTCATTTAAACGTCTTTTGAATGTCGCGGAGAGCACCACACTTCAACACCACGTTTTGGAGCTCATATACGATTCTGAGTGGAACATTGATGAGCAAGGAAATAGTACTTTAGATTCTGTCATACACCATTACTCATATCGATCTGAATTCGATGAGGCTTTGGCGAAGCTGACAAACCTCAACGCCGTCCAATTTCACCCTAGCTGCAAAGTATCAGGAGAGCCGGGATATAGGACGACCAAAAATGGCCAATTGCTCGAGAAAGACATATTGTTCATCAATCGGAGAGGATTTGATTCCTTTTGGAGCTTTTTAAAATCATCACTTCGTAATGCGCCCAGATTAAGATCGATCATAGCATCTCAAAGGATTCAATTTACTCTTGGAGGCTTTACAAAGCTCTCCAATGAGGAGACGGAAGCACTTGGACGTTTATACAACTTGTCTCTTGAAGTTGATGGTGCCTTCGAAGATCAACTCGTCGCTATTTTATCCTGCACGCCCAATCTAAGGTCACTTCAGCTGGTACATAATAGTGGCCAGTGTGACTTTTCGGAAGTGGTTAATCCCAGTACAAGATTTCACTCATTAGTTTCCCTCAAACTTGTTGGATTCAATTTGAATGAGCGGTATTTTAAGCAATTTCTGCTTGCAAACGCGCATTCTTTACGTTCGCTCTCACTTCGAGATTTGAAACTTGAGATCACCGAGGAAGAATATACTTCTAAAAAATATCGCAGAAGCAATCAGTGGATCCGAATGTTTCATTTCTTTGGTCAATCAATGCACCTAGAGGAAATCGAATTGTCTGGAAATCTCTACACGTCATTATCGGGGACTTGGTCAGCACAAATCTTTTTAGAGGGCGACGATCTATATGAACCGTCCAGTCTGATGCTACGTCTGAAGCAATACATCACACACGCTGAAGGCGGATCTTTTCCTCTACCACATCCAGATGAAGACCTTACCAATGTCAACCTGAAAAAGTATGGTAACAATGCTGGACTTTTCTGGTACAAAATCTTGAAGAAGCATGGAGAAATTCGATTATTGAAAAAAGAGCCATCCAAACCATCGGCCTTCAAGGGAATCTTAGAGTGGGGCGACTCAGACTCGGATTCAGACTTGGATTCAGTATCGGAAATAGACGACTATGACGCATCCTCGGATTTATTATCGGAACTAGACAACTACGACGCATCTGATAGCCCCTCACCATCCTCCGAACTTGAGTCTATGGCTGCTCTAGATGATTTCCAATCTGATACAGATGACGAATATCTATCAGAATTAGAGGACCCTCAGGCAGAGATAGAGGAAATGACACCGGAAAGCGCCTTCGAACAAGTGAAGTCTCTCCTTCTAGCCAATCAAGATTCATGGACTGATGGGGAGAGAGAGACATTGATTGCCATGATGGGCGAGTTTATGACCAGCGGTGAAGAAAAGGGCTTCGATCTAAATGCATTGGAAGAGGAAAAGCCTCTCAGCAATGGTTCTGCACCATGATATGGAATTTGTACATGGTTCTTCGGTGGATGAAAAAAAAACAGATGTCTTCGGAATTATTTGGGCAACAACTTTTGTCATCATATGATACTCGGTTTCTTATTTGTCATTTCTTTTCATTACTTTTCATTTTTTGTAGTTATTGGTCACAATCTTCAATGTCTAGGATATGTTAATTAGGAAGGGGGGGGGAAGGTGGGGGAGGATTTCTTTGGTTGGAGTTGGACTTTACAATACACACTGGACTGAGGGGGGAGAGTGGTGTGTGGGATTTCTTTGGTTGGAGTTGGACTTCTTTACAATACACACTGGACTGCACTGGGATTGGGAAATGCAGGTTACGTATGGATTTCATTTCCGATTCTTTCTTCAAGTACGAATCATACGATGAATGGCTGAAGCTGCGAGAAAGGGACAATACATACTAGGGGGTGTGGGGTATCTTCTTTGGTGCGAAGATGGGGATACGAAGATGAGATATGAAGATGAGATACGAATATGAAATACGATGATGAGATACCCAAGATGAGATACGAACATGGAGCTAAAGAAAGCCAAAGTAGCGCAAGGAATACAAATTTTATGTTTTAATGATCCTTGGGCTCGTCGTAAGCTGTGCTGTGATCTTTTAGGAATTGAGTGAAGTGTGATATGAGATGTGAGATATGAGAGTATGGTAGGTAGGTATGTAAGCAGGTAGTTGGGTAGGAGGGTATGTAGGTGTTTTCTATAAAAACATCAAGCCTGGCTGGAATGGGTGATTGTAGTATAAGTATTTATTGTATGGTTCCAACCATCTTGAGTTGTTATTAATGATTCCGTGTCTGACCATACGATGCTATGCGCTTGAAAGGTTTTGAAGAGGTAGGAGTAGAATTCGAAAATGGGGGGTTGGTATCTTGGATTTTGGGGGAGGCGGGACGGGGAAGAAGAGGGGAAGAGGGGAAGGAGGAAAGAGGAAGGGGAAAGGGAAAGGGGGGGAGGGGAAGCGGGGATGGGAAGAAAGGAGAGGAGAGATGGATGCCATGGATGGGTGTATATATATGAAATGAAATCTGTATACCTACCTAGATACCATAAAATTAATAGTTTAGTCTAGTCAGGGAAAGCCATTGTCCTCTTTTCACATTATATGAATAAGATTATTTCAACATAAATCCCAACTCTAGATTAAATAAATACCGGTAATACTTGCCAACAAACAAATAATTACTACCAGTACTGGTATTCAAAGAAGGACAATCGCTTGTATTCGAGTAAGGGATAATCGCTTTCTCTGACTACTGAGAACTACCTGTAGGCGGCCCGTTCCATGGAGAGCCGACTATTACCTACCATTTATTAATTTATGGGAGATGAAAAGACAGATGATATGATAAATAATGAAGAAGAAGGTTTTCAAAAGCATATGACAAGGGAGCCAAAGGAAATGGAAATACTCGGATTTAAGAATGGCGGATTGACCATGTTATCACGCGACTTATTGGGCTTGGGTTAGACAAGTAGTCGGACATCAGCTCCGGGTTATTAGTCAGCGGCAGATCTTAGATGCAGAGTATGGGATGAATGCTTGGTTTTGGAAGAAATGGAGAAAGGAGGAGTTTTAATTGGTTGGATGGGATTTGAGATTTGAGAGTCTAGACTTTTGGAGTTTTAGACTTGATTTCTGGGTTCTAGAATAGATTGGATAGTAAGCCGTGTGGTCGTTTCTTACTGTTTGTGACTCTGTTGTTCTGTTATGTTTTGCCATGGGGATTTTGGATTTTTGAGATTTTTTCTTCTTGTAGTAGGGGTGTGTTGATGGATGGATGGATGGATGGATAGTTTCATTTCATTTCATTTCTGCTGGTGCAAGCAAAATTGAGGGTTGAGAATTGGATTGAGGGTTGGATTGAATGGATTGGATTGGATTGGGTTAAATGGAGCGATTAGTGAGAAAGAGAGGCTTGTTTATAGATTTATAATACCTACGCAGTAAGGAAGCTTGGAAGAGGAAGATTCGGTAGTTTGAGGGAGTTATTTGAGTCAATGATTATACTCCTGATACTATGAAGAGAGTATATGTTATCATATTCTCTAGGAAGTGGGAAGTGGTGAGAAGTTGATTGCACATTGCATTATCGCAAAATAACATTTCGTTCAAATCAAATTCGCTGTCTAATTTGAATACTGCTACACTTATTGAAGTAGGTAGTTATCCGTTATACCTACTAGGTACATAGCAAACATTATTTTAGAGTGGCTCCATTTCACATGTTCCATCTAAACAAAGGCCAAGAAAGGGGGAAAACTCCCCATCCAATCATAAATCACCCCCGGACCTCTGTCCGATGCAATCGAATCAAGAAATACGAATTCATATATATATCTTTTTTGGGCTTGCACAAAGAACTTGGTATTTTTCAACAAATCGAGAGGGTTCTGTTGGTTCATGATAATTTATTTGTTATGCGCATTCAGTCAAAGCTTGATTTTTCGTCGTTTGCAATACTGGCGAACTCCAAGATAGGGTTAAGAAGAAAAAGAAGGGGAGTTTGGGATATGGGATATGCTGGATGCTGTGGTGTGATGTCATGTTGACGGTTAGTGGCCGAATAGTTGTTTGATGGAGGGGAATGTTATGGTTATAAATGCTGCGCTGTGTCGCCTTTGAGGAGGTTGGGTTGTGTATTTACTTGAAGTTATTTCTGCTTAACTAAGATTTAGATGTAAGCAACGAAGACTTCTTTCTGATTGATTTACTACTTGGCTTGATTTACTATCTAGCTTGCTTTACTACCAAGCTTGCTTTAATTTACCAATTGACTAATTGAAGACCTTTCTGCAGAAAGCTTTCACATGGGAATTAGTTGAAACCATCTATCTTAAGATAGTCGATTGGCACTTGCTCTAGGTAGCTTACTTCAATAGGTTTGTTTCTACAAAGATGATCTAAAAGTCGAATAGATATTAATTGCTATACCAATTATAGTACACTATTCAGATTTGACCAGCAACAACCTGGATACCCTATACATGACAATGACCAACACAAAGCTCAACAACTTTCATCCGGGAGTATTCAACTTCGGAGAATATCTAACGGAAGATGCACTCCAAGTGATCCAATTCACTAACAACAATCAATCCCCCGACCTATTTTTCAGTCCCGGAGTAGAAAAAGGACAACCGGATTGGAATATGCCTAGCAATAGGTTTGACCAGGCATGTGACCACGTAAGTCATCCCACACGAATAAAATAGCTTCAATCCCACAATCGTGGATGATTTGAGCTTAAAATTCTTAGGTTTTGAACTTTTATAGGCATTTGGCGAAGATCAGCTCGATGATTCCTTCATGAGGATGTTTGACAATATCGTCCAAACCCCAAACAATATCGATATCACTCATATCAAACAACATGGGGAAATCGATGGGAGTCCCTGTATCATGACTCGGGAATTTAATGAGGGGTGTGCTGTGGCTACTTTTCCTATGAAAACGAATTGTACCAGCTCGATGGGTAAATTGCCGAGAAATATCTCGCCGGCTTCGTTCGCGGTCGATGATATGCAGGCAGCTAGGTTTCAATCTAAGAGTAGCTCGAAAGTACCGTCGAAACATACTCCTTTTGCAATGGAGAACGCTTCCGATTTTTCAAAAGACATGAATACAGAAACGAACAAACCCCACTCAAAAAGAAAATACCACTTCTCAAACACCCCCCACCCAGAACACTTACACTCACACACACCCCTCTCCCCACAATCCAGCATCGTCCTCCCCCCCAAAAAGAAGCGTCGACCCCGCGCCAAAAAGATCCTCACCCCCCACGAAAGCAGTCTCGCGCGGGAAAAATATCTGGAGAAGAATCGACGGGCCGCGCGCAAATGTCGGATGAAGAAAAAAGCCGAGATGGTTTCTGATCAGGCGAAATACGAGTTTTATATAGCGCAGATACGGGCTTCGAAAATGCAGTTGGGGGAGAGGAGGAGGGAGTTGTTGGAGTTGGTGGAGGTTTGTAAGGGGATGGTGGGGGAGGGGTGTGCGGATGGGGGGATTAGGTCGTTTGTGAGGAATTGGAATTTGGGTTTGGGTTTTAATGGGAATGGGAATGGGAATGGGAATGGGAATGGGAATGGGAATGGGAATGGGAATGGGAATGGGAATGGGTGTGCGGGGGAGAGGGAGAGGGAGGAGGGGTGTAGGGGGGTGGGGATGGGGGAGAATGCGGATATGGGGATGGAGATGGAGGTGGGGAGGTTGGTGGAGAGGTGTAGGGAGGCGAGATTGGGGGGTGAAGGAGGGGGAGATGGAGATGGAGATGAAGGTGGGGGAGAAGGAAGGCTTGTGAGTGGAGAGGCGGCGGATGGAAACGTAAATGAAGAATGGACAACAGGCTACACCGGGCTAGAAAGCGAAAGTACCGGTACCATACAAGGAAATACTCATATCCAGGCCGATACTTCTCCTTCTACATCCACCTCCACCTCATATTCTCCAACTACATCAAGCTATAGCTATACTTCTTCGGGTATTACGGAGAATGATGAGGTTGGATCTTGTCATGTGAGTGGTTTACCTTTACCTCTTACTCATGAAGATGCGCAATTGCAACTACCACAACAGCAGAGTATAAATTGGCACGATATCATTTCCTCGCTTCAACAGTTACCTATGCCGGTGGAACAGTCTGCATCGCGTATGAGTATTGATTTTGCAAATACAAATACAAAGATGGATGCAAATGCAAATTCCTCCCTATCACCATCTTCAGGGTACTCTTCAACATCCACCGCCTTCACGACGCATACTACTCAACCGAACATCGATCCTCTCTCCTCAACCATCTCATCTACATCCACATCCACTACATACACATCCCCAACATCCGAGTCCACAACTTCCCCTACACCTCAATATCCCGAACTCGAACTCGAACTACAAAGTTTCTCTACCCATACATATCCCCCTCTCTCCACATAATCCGACATACACAACGCGAACGCGAACCCGAACCAGGACTTGAAATAAACTACCGGTATCCAGGGACCAGCAGATGATAAAAGTACGCCGCAGATACTTTACGGGAGTATCGATATTGATATTGATATTGGGTATTGATATCGGTATCGATAGTGGATATTGGGATGGGGATGTTTGAGATCCAGAGAGAGATGTTGATGCTGATGGGGATAGCTTAGATAATAATAATGATAATGTTGGAAATATACTTGTATATCCATATTTGTATATCCCGTATCTGTAAATTTTGTAAATTCTATAGATTCAGCAATTCCAATCTCTTTACGAGTACAAGATCTTCTCTCACTATTTTATTGGAATGTATTGTATTGGAATGGAATGGATTAGATTGGGATGAGTGATTATGCGATGAGTCTCCCCTTGACTGATTACGTGAATAAATAAATAAATAAACAAAACAAAACAAAATTATGATATACATAGACAGTACCGATAGATGTTGTGTTGTGTTGTACGAGTAGGTGATGTGAAGGTGAAGGTGACTTGAGAGTATATTGTATGATGGATGGATATAGGTGTGAGGTGTGAGACATATAAAATATGTTTATGGGTAGACGGATGGTAGGTAGGTAGATAGGTGGAAGTGAAGTTATTATTTAGAAGACTCAGGAAATGTCATACAGTGTATTAATATCAGACTCCAGTTCTGCATTCAGTCTTTGTATTATTTCTTCACTTGTAAGATACAGCATCATATTTTCCTCGCTGGAGGAACTCGAAATTACTTGTAAATCTTGTAAATGAGTGATAATACTACTGTACTTCGCCTCATGATCTCTATATATTTTTGTGGCCCGAAGAGGTGAAACACCACTCTCAAATTGGGAGTTAAATTGACAGCAAGGTATCAATTGCAACAACAGTTACAGCACCGGTTCCTCCTTAAGTTAGAGGGCCTCTGAGATATATCAAAATGCCCCTTTCCCAGTCTAATCACTTGGCTAAACCCGCTTACTTCATCGCCGAAGCAAAGCACTACAGTTAGCGAGCGGGGTGGTTGGTGAAGTTCAATACCAGAATCAATAAGCTACAGTATATCCAAAGAAAGTCCACGAACGTAAAGCACCCTATACCATAAACTCGATTATTTCTTATCTGCAATATAAAGATTCCACATCCGAAGTCACAACTAAGAAACTTCCTTCCGTATCTACATTCCAGTTTTCAGATTTCAGGTCCCAGTCCCAGAGACACGATCAATGCCTCCGATTCCGATACGCCTATTTGCAATACAATGCAATGCTACCTAAAGTATATGATATGTTCGTACGCGTAATGCCACCGCCGATAAGATCTTTACAGTACAGTACGCATGGCTCATATTTCAAGGAGCGAACGAACGAAATGGCGGATGCTACAAGTAGGTAGGTAGTACTTGTTTGTAATCTCATAAGATAAGCTACTTTAGCTTTACTTTTATTGGAATCAATACAGAGCGCGTGTGGTATTCTCATCAATAAGTTGATGGCCTGCCTGCCTGCTGAGAGAAAGTAACTAACTTATAACATGTACGGAATTCTCATATTTTCCAATTTTAGCTGCACCACTAGCACATACAATCCACGTATAACTGAAGATTGGCAGATCATTAGATACTGCTTGAAGAAAAGCATTGGTTTAACTCGTTAAAGAGATTAAGAAGAGTAAAATAAACTTCTCTTACTCTAGAGATCTCTATAAAAAACTTCCTGAAATACCTAGTTTCTGATTTGGTACCGGTATTTGACAGATGGGTTCTTTACCCCTTGTGTTTAAAGTTGGAAAAGGATTGTGAGAGGGAATTTATGTAACTTGATTACGTAAGCTTTATCGTGTATTGATGGCCAATCAAATTGAGCACTTGTATTCCATTCCATCCATGACAACTTTTATTTTCTTTTATTTTCTTCCTTCACTGCTTACCTTCACACATGAAGCTATTCCGAGGTAATAGGTATAAAAAAGGGGGTGAATGACTACTCCGATATGAACAAATTTTACTGCCAAGAATGTCTCAACCAACTCTCTAACATCTTGGCTCTTTCCCGAATTAATAGAGCGGCGACGTTGAACTTCTATCACCTTAATCCTCATTCTTGAAAACTTCTTTATTGTTAACCAATCGTGACTTTTTGCTTTGCTTTTTTGGCTTCAAGGATATCAATAAATGCATATGGTATCAAAGTTGATATCTAAGTATTAATTATCACAACAAAGGTCATCATGATGCGCTTACAGGCCCGTCGGATCGTGTTCGTCGCCATTATCCTCAGTACGATAATTGCATATATTTTGTACACCAAAACCAAATATATCACGTGGCCAAAATATCCTAAAGAAAACCCTCCAAATGCCGGAACTATCTTTGAACCTCCACAGGTTTCATCTCCTGATACAAATTCCAACTCAAAAATACCCGATTCAAGTTTGTCAATTCCAATATCAAATGATGAGGCCAAAACATCATCAACCGAGGAGACTCTTCTGAAGGAAAACGGATACAAGAAACCTGATGAAAAGAAACCAGATACCGATTGGGACGCAAAACTCCTTTCCGATGCGACCGCAACACCCGAACCGATTGTACCAGCACTTACATGTCCATCTTACGAGGAAATTCAACGGAAGAAACAAGAACCATTATCTGAGGGACATAGGAAATTTCCTTATTCCCGTCCTACGTCAGAATGTCGAACGTTCAATCTACCTTCATTGGAGAAGCTCATTGAGGAAATGAAAACAATCATCAAGGACCCTGATCTCTTCCGACTTTTTGAGAATAGTTATCCAAATACCTTGGATACCACAATCAAATGGCGGGGATACGCAAACAAGATTGATCCAATTACACAAAACGAGACAATCACAGATGAAGAACTCACATTCGTTATCACTGGTGATATCGATGCAATGTGGTTACGTGATTCAGCATCTCAAATATATTCATATCTTCCATTACTCGAAGCATCCGATAATCGAGATTCTCTTGCGAGTCTCTGGCGTGGACTCATAAATTTGCACGCACGATATATTATCATTTCACCCTACTGTCACAGTTTCCAACCACCACCCGAGTCTGGTCTCCAAATCCAACACAACGGAGCATTTCTTCAAAATAAGCCCATTCCACCTTATGATCCCAAGAAAGTCTTCGACTGTAAATGGGAACTGGATTCCTTAGCTTCCTTCCTTCAGGTTTCATCAGCTTATTATCAACGCACCAACGATCTATCCTTCTTCCAAAAATATTCTTGGATCGATGCTGTATCCGCAGCTGTAGATGCTGCGGGTGCAATGAGACTCGGTACCTATTCTCCTGAAGGCAAAGTTCAAAAGTCCGCATGGTCATTCACAGGCTGGACAAATCGCGGCAGCGAAACATTAACCAACGACGGTTTGGGTAATCCCACTAAACAAAACGGAATGGTCAGAAGTGCATTTCGTCCTTCGGACGATGCATGCATATATCAATTACTTGTTCCCGCAAACATGATGTGGGCCAAATATCTCGAAGAAGCATCCCTCATCATGGACAAGTTAGACGGTGAAAAAGCCGCCAATCTCACCAAATACATGCGAGAGCAGGCCTTCGGAATAAGAAAAGCTATAGATCACGACGCCATAACCCATCATCGACAATTTGGCGACATGTACGCCTATGAAATCGACGGATACGGTGGGCAAAATCTCATGGATGATGCTAATGTCCCATCACTATTAGCCATTCCCCTCTGGGACTACGCCAACTCTTCATTCCCGCTCCCGGAATTATTCGAAGGAGACGGCCAACAAGGCGGTAAAAAAACAAAGGTAAATCACACACAAATATACAACAACACACGAACCTTCATCCTCAGCCCCGAAAACCCCTATTTCATGCAAGGCCCCTCCATCTCCGCAATCGGCGGTCCCCATCTCGGACCCGGCAAAAGTTGGCCCATGGCCGCCATCATCCGCGCAATCACAGCACTAGAAATTGCATCGCGAGCGGGAAAGAATATCTCGGATAGAAAAGTGGAAGAAGAGGTAGCAGGGCAGATAATGATGATATTGGATAGTACGGGGGGCACGGGCGTCATTCATGAGAGTGTTAATGCGTGGAATGGGAATGATTGGACGAGAGCTTGGTTTGGGTGGGCGAATGGACTTTTTGGGGAGTTGGTGGTGAGGATTGGGAGGGAGGAGGGGAGGGTGAGGAGGGGGGGAGCGGGGTTGTTGGGGAGGAGTTGGCAGGTGAAGGGGGGTGGGTGAGAGTGGGTAGTTGCGTTGTATATCCTGGGAGAAATTGCTGGGAGAAATGATTGGCGTTTGGCGTGCTTGGTATGGTATGCTATGGATATATCTTTCTTTTGGCATCAATGGCTCATTATCAACTCATACTCAATTATTGGATAGGATAGGATAGGATAGTATTGGATTGGATAGTATACCAAGTAACAAGCTAGCCATCTAGCCATCTAGCCGACGAAAGAATGAGCATCCAACCAACCAAACCAATAATTAATAAGAAAGCACAACTTTAAAAAAGATTTAGCATTACCGTGAGTCACAGATAAATAGCAGGAATGTCTACTCGAGTAAGGTGAGGTATTATATCATCTATCATCTATCATCTATCATCTCTAATAGTTATTTGATTACTTGGTGATGTATGTGTATTTGTATACCGGTATATGTTCATGTATATGTATATACAATGTAATATCTAAGAGAAGAGATATATAGGTAATGATTTCCCTATCCAATATGGAAATCATACTTGTATTACTCGAGTACATATCATACATACACCTACTTAATGCTCCAATACTTGATCCTTCATTACTTGATCCGAGTCCTCATGATCCTCATGAAGTCGTGATCATCATAATCATAATCATAATCATAAAGCTAGAGAGAGATAAGAGGATGGGAATAGCTAGAGTATTAGCTATATAGTAGAACCGAACTAATCTGATCTGATCTGATCAAAGCCGATCCGATTCGATCCATCTACTCGAGTATACTGTATTGTACTGTACTGAAATGAAAATAACGACGAAAAACAACGACGAAAAATAGCGACGAAAAATAGCGACGAAAAAACAACGGCGACGAAAGATAGATACAAGTGGTTGGAAATTGAAACTGATATTATTTTATTTATTTACTCTATTACAAGATGCATATACATCTATCCCATCACATCCCATTCCATCCATCCCAAACAGAACTCTACAGAAATATAAAGTCATTACAGTAAGAGAAGAGAAGAGAAGAGAGTCGGCGAGAGATCTAGATATAGATCGTTGTTGAATGTAGTCAGTAGTGGGTGGTATATACGAGTACAGTTCACACGTATATATGTATATAGGAGTATCTAATCTGGTGATCAATTGATAATAGTACGAGTACAGTAAGTATCTAATAATTTAAGATGAAAACGTGTTGAGAATCTTTCGCTTATTATGCTCTTGCGAGTACTTCGGTATTTGAATACTGGTTGGTACTGGTTTGTTCATTTGAATATTGATTATCCAATACTGGTATTGAATATCTAGGTGAGTTCCAGGTAAGGTAATGAATGATAATGATATTTAACGATCGAAATAAGTTGAATAGGTCGCAGGATTAGAAAATGTAAATGTCAAGTCTGCGGATATGCAGGTCAGATGAAGCAAGCAACAGAACAGAACGAATAAAATGAATAGCAAATCATTATCCCAGCCATCTGTCCACATCCCATGCTATCCCCATCCCACAACTCCCCACTCCAGTCCCTCCCTTATTTACCCCCCTCCCCCCTCCTGCCACTCTTCTCCCCCTCTCTCTTCCTCTCCCTCTCCCTCTAAATGTCAAGTTTATGGATAAGCAAATGTGAAATGGGATGAAGCAATAGAGCAGAATGAATGAATAAAATGAGTAGCAAGTCATTATCCCAACCACCTGTCTGCATCCCTATCCCATGAATCCCTACTATCCCAGTCCCTCCCTTATTTACCCCCCTCCCCCCTCCTACTACTCTTATCCCTCTCCCTCTCCCTCTCCCTCTCCCTCTCCTTCTCCTTCTCCTTCTCCTTCTCCCTCCCCTCCTTTTCCCTCCCCCTACGATCCCTCTCCATCGCCCTCCTAGCCTCCCTATACAACCTCATCCTCTCACTCCCCAAAACACCATATCTCCTACCATCCGCCGCCTGTTTCAACAGCGGCAACTGAATTATCGCCGAGAAAGTATCTAGGACTTTCTGGATCGGTTTATTATGTCTAGCGGCTACTGCTGCAAAGGGGAAGGTTTCTTGGCTGGTTTGGGCTATGTCTATTATTCTGAGTGTGGGTAGGTTAGTGAAGTGGAGTGAGATGGGTGGGATGGAAGGAAGAGATGGATGTGAAGAGAGAGGATAGGAAGGAAACGTACAGGTTTGGTGAGTGTTTTGGTGCGGGTGCGGGTGTGGGTGCTTGCTGTTTGGGTGGTTGTGACACCGGATTTGGGAGAGAAGTTGAAGGGTTGTTTGGTGTGTGGGAAACGGCAGTTGTGGCTTGCTGAGGTATATGACATTGTAGAGTTCGTGAAGTGTCACTACCAGCATGGAGAATTTGATTTGGACCCGACCCGGAGGCATTAGAAGAGGTGGCCTGGTTACTTTCCACAGAATGTGGCCATGCTGGTACTTTGTAAAGTGAAGGTCTGCGTCGTATGTCTGCTGCAGTCACCTGTTGACGAGGAGGTGGAGATGGAGAAATGTTTCTAGCAGCTACAACTTCAGGTGTCGGTTGTGGATGTGTCGCATGTTTTAATGAAACCACCGAAAAAGATTGCGCAGGATGGATAGATGTGGCACATGTAGGTAGCTCTTCAGGTATAGGAGATGGTTTCGAAACTGGTTCTTTCTGGACCGAAGAATATGGCGCCGATATGGTTTGAATTTCAAGGGGTATTGTTTTCGGTGATACCATTTCGTACGCGAATCTTTCACTCCGGGAATCTCTGATTGGAATTTGTGGTGGATTGAAACAACGAGATTCGCCGGTACCATTGTGATATTTCCGATGCCATTCTGGGTCATTGTTAACATCAGGGAATGTTCTTGTGCGTACGTCAACTGATGGCAGGTGTCTAGGGGGTAGATAGTCGGATGATTTCCAGGAGAAGTCTTGCCAACCCGGTATAATTGGTCGGTGTGGTGGGAGAGGCGGGGGCACTCCCCCAAATGTGGTTGGCACATTGGGATCTTCTAGAAAGTCCACAAAGCCGGTATTTCCCCCAATAGGACTAATTTCAGAATGGGAAGGCAAAGCTTTTGGTCTTGGTTGATACATAGATGTCGAAGACACCTTATATGGGGACACATAATTCGAATACTGGTGTGAATCCTCCTCATACTTTCGTTTCTTGGCATAATCTTGATCTGGTAATGTGAAGATGTTGGATTTGGAATAATAATATGGTGACGTAGGGGAAGGAGGTGGAGGCATGGATTTGGCATACCAAGGTGGTGGGATTTTGAACGGTATGGTTTGCGATACATGTGAAGCAGGTGACTCAGATGTCTCCGATTGTAGACTGTTCAGAGGTTGTAGAAAGGACTCAAGTGTAGTGGGGGGTTGCAGCGAGTGGACGGGTTGGCATCTCGCCAAATTCATATCATCAGGTTCAGTACCAGGAGCAAGTGGAGGTAGCATTTCAGCTATGGAATTTTCTTTTAACGGATGAGTAACTGCAACTCCGGCACTTGTGATAGATCTAGCCGAGTCGATGTGAGTCTTATGTGATGGAATTTCTAGCCTAGTATATCTTAGCAAGACTTCATGAGAGCAAGATTCTCTCATACCTTCTGCGCTTTTTTTTCCTTCTTCGAGGGACACAAAACACAAATTCTACTTCGTCATCCGAATGTTCTGGAACTGAATTTTCTGGCGAAACTCTCTCTGGCACTTGGTGCTGAGAGGTATTGGCACTTGGAAGTGGTTGATGATCATCCAGTCGGGGTGAACTGTTTCCCAGAAGTAGAGGTAGTGAAATAGTTTGTGATTCTGGAATGGGGGCAGTTTGAGGCAAAGTAGCGCTTGGTGCATCAACCTGTTCAGCTTCGGCCATCATGAAGAGAAGGTAGAGGGGTAAGAAGTTAAATTGTGTAGAAAAGGAAGAATATACAGAGGATATAAAATTGAGACATGGATTAGGCAAAGACACAAAGGTTGATGCAAAGGTTCAGATCTTTATCATGCCATCTTACCTTGTTTGACATTACTGTCTATAATGAGAATGAAGGAATCTTCCACCTTTGATTTATAGCAAGGCTTCATGCAAATGAAATTTCTAATGAAAATTCACCTGCTGCTAGATATGCATTTTGTCTTGATCCTTTTTATTTGTTATCCAGGTCATACCATTGTCCTCTGATAGAGAAGAAGAAGACCTATTTATCAATATGCAAAGTCCATACATGACCTTTGAAGCAGAAATGAATGATAACAGACTTTCATCTGTGAAGTGAATGGAAGGAGACATAATCACACTTTAAAAGATTGATCTAACATTATTCCTTGAGGAACTGGATAGAAGTCAAAGTACTAAAGTATAATAAGGCTATTTATTCATTAACCGATATTTAACCGACACAATCGATAAAGCTTACACCAAGAACCCCCCCCTCCCTCCATATTAAAGCAACTAATAACCAAATAAACAAACAGGAAAAAGCATCAAGCATCAAAACATCAGACTTTATTTATCCCATCATACAACAAGCAATACTGTCTGCCTTTATTGTTAGTTCTTTGGTAAATCTTCATGATGACTGTCGACAACCAAAACCCTCTACTTTCGACGCAGAAGTCTTCAGATTCTGGGCTTCAGGTAGCTCTACATCCCCTTGTTCTTCTCACAATTTCGGATTATATTACAAGGCACACTCTAAGACAACAAACAGGGCTTGTAGTTGGAGCACTCTTGGGCCAACAGAATGGTCGTGAAATTACCATTGAGCATGCATTTGATTGCCTCCTTGAAGAAACTGAGGACAATGAACTGAGACTGTCCCCAGCATGGTTTGAGTCGAGATTACAGCAGAGTATGTGCCCCTTATCTTGTGTGGGCAATATTTGCATACTAACTTTTGACAGTGAAGGATGTTCATAAAAGCCCTGCACTCGATCTTGTTGGCTGGTATACTATCATTCCTACATCTGGACCACAACCTATCCACCTACCCATTCATCGACAAATCCTACATGTATACAATGAGTCTGCTATTTTACTTGGGTTCCATCCTGAAGAAGTACTTGGTGGTGCGGTTGGCGGAAAATTACCTCTCACAATATATGAAAGTAACTACGAGGCTGAGGAAAGCAGTGCAGAAACTGGGGAGGATAAGGAAATGAAGGATGGGGAATCACAAGTCAAGCTTAGATTCAAGGCGCTCCCAGTTACTATAGAGACTGGTGAAGCAGAGATGATTAGTGTTGATTTTGTGGCCCGCGGTGGAGGAAACGCTACAGCTGTAGATGGAACCAGCAAAAAAGTTGGGCTCACAGAGGACGGGGGCATGGGCAAAGGCAAGGGCAAAGGTAAGGAGAAATCCGAAGATCCTGTTCGCTCGGGGACTCCAAATCGTGAGGAGAACAGTCTATCACGTGAAGACGAAGAGCAGATTGCTTCCTTGACTGCAAAGGCGAATGCTATCAAGATGCTACAATCTCGAATCAATCTGGTTGCCGCTTACCTTCAACACCTCCCACCCTCCTACGTATCCGACGGCGTTGCTACAGAAGCCGAAATCAATTCTGAAAAATACATACCAGTCAACCACTCAATTCTTCGCTCCACCCAAGCTCTTCTCGGTCGTCTCGGTGTTCTCATACCCGCCGATAGTCAAGGTTTCGAACATGAACTCATCTCCGAGAGAAACGATGTCAATCTTATTTCCCTCCTGAGTGAACTCACCAGTTCAGTCCATGAAATCAGAGAATTAGGAAAGAAGTACGCCGTTGTAGAAAATGGAAAGTTGAACAAGTCGATGAAGTCAGACCGTAGTATGGGTTGGAGCGACCACCAAAATCACCCTATGCGAGACGTAATGAATGTTGGAGATCTTATGTGATAGAGGAAGTTTTTCTCTCTCTGAGCGACTTCGGTGGCGTATATTCGGTTTGGGCGTATGGAAGAATCAGGTAGGCAGGCGTATAGGGTGCGCGATTTATCATTGAGGACAAAAAGGCATCTGGCGTGGCGTACCTGCATGAGATGAGGCATTTATGATATTATGAAAATGAGAATACGAATAAAGGAGAAATAGATAGACAATGAGATACCTAACATGACAGTGAAAATTCCCGGTATTTCTCCACTTGCATCTCTTATCTTGTGAGACAGACAACGTTGCAAAAATCATTAGTCCGATTATCGATCGATATTCGATATTGTAGGTAGCACAAGTGTGTAGGTACTCCACTTCTTGAATCGCAAAGTCTTGCTTGGCTTGCACTTGATACTCGAGTATTACGATACGATATGATATGATACGAGATGATACGATTTCCCGATTTTCCGGCTCGCACGACAGATGGATGGACAGATGGACAGATATGGTTCGATTTGATTTAGAGTGAGTGAGTGAGTGTTAGTTAGTGAGTGAGTGAGTGAGTGAGTGAGTGAGTGAGTGATACAGTAGTGATAGTGGTTGAAGAGTGGTTGAAGAGTGGTTGAAGAGTGAGGTTGGATGGATGGAGGGATAGATGGATGGATATTGAAGGTAGATTGGATTGGTATTGGATTGGATTGACATTGACTGGTGAGGTGATGTAACGTGATAACATATTGTAAGAATATGTTTTGAAGGGGATTGGTGGCGGGAGTGGAGGGGCAAGAGGGAAGAGGGAAGAAGGAAGAGGTTGAGATTCAGATTAATTAGAAGCCAGTGGAGGGAGATACCGGTATACAATTGTGCATTACAGGGATGAATGATGCTCTAGAATAGAGTATAGTATAGTATACTCGAGTAGTATAAAAATGAAAAATGAAAAAGAAAATTGATAAGATAGAAAGACAGAGGGATAGAGGGATAGAGGGATAGCTGTGTACAACAGAGTCTTTAAAGTATGAAAAAGAAACTGGAATACGAATATATTAAATCAAATCAAAGTATCAAATAAGAATTAGGAATATGGAATTAGGAATATGGAATAACTATAACTGCAATCATATATCTAACCTGCAAACCAAACCAAACATTAAACATACTCGGTCTATCTCGAATTTCAAAGTACTGCGCCAATTCTATCTCCTCTCCTTCAACCCCCTACCCCCCCTCCAGCTCATCAATAATGAATAACGAAATTTACTCGAGTAACTTAAAGCAAGCGATAGAAATCAAGCATCACTCCGTCCATTAACCACGTCCTGCTCCTGCATTATCATCGACTCCTAGTACTGTAAGATATATTACCAAGGTTCAGCATTCGTATATATATATAAAGGAAATCTTTATATGATATATCCTCACACACCCATCCCATCACCATCCCCCCATCCCCACCCCTAAACCTCAATAACAACCTTCAAAACCAGCCCCCCCTCATCATCCGTCGTCCTCCCCGCCAACTCAAACGCCTCCTTCGCATTCCCCAATCCCCTCACCCTATGCGTAACCATGGCATCCAAACTCGGCAGACCCCCCTTCATCCCTCCCTTCCCCCCCTTAACACTCGCCCCCAACATTCTAATCCCCGTTGCATACGTATTCGCATATCTAAACACCCCCACAATATCTACTTCACGCAGATGTGCTGCCGACAAAGGCAGTGTTTGGATTGGCGTCCCCATACCTACCATTATGACTTTTCCCCCCGGTTTGGTGCTATAAATAGCGGTTTGCATGCAGATTTCCTTTCCGGTGCATTCGAAGGTTATATCCGCACCTTCATGGTCGTTGTCTCCGAGTACATCGTCAGGAGATGAGATAGAGAGGATATCGCACGCAGTGTTTTTGGCAGAGTCGAGTCGAGAGGAGATGATGGTGTAAGTAGAGAGGGGAGTGGTGGCTCCGGAGAGAGAGGGAGTAGAGCTTCCGGAAGAGGAAGCGGTGGAGGGTCTGGTGGATATAGTGCTGGGGCTGAATGGGGGGATTACGTAGCCGTGGGTTGCGAAGCCGTGGTCGAGGGCGTATTGCACGCGGTGGGCGGATATATCGGTTATGGTTACGATTGGGCAGCCGGATTGACGGGCCATGGCTGCGACGAGGAGGCCTACGGTTCCGGCCTAAGGGTGGTGTTAGTAGAGTGTTGTTGTTGGAGATAGTGAAGTAAAATCTTATAAGAAAGAACAATGATATCTGGTATTGGAAGAATTGTCATGAACGTAAGAACTTACTCCGATAACGACAGCTGTAGAACCAGGAGTAGGGGCCGCTCGATTCAAAGAATGTATAGCCACTGAAAGTGGTTCCAGAAGAGCGGCTGCATCGAAACTGATATGATCCGGAAGTCTAGACAAAAGATCAGTACAATCATTTCCCACACCTTAGGACTGCCTGTACACATACTTATGACACCAAATCGCCGGATGATTAATCCTCTCTTGCAACGTCCCCTGAAAATGCGGTACACTTTTCGCACTACTCCTAAACCTCATTTTCTTGCAGAGATTATATCTCCCTTTCCTACAAATATCACATTGACCACACGAGATACCCACTTCGAGGGCAACTCGATCACCGATTTTAAAGCCATTGACCTGAGCTCCAATTCCTACCACCACACCTGAAGCTTCGTGGCCCAGAGATAGAGGTGCACAGGCACACAAATCGCCATTGGCAAATTTCTTATAGTAGCTTACGTCCGAACCGCAGATACCTGTTGATTTGATCTGGATTTGGAGTTCGCCGAGCAGAGGTTCGGTGATGTTGCGGATTTCCTGATTTTTAAAGGTTTAGTTGGGTTGGCTCTTCATATCATATGTGATGGAGGGAAAGTGGGATGGATGGATGGGCTTTTCTTTTCTTACCAATCTCACGTCTTGTGGCCCATGGAGAACACTACTAAGAATAGTTGATTTTCCACTCCCGCGGGATGACACCTCCACCTCTACCTCCACATCCATCACATCTTCGTTGTAAGCCGGTGCCATTTTCAAATCAACTCTGTAAGAATATCCAAGATATGAGGTAACAAAAATGTCTTTTTAGTGTCCTGACAAGAGAGAAAAGTGTGGGGGCTTAACAAATTTCTATCTCTTTACACCACCCCAAAGTGAACCCCCAACCTTATATCGATTATCTTCTCTCCCCCTGGCAAGGAAACGGTCTTCCTTCTCATGGTCAAGTCAGGTAGCTTTTCGCTATCTACACTATCATGATTACTTTTGATTGCCAGATGTCTATCTTTCATCTTAATCTATCATGTTGCTATCCTATCCTATCCTATCCAGCATCCAGCGCGCGCAGCACTTCATTCAGTGATACTTCATTGGATTGGAGAGCGGCGGAAAATGAAATGCATATAGCCAGCCCCATGCATCTATACCCTGCAGACGCAGGCACGGAAGCAGACCATATCTAAGCACAAGCACCTTGAGAGTTTCCTTCTTTCCAGCGGAGTCGGACCTTTGTGTGCTATGCGACGTGAGGGAACTTTGCGATTGGAGTGAAATCCAATCTACTGAGCTGCATGTACATTCGATTAGTGAGATCCGAAGAAGATCGTATGTGTGTAGATGTGTAACAGCTGATAAAAGATACAACATCTCCGGACATTTGTCTGTAAATGGGACGGTGATGATAGCTAGATGGCTAGAGATAAAAATCCCGAGGCCTTCATTTTGTACTTAATCCTGGTTGAATGATACTTTAGACCATGTTCTTTCTTCTTTTTACATCGGTCTGCAGTGTACAATGTACATCTCTGAAGTGATAACTCGTATATACCAACAAATGGCTTGATGTACCTACAGCAATGTACCAACAACAATACATATACCAACCAACAAGTCACATCAATATGCCGGTTATAAAACCATGAGAGATCCAGGTCCGATAAGACGTCTAAATCAACCAATCCCATAAATCCAATCGTAAAGTGGAGAACGCTGTATGAAGGAGTGATTTCCCTAGATTAGTCATGATTAGTTATGATTAGTTCCAAATATGGACAATCAATCAATACATACCCCTCCGTACCCCAGATTCTTTCTTCAAACCTTGTATATTGAATTCGGGGTTATCTGTGCTACCCGTCCATTGATAGACTATATTGTGATGAGAAAAGAAAAGGTGATAGAGATATTGAGTGCATTAATGGCGTGTTCTCTTAATTAATGGAGTTTGGTGATGTTGGTTTCGAATGGTAGGATTAGTCGGATTGGTAAAGAAACAGTAGAAAAGGTAGAACAGGTCAAGATGTGATATAAGTTCGAGTTACAGTAGGTACCTAGGTAGCTAGCTATCTTTTCAATGGGATCTACCATTCTAATTCATTTTTATTCCTATTCGAAGAAGCCAGCCAGCCAACCAACCCACTTTCACGCAGAAGCGAGAAATCGTCGCGAACAAAAACGCCTCATTCAAGTCAAGCTGAAAAAATGAGCAAGTAGCCGAAAACAAGCCAACAAGCCAACAAGCCAACAAGCTAGACCTTTCTCAAATACTTGGGTACAAGAACTACCGAAAGAACTACCTACCTAGTAATTATAAGCCCCCTTCCCTCCCCTCCCCTCCTCGGAAGAACACGGCCCGCATGCCTGGATATTGTATTAGAGACTAGAAGGAAGTCGTGCGTTCTCCTCTCCCACCACAGCGTTGCATTTTATTCCGGGTAGGTATATTGATCTATTGATCCATAGATCCCACTGTAGAAATGATAGTGGTAGATCGTAACCTTTACCATACATACATACTTTCGTGACGTGGCTACCTACCTACTGTACCGCTGCAGTTGATCAAAAGAAGAAGAAAAGAAAAAACAAAAACAATATGAAAGCCTGCAGAAAGAAATCAGATATGTGATACAGAATTTATATCAATCAATACGGAGTACACTGTACATTTACTGTAATATGTATGTATATCAAATTGTCCATCCATCCATCCATCCATTCATCGAAGCTTCCTTATGCCACACAAGCACAATGAAAATGAATGGGAACCCACATTTGCGAATTGGAGTCAGTCGGTCGTACGAACCAAAAACCTGGATCTACTTTATTTATATTTATGGGCTTGGGGTTTTGTTATCCGTTTTCAAGGGTATGTACTCCATAGTGAATGTAAATCAGTCTTTTTGATTAGCGAAGATGTCAAGGGTGTACAGTATGTACAGTAGATGCATTTATCCGGAAGAAAAGCCCTTGAAACTTTTCGAGGGTCTAGTACGTCTGCGGCTCATTGTACCCCGTTGTACGGAGCCTGCTCGAGTGATATATATATGCAATGGTGCATACAAAGCTGCGATAAAAAGAAGGAAAAAAAAGACATCTTGTATAGCGGTGAGGAAACCTACCTGGCCACTTTGCTTGGTACCAAAGAAATTCATTAAATTTACTCAAAAAGTACTATCAAAAGATACCAGTAGCTTGACGGTTAAAGTTGCACAGAGATTATTGTATTGCGTACACACTGTGCTGCATGAACGATACAGATTTTGAGTTGTACAATGCGTGTGACAAGGGCCCTTTTCTCGGATCATAATACCGGAAAAGTCCTTGCCCAGAACATTGTCGGCAATCACCTTTTTCATAGAACATTAGCCAATCTCGACGCCGCATTTCTCGCATCAACTCTGTCCTCATCTTCTTCTTCTTTTAAGCCCGGCAATCCACCAGTGCTGCCACTGAGCGACCTGTCACGACCCACACCCTCTTCTTCGCCATTTGCGCCTTCGGGAGTAGACATGAAACTGCCTGAAATGCTTCGGTTAAGTCCATCGGGGCGTCTTGGAACACCAGACCACGAATCACCTTTAGGACCTTGACTGGCTGCAAGGCTGGCCCTCCTTGCTGCTGGATGTGATTCTCTACCCAGCCGGCTAAGTCCACCAGAGGCATCGATCGCTCGTATGTCGGGTCTGATGCTTTCTAAGGTTGCCAATGTCCGTCGCTCCGCTTCAATCTCACGAATTACATATTCTCGAATGCTTAGTCTCAGATCTGCAGCAGTCCGAGCGAACCACCTTCGTTGTTCAAGCAATAAATTTGCTGTTACACGTTGCGTTTTATTGTGAAGATAGACTTCATTACTGCGTGCCTCGTCAAGGGCTGATATGGCCTCATCAACTTTCTCCCTTCGGACAGATGAGCTGGCCTTCAAGCGGTCTGCGGCATTTAGTTTGCTTCGAGTTAATTGTTGAGCTTGTAACAATTCGCGCAGAAGGATGTGTCGATTCGTGAGAGTTTCCTTGACGATAAATGCATCTTGAGAGTGATACTGAAGTGGGTCACCAATTGTCGTAGCTTCAGCAGTACCTTGTGCTGCATGAAAATCGCCCGTACTTTGAATTGTCTTTCCAAGTTTCCGGTATGCATTAGCGAGGCCTGGATGAGGCTCTTGGATGTTCATTGCACCCAACTTAACACCGAAATCGGACTCCGCCAGACCAAGACCTGTACACAGGTTAGCAGCTGGATACGAATTTATCATGTGACAACCTACCTCGTCTTGCTTTAACTAATTTGTCCACCTTATGGCCTGCATCCATTGTACCAAGGTAGAAGAGCTTCACCACCGGTCTTGCGTCTTGTAATTCTGGCGTATCATCTGGTGGAGGAGCAAATTGTTTGATAACTCTTCGACGGACGCCAGTAGCTGGTTGCTTTCTCTTCAACATTGGGCTGTATCCAAAATCACTCTCAACGAACAAAACCATCTCATCATCTCTCATTAATACGTCATTAGAACAGACATAATTGAGCCATCTCTGAAGAGAAGCTTTAACCCGCGCTTCGTCCTCATCCGTGCCAGCACCAGCAGATGTCAACGCGGGAGGAACTGCGGGAACAATAGCTTCCGGATTCGAGGATATTAAATGGTCTGCCAACTTGATGAATTCGGAATGTGTTCTTCGCACATCGCGAAATTGAGTGGTTCTAAATTTTGGGAGATTGGTCTAAACATTTTGGTTAGCGAATATCATGAATACGTATTTCTCAATTGATGACCTACATGTACATCAAATCGTAAGATAGGATCTTTCCTCCCAGTGCGCTCCAGTCCAGTAATCTTTGCTTGCAGCTTGTAATGTGGTGCCGTGGCATGATGTGCCTGTCGCGTAGCAGAATGGTGATATCTCTGAGGTTCGGGTCTATGTTGACCCGCTGAATACTGTGGTTGTGAAGCTGTTTGTTGCTGATACTGTTGTCCAAACCCCTGCTGTGCCTCGGCATCACTTTGAGTTGATTCGGCAGTATCAGGTCTGCGACTTTCAACATCAGAGACTGATGCACCAGCACTGCTATCCGGTCGATTGAAACCTCCTGCTCCCATTACATCTTCTTGAGGACGGGTTGCACTGCCGGGTTGATTCGGGTTATATGGAGTTGGCGAGACAATATCTCTCGTTGGAAATGTGCTGGTCCTTGTATGTTGCGGTGAGCCAGTAGGGGAAGATCCCCATGGAGAAGCACCTGCCGGATTATCGGCATCGTTGATCGAGGCAGAGTAGTCCATGGTGATGGATGGCGCGCGACGTTCGAGTGTGTAAGATGATAAGCTAAAGACAATATAATAGGAACGTAGCAATTATGAGATCACAAAGAAAGGACTTTCGCATTCAAACCAGTGCATATGAGTATTTCATTAATTCGTGAACAACAAGTAGAAAGAGAAAGATGCCAAATCAAGCAATCAATTGAGGTTGACTTGAGCTTCTGCTGAGGTAGGCGTCAACAACCCAGAGATGGATTTGTGCCAGGTTAAGGTTATGTAATCACTAGGACAGGGGTCTGGTTGTTCTCTGTGTGCCGTGCAAATGCTCGATCATTTGCCCGGCACAAATTCTAAGGGTTCGGCCGCTCCGTTGGTCTGGCTTATTCCGCCCCCCCGTGCCCTCTGTCAATTAAATGGCCTCAGGCAATAAGGCTCATTAGTAATCAAGCATTCTTCTCAGTTCTCAGTCAAGCCTACGCAAAGTACAAAAAGTTCTCTTCAATACCTAGTAGGTATCTTCAATATCTTCAATAATTTGAGGAGATGGTTTTGTTAGTATCGAAAAGAGGGTGTCGACTATGGCCACCATACTTGACACAAGTTACTCGACCTGGTCAGACTAAGCCTAGTCAATTGAAGGTGTTCGTTCGCTATAAAAGCCTTGATGCATCAACAGAGGCACCAACAATGGCATTAACAAAGACAACTCGAAATATCGGTATAATAGCTCATATCGATGCAGTAAGTTTCATTGGTCTCTCGCGTGGCTTGTCTCTGATGTCTCGAAAAGGGTAAGACAACTACTACAGAGCGTATGCTCTATTACAGTGGCCATACTCGACACCTAGGAGGTACGATTATTCTAGTCACATAATTTTCACCAATTATATAGTCTGACGAATCTGTCAGACGTTGATGATGGCTCTACCGTCACAGACTTTCTCCCTGCCGAAAGAGCCAGGGGAATCACTATTCAATCGGCAGCTGTGACCATGCATTGGCCTCCTGTGAATGAGAAGAGGACCGAAGATTTTCGATCGGATGTATCACATACCGTTAATCTGATTGATACTCCTGGCCATGCAGATTTTACATTTGAAGTCCTTCGTTCTTTGAGAATTCTTGATGGTGCTGTGTGTATTCTTGATGGTGTGGCAGGGGTAGAAGCCCAGACGGAGAAAGTATGGAAACAGGCGAATAACTATAGTATTCCTAGAATTGCTTTCATCAATAAGCTTGATCGTGAAGGAGCCGCCTTTGCAAGAACGGTCAAGGAAATTGGATCGAGACTTGGAGGTTGGCCTGCGGTCTGTCAGATCCCGTGGTGGGAAAATGGCAAAGGGAAGTTTATCGGAGTTGCTGATGTAGTCAACCTTATTGCTCTGAAATGGAAAGAAGATGGCGACGGCAAATCCTTCCGATACGTCGATATTTACGAGTTGGAAATTACTGACCCAGACTTCCGTTTAGAAATTTTGAAAGCACGAGCTGCACTCGTGGACGCATTGTGCCATTTCGACTACGAGTTTCTTGAAATCTGGTCGGATAGTGATTCTGATCATGGCGTCTCGTCAGAAGACATTACAGAAAGTCTAAGAAGATGCGTGCTTGGCGGCTCTGGTAAAGTCATACCTGTCTTTGCTGGAGCCAGTTTTCGGAACATTGGAGTTCAACCACTTCTTGATGCCATTATTGATCTCCTACCGAATCCTACTGAAAGGCCTAGTCCAGAGGTTCGACTCGGCAACGTCCATGGCAGTCTATCCCAGCTTTTACTTGGAGAACTAGACCTCACCGCAGCGCAACCGAAAAATATATCCAAGAAATCCGATCCCCAGACTTCTCTCGTTGCCCAGATCAAAGCTTGTGCGCTTGCTTTCAAGGTAGTCAATGATCCTCGACGTGGCGTATTAGTTTATATCAGGGTATACTCCGGTAGGGTCAAGCGAAACTCTACCTTATGGAATACGAATCTTCACGTTTCCGAAAAAGCTCAAAGGCTTTTGCAGATGTACGCATCCGACGCGGTAGAAATAGAAAGCATTCCAGCCGGCCAGATTGGCGTTATCGCCGGGTTGAAACATGCTCGCACGGGCGATACTTTATTGTCAATTACAGCTGCTCATCTGAAAAACGGTCCACCACCACCCTTAAATATCCTTCAACTACGACCGATTGAAGTCCCTCCACCAGTCTTTTTTGCTGCGATAGAACCGCATAGTCTAAGCGAAGAGAAGAACGTTGCTGAAATATTGCAACTCTTGTTGAGAGAAGATCCTAGTCTTCATGTCAATATTGATGAAGAATCTGGACAAATGCAGTTGAGTGGTATGGGTGAGCTACACCTAGAGATCGCCAAAGATCGACTTGTGAATGATTTCAAGGCCAAGGCAACCATGGGTAACATCGAAATCGGCTATCGAGAATGCGTCCTGTCTCCAGCATCACCTCATCATTATATTTTCGATCGTGAAGTTGCTGGTAAGAAAGGAAAGGCAGGGTGCGAAGCTAGCATTAGTCCGGATGAGCAGCCTTTAGAAGAATCAGACCATACTATAGATATAGATGGAAACACAATTACTATCCGTATTCTCAGACCTGCTAAACATGATGGAGGCGATGGAACCCTGACACTGCCCTCCAAGATGACTCTGGCCGAAGTCCACACGGCATTGATCAATGGGGCCGTTGCAGGCCTTGCTCGTGGTCCACGTCGTGCATTCCCACTCCATTCTGCACATGTACTATTAAAATTTGACACCATCGAGGATGTTTTCGGCTCTGCGACCACACCCGCCGCATTATCTTCTGCATCAAGACACGCAGTACAAGCTGCTCTCAAAGAAGCGTTCCAGGCAAACTCCATCGGACTAATGGAGCCGGTCATGAACGTAGTTATCAGCTGCGACGAATTAACCCTCGGTGCAATTATTCACGACATCTCATCAGCTCGAGGTGGCCATGTGCTATCACTCGAACATGATAGCGAAGTAGAAGATTCAGAGTATGAAATGGCACGAATTTTTCAACCTAGACGACAACCTAAAATTTATGCTCCCCCAGATCCTTTCGCATCGGGAACCAGCACAGATTCGTCAGGTCCTGGTCAGCAGCGCCAAGTCACTGCCAGAGTACCATTGAAAGAAATGGTTGGATATTTGAAGCATCTGAGGAGTATGACTAGTGGCAGAGGGACTTTCATTATGAGTTATGATAAGTTTGAAAGATTGTCTGGACCGAGAGAAAAGGCTTTGTAGTACACTCACCATTGGTTAATTTAGTTTTAAATGATATCCTTTCCACTCCTGAAGTTTGGATGCATTGGGTGATTTTGAGTGTTCATGCAGAAATATCATCAGTACAATAGTTCTTGAAATAGCTCACTCAATTCAGTAATTCAGTCCTCAATTCTATGTTTCCCGGTTCCTGATATGGGGCTCTCCTTGCTGTGTTTGCGGATCCACCTCTGGTCATGTGGTAAATTTTATGAATGGCACTACTTTGGCCATGCAGGTTTTCTGATAATACACAAGCTAGTCCTCAACCAAATTATGGCAATGGACGAGAGACGAGATCAGCGGGAGAAGAATGCTGACCATTACATCCAACAGGTCGATGGAGAAATCGGTCAGGGTTATGATGTTGCCGTCGCTTGTGATAGCAAACGCTTGTTGTGGCAGTGTGGTGGCGTGTCTATGTCTTCGGGATGACAAAATATCATTGCTTCTCTTCCTAATATTATATTTACGACTAAGCGATGCTGGCAAGTGACGACGAGAAGCTGACGGTGTAAAATACAAAATTGACGATATAATCTACAGTACGAAGCTAGATGGAAAATATTTGCTTACTCAGGGCCAACAATCGAAAATAAGTATCTCAAGTGGGCCCCTATGAGTTTGTATTCCTGTCTACTCGTAAATCCTGATTGACACGTTTTATTTTCGTCTAGTTATGGATGGAGAAATCGCAAATACAATTATACAAAAGCCCTCCACGAGCAAAACATCCTTTCTATCTGTCATTGGCAATATCTTCAATCTGCCAAGTTACTCCGCAAGAGATCCGCAAGAAAGATCCTCGTTGCTGTAAAACTTCAAGGTACCGGCTTTATAGGTAAAGTGATAGTTAACAAACAAGATATGTTGATTGATTTCGGGGCAAGATTTACAGAGGGTTGGGTGGATACAAACTTGATGGAAACATGCAAAGGTGATGGGTAGGCAGTGAAGAAAACCACCGATTGCTTGGCTATTTGATGAGTTTCGATCGCTATGAGATGTATATATATGCAATATATTTCTGCTTCGTCGTCCCTCAGCGACTCGACCTATTATAAGGCTACTCATTCTTCCCGCCCCCGCGCTACTATATTTTGGATAGGCACTTCTTTTTTAAACCAATCCTGAGTTAGTTGTCGATCCTATATCGGGCGTTCCGTCAAATGGTCAAGATATAGACTCATCGAGACATCAACCTATACAGCCCCGGCACCTAAATTGTCTTGTTGCATATCTGTTCAATCTCCAAATTGACGTCATCAGGTGGAAAGAGCCAATAGATTCATGAGCGCAAGTAAATATACTTTGGGAAGGTGCGTTAGGGCATGTACTATCTTTGTCTAGCAACTGTTAGCTCCCGTCAATTGTTCTAGAGCTAAACTCATCTGGACATTAGCCTAGATAGCCTTGGACCATAATTAATCTTGTTGCATGTCTCTTCCATCTTGAAATTGACGTCATGAGGTGGAAGGAGCCAATGGATTCTCGAGCGCAAGTAAACATACTTTAGGAAGGTGCGCTAGGTATGCACCTTCACTTGTCTAGCGATTATTAGCTCTTGTGCTAATGGATAACGGCATAGCTTTAGTTTCTGCTCTACCTCCGATCCAATGATCTAGCGATGCTATTCACAAATTGATTAGGTATTTCTACATTCACCACACCACAACCAATTGGTCCAAAATAGTCCAACTTGAAGCAAAGGCCCAAAATTCTTCAGTTCATTCTCATATGAGACTTTCTTCAGGCCTTTCGCGTTTCATGGTATGTACATGGTAAATGAGCGAGGCTACCTTATCAAATATGTATCAAACATGTATTGGCTATCTCAACTCTTTGGATGACGATGACTTGATTTACGAACGAGTACGATTACTACAATCATTAATGATGTGCCGTACTATCTGCGTATTTTGCAATACAAGACACCGGATACCTACTTAAGCTTTGCACCTTTCTACAACTCATCGACCTCTATCTTCAAGAAACTTTCTTTTCACATTTGCACGAAATCAAACAAACCACGATATGACTTATATCGAACCTATAATCCTTGAATCTGACAGGGAGGACGATGATAGCAGAGAATATTCACCACTTGCAGAAAGCAGCAGGAAAAGGTACATCCCTTTTTCATGTTGAGGTACAGGAATTCGTTACTGACTTGTGGTATAGCTCGGCGACCATGCACGATAGCATTTTGCCTAATGAACAAGACTCTCATAACACCCGATCTAGACGCAGGATGGCAGACCATAAATCCGTCGGTAACGTCCCGTCAACTCATTCGCAACAGGAGAAAAAGAGTATGCCTAACGCTTTCAATCATCTAATTCATGACTTACACTCAATAGACCCCAAAACCAAGCGCAGCAGATCTCCAAGTCCTTTCTCCATGATCCCAGAGGCTCCTCCATCGAAGAGGCGGATATATAACCCTCCCATTAAACCATGGATCAAGAATGATGATATTTTCATGGAGGTTCAGGACAAACTCTCGCTGTATGGTCTAGGTCTTTACGGAGTACCGGTTGCAAGCGACAAATGGCTTCCATTCAATGTACAGTCTAAGATTCTAAATCGCGCACAGAATCTCTTGGAGGAAGCTTTGTTTGAGTTCTTACATAAGACTTGGCCAGAGCTATGCGCAGAAAATGGATGGGAGGAAATGGGTGAAGCTGAGTGAGTTGTTATCCCAATATCCTGACATACGATCTCATATATAAGAGAAATGTACTGACATTAGCCTTTGTAGGTTAAACGAACTAGCTCCTGTGATGATGGCTGGTATCAAAGCCCACAACGATGAGATCGAGCAGCTCATTGACTTCTACAATCCCCAAGTTTCCGTCAGCCTTCCCTACCTCCTCGAGAAAATAGGTCAAATCCGCCACTGCGCCGTCCATCGCACCAAGAAAATTCCAGTAATCATAATCGAACTCATGGTCCGCGACGCATCATACATTACGATGTATCTAAAAGACGACGAGCGAACCAAGGCCCTCGACAACCTATGTCGTCCACTTGAACCTTTATCTTTCAATCTTCAAGCGAGATTTGGCGATGAGCTGGAGGGGAGGGTCGAGCGGGAATTGAAGAGAACGAGCGCGGAGATTGAGAAAATAAAAGAAGCGCTGAGGATAGAGGAGGAGAGAGAGAAAAAGGCTCAGATGCAGATGGAACATATCAAGGCGCAGGATGAGAAGGTTTATGAGGGTGAGTTGGAGGCTTTGAGAAAGTCTCTGTAGTAGTATATCAAGCATGGATGAGATACATGGCAGTCCGGGGGTTGGAGAGGGGGGTTATTTACTATGTTAGCATAGCTTCGAGTGTGATGACTTTACACGCTGAATACATCATAATAACACACAACTGAATAAAGAGTTTATTTACCATGCTTGATCAGGATTTGTTTGACTACCCCCTATAGATCCGAGCCAGTGTTGCTTCTTTCCAGATTGGTGAGAGATCAGTCCGAGAAACAAAATTCGTAGTCTGGTTTCTGACTTCTGTAGAACCAGTTATTGCTTCAAATACTCATTCTTCCAAAGATCAATTATTACAACGGTAAATAAATCTATCCACTTACTTGTAATATACTTCAGAATTGAGGCATATACCGGTATCATATCATCGACTATGAATAAGTTGTGAACATCTTACTCGTATCGTAATACGAGCCTATCTAAGATAATTAGCTGCCTTCCAAAACGTCTCATTGGAGAACGAATTAATTCGGCTCACCGGCTCACCGGGAGTTACTTAGATTCTTCAATGGTGTGCGCCAAGCCCGAGCTCCGAGCTCCAAGCCTCAAGCCTTCCATATTTCTCATTAACCTTTCAGACAAGCAAGTGATCCAACATCATCCTATAGGAAGGATTCCTGCCCATTCCTTCCTACAAGGATCGATACCCATTTCTAACCTCCCAATACGAGTGAGTCATTTTATTTTTCATCGTATCGTATCGTATCGTATCGTATCGTATCGTCATGCAATTCTTGAATACTTATGATATGGCATGCCATGCCATTATCCCAAAGCGAAGAATTGCTTGATGGACTCCTAACTCCAAAGTACTTTTGTATTACCCATGAAAGAGTCAAAAAGAATAGATACGTGTTTTATTGAATTATTGAATTGTTACTGATTCCTCAGTGAATATATATCTATCAGGTTTGGTTTGCGCATGAGAAGGCTGATTATGAGCTTTGCCCATTTGCTGACCCTCAACATGGCGCAGCGCAGCTGATTAGATTAAACAAAGAAAATTAAGTAAGTTGGGTAAGTGGATGTGAATATGGAGAACAATTCAATTGCTTTCAAACTATTTGAATCTTTTTGTTTTGTCTTTTTGTGTTCTCAATTCTCATGTTCATCATTTCTGAGTTTCTGAGGTCGTCTGGTCTAGTAACCAATATGTTGTGTCTAATACCGGTACACATTCCCGTTTTGCTTGCTTTGATTGCATCCTCATCAGCATATTGGATACAATTCAACTCAGAACCCCGATGCGCCAGCAAAGAAATTCTACACACATGGAACGGTACCCCAAACCAAGGATGTCAAGCACGAATTGCGCGGACGGCTTATTCGGCATTTATTACGAACACGGGAACTTCGGATGACAATACCGTTGTTGTATTTTATTCCACCCCAGATTGCAATCCTGAAAGTGCCATCACGCGAGTCGAAAATGGATGTGTTAAGATCGAAAGCGAGAATCTTGAATTCGAATATCAGTCTTTTAATGTGATTCGGTCGTTTGATTCGGCGCGGATGACGCCGGTCGAGAAGAATGAGTTGGGGTATCAACATGGGGGAATGGCGCTTTATAAGGGGGTGGAGTATAGATGGTTGAGGCAGGCTGATGGGTCGTTTCGAGGAGTTCTTCCTGAGGAATGGTATGATGCTGTTCTTAAGCAGAGAGGGATTACTGCTTTGGTGGACTGAGAAGTAGACGGCTACAGTGCGTGTATGAAGTTGCATGTGACAAAGCTGGATATTCTGGATACGAAGACTGCTTGAAAGTTGTTTCTACTCAGTATACTGGATCAAGCCTTCAGCACGAGGAACGTTGATCTAGGTGGAAAGGCGGCGTCCAGTCTACTGCGGACTACGGATTTTCCATGCTAAGTTGGACGTGTAGGCGGAAGCCGTGGATGTTTAGACGTTTGGGTCGCAAGCTCTACCTGCTTGGCAAAGCTGGGGTGAGGAGGCTACTATCTTCGCAAGGATCTCTCTGTGGAAGGGGTTCGATTGATAATGGCGTATCGCAAAAGCTGTTTGATGATAGGTGGTGAGGCTCCAGATACTTCTGGGAAATTCGAGGATATCAGAGCAGAGATGAGTGACTACAGATGGACTTCAACATTGGTATTAACGAGTTGATGAAGAGTGCAATGCCCGGCGAAAAAAAGGCAAATTGAGAGGAGCAGGGAGTTACTGGACGCACTTGCTTGCGAGGAAGTTTTACAATGCCCCATAAGTCTTTAAAACGACTTTTGATCGGAGAATAGCTTCGTTTCCATGGGGTTGTCTCGGATAGTAGTCAGAACATTCAATCGGATATATTGCTGCGTTACGCGAAAATAATCCACCAAAATCGTAAAGATGCGCAGAAAAACTCGCGCTTGAAATTTGGCAAATACAGACAAACTTCAGGGATTTTGGTTTCCTATATGCACCATAACTCCAAATTCTATGCAATGTGATATCAAACCTCCTATTGCCAGTCATCTTCGTCGTCACTCTCTACATTGGCTAACTTCGAATCTCGAATGCCACCCTTCTCTCGGCGCTCTTCTTCTTCATCCTCTGCATCACGCCTCCTCTTTGTAACTCTCATATCATTGTCTCTGATAGCCCCGATTTCGATCAACAGCTTATCAATCTCCGCCATTCCTATCCGCACGCCTCCCATAGTCATCAGTGTAACCACTTGTTTCACGATATCCCCTTTGTTGTACACCAGTATTGTAGGACAATTCTTTTCCGGATATCCCTCAATTGCCATATCACCCCTCATCTCGCAAAACTTCACTTCCCCAAACTCAGCAGCTGCTCTTCTCCACAGCTCGATCAAAACCCTACTCTCCACATTCGTTCCCAATCCACTTATGAGATTAACCAATACTGGCGAGTTTTGACTAGCATCTGTAACCTCCCTCTGGTAATCAGGCTTCGATAAAGGATATACTGCGCCGTGTTTGGCCTTCTTCGTTATAGATGATAATTCTGCCATCCGTTGTTTTTTATATTGTTCAAGGAATACATCATCTTCTTCATCTTCGAGAGCATCAAGTTCGTCAAGGTCTTTGCCTTCGAGTCGATTTTCGTGCGCAAGACGGCGTCCTTCGAGAATGGCTTCTTCGATGAAGGGTGTAGGGGAAGGAGTTCTCTCGGGAATTATCCCCTTCGCTCGTAGAATATCATTCCATTCTGTGTCGGCATGTGGATCATCTATAGGAACGTTGACTCTCTGGTCCATAGGGGCAGCCATAACTGTGGCAGTTGAGATTGTTGTGAGAAGTTGTTGTATTATTGTGTGAGGCTTTGAATCCACAACGAGCAAGCTGAGCTATTGGAGGGGTAGGTAGTCGGAGCCAACAAGTGTAAATGCCGATCCACCCAAAAGCACAAGCACTTTTTTGCAAGGGGAGAAATGATGCTACACGTGACTATCTCGGTTAAAAAATCTGGCACACTCTAGGGTTTTCATTGAATGGTTCAATTTCTCCGCTCTTGGTACTCAAAAATTCGATCCATCGACCCCGACTGACATTCGCTCTCTACGTCCAGCAAACTTGAGACTACGACAAAGACCCGTCAGTCAGCAAAATAAAAATAAAAATTTCGATCACAATCCGTCAAGATGGTAAGACATCCCTTCAATCAATCATTCCCCCACATCAAGGCAACGACTACGACATGAGGTGGAATTGAACAGCGGCACACGACATTCATGCAATTATACGAGAAGGAAAATACGCTTGGGCATGAAATCGAAAATGTTATTTGGTCGCTATGGGAGTGGATTGGGTCGCTGGAATGGATGGATTGATGGTTTTCGATATCTTGCTGAGGATAATGGCTAACCAGATTTTGCCACGATAGGTTCTCGCAATCGATCTCCTCAACCCTTCCCCAGCTGCTGAGGCACGCAAGCACAAGCTCAAGGTATGCGACAACACCTTTTAAATCGATTCTCGACTCGATACGAAATTGGCAGCAGCTAATTTTTTGCCACTTTAGCAACTTGTCCCAGCTCCTAGATCCTTCTTCATGGATGTCAAGTGCCCAGGATGCTTCACCATCACCACCGTCTTCAGCCACGCCCAAACTGTTGTCATCTGCGCTGGATGCTCAACCGTTCTCTGCCAACCAACAGGTGGTAAGGCTCGTTTGACAGAAGGCTGTTCGTTCAGAAGAAAGTAGATCAGATATCTCCGCGCTACTTTTCTTTCGGCTTCGTCTTTTCGGTTAATGGCAATGGCATTGTGCGGCTATAGACATGGTCTAGTTTTCGATACGCATTTTGACGGATAGAAGATGGACCTCACCCAAAATTCCTTGCGAAAGATAGTGGCAACAAGCAGCAAAGGGGCGTTTGGGAAAATCCGGATATCTTGCATCAAATCAAAACCGATTTCCTCATAAAATTTGATTTATTTTTCTTGTGTATAGGTCGTTTGTGATATGTTTGATCGCGAACGTAAATACCTACATCGGTGGATCCGAACGGCAGGAAACAAAGATTCTACGAATGCTCTACGATGATCTATCCACGATGATAGAACGACTTGGAGTTGCGAGGACTCGGATTGTTTCTTGAGGGCCGCTGCATACCCTTTATGGATATGGAGCTTGTGCTATATCAATCAACCATGATTTACGATGCCATTTCCAATGCCCATTTCGTGAAGAGTGTATGAAATTTGAGTGATTTTGTGTCGTTATACAAGGAGCCCTCGCAAGCGCGCTTGTTCAGTTGAGCCCTTTCTTACCTTGCAAATTTTCTATGTTCACTTTGGATATGAAGTGATATGTTGTGATTGCCATGAAAAATCTGAGATTCGGACGTTTAGCTGCTTCCCGAACATCTCATTTATGCTTAGCTAACACGAACCAAGGTTTCGTGATACTCTAGCGAACACTTGTTCCAACCCACGCTGTGATAGTGTTCACCCACTCTCCTCAAATATCCAGCTTCCTTTTTCACCGCGCAACCAAGGGCGATGGACAGATATTCAGCATGCCATGCTATTCCTTGGACTTTCCAGGCTCACCAATCATCAGATCAATGGATCGTCTTTACGCCTGTACCACATTTTCTGTACGACACATGTTAGATCTCGAATTAACAGTACTCTGTCATTCGCAATTCGACCAGCAGTCTTGAAATAGGTGTAGTGGGGAGGGATGATATCTGTACTGTTGTTTAGTATCATCCGGACGGTGCTGGATTTGGTCTGGTGAGGGGGTATCGGGGGATACAGTTTACTTGAGGGAGTTAGATTGAGGGGCTTAGATTGAGGGATTCGTAATCGGACTTGTCCATACTATATATACTATACTGAACGAGTGCGAGCTATTGATTGGAACTTCGAATCCACGATTCAATTTTCGATATAGTGTGCTCAGCAGGCCTTGTTTCGTCCTGGCAAATAGGACGAGAGGGCTTGGTTTAATGAAGGAGAATGGTAGACTGGTATGTATGGACTTTTAAAGGGGTTCCGAAGTTCCGAAGTTCCGAGGATATTGGATTGGGACTGGTGGTAGAGATTCATACGTTATATTTTTATGGAGTTAGAATATAGAGCTAGAGATGGAGATGGAGATGGAGATGGAGATATATCGGATAAATGGATAGGGTCTTGCTTGTTGTGTTGTGAAAGAAGTTATGACGTCTGAAGCCTTGCATAGGCTATTATCCATGTTTGTCGGCATTCAATATACTGTGCTCATAAGCAAGCAGAGGGAGAGTTAGATAAAAGCTCTCCACTATCCTCCAACGTGCATCTGATCTGCTCGGAGGAGAAAGGCGCAGAGAGTTTATTTACTCGGTGCTGGATTTGGTGGAAGATGGATGGATGGTGGTTATAAACGGAATGTCCCTACTGTAGCCTTGAAGATATACGAGCATTCTGGCTTTATTTATTCAGTGTACAGTAGCTGCCACGATACTATACTTGAGGATTTTCAACCAGCCAGGGCCCAGATGTGTGGGATTTGTATGTTTTTTCTTGAGAAGTTGATATGGTTTGGTTAGAGGATTAGGATGCGGATGAGTGGAGTCGCTTATAGAGTTGTCCGTATAGCCCGGGCTGTATGGGGTAAAGTCTTCTCGAGAATGCTAGGAATACTGTGGGTTGTTCTAGGTGTTCTAGGTACCTAGTAGACACGAGAATGTTTGTGGAAGGTGGGAGTTTGTATGTGGATGGGATGAGATCTGTCTTGGTGTGGATCTTGGCGGACGGATAAGGATGAGAGATTTAGTATAGTGGCTTCTGCGGTGATGTTAATTGTGAGTAGTGACAAGGGTGAGGTTGGGAAGACAGTGCGAGAGGGGAAGAGGTTATGGAAAATAAATTGCGGAAGAAACAACCTTAATTGTAGAAGGTTTTTAGACTAGATTCGAACTCCGAAGTTACTGGTGGGGTCAATGTCGTACGTGAGTATATGACGCAATTTGATGGGGTCGAAAGCTTTCTGAATATGTTCACATTGAGAGGAATGAGTATTTGGCTTGCATTGATACTTGATAATTAACTATAGGGAGATGTTCATAGCAAGAAGCTAATAGGCTTGAAAATATTGAATTCTGATTCAATGTTTCCTTAGTTTTATGGGATGATAAAATGATCAATACCCAATCCTCATGAATATACCCTAGAGAGCGTTGCAGCGTTCCTTGTATAAAATCCTTTCCATGATTCTTTGTCTGTGCTCTAATATGTGCTCTATATATCATTTAATTCCTTCAAGCTCCTCCATAATCTTTGTCGTTCATTTTTTCCCCATTTTCTCCATTTACTGCTGGTAAGATTCAGCAAGCTTAGTCTGACCCGCCATCGGGGCTTTGCAGGTATATATAGAAGTGGCGAGGTATTCATCTTGTGAAGGCTAAGATTCATGGCTTTAAATCAATACGTTGAAGTGCAGTGAGAGTGCAATAAATGTGGGACTCTTCTTCGCTTAGCAGTCCACTGTAACGGGAAGGGGGGGTAATTAGGTTCGATGTTCCAAATTCACTGACAACTGTACATCTGCTTTGATTCTTGCAATTATTGCAGACTAAATTAAAAACCGAATCTGTTTTAACATTCTAATCCAAAGCAAAATGATTGAATTCAATTGATGAGAGAGTGGGAGTTAGAAATAGTTAAAGGATGAAGATTATTAATAAGGACGCCTTGTCTGGTGCTGACTGTAACCGATGAAGCTTACTCTTCCATGGAAATTGGATGAATATAGCTTCGTGAAAAGTTTTGATTGATCACGTTGTCAGTAATAAAGACGTGACTATAGGAAGCTAATCTGGATGGGAGAAAGTGAGGGTGAAGGTGGCACCTCCCAATATTAAAACAACCACTTTCTCAGTCGAACACTCGTGCCTATCTTCATTTTCTTGACCAAGATCCGGGTCTGATATTAGAACAACTATCAGTATATTTTCACAACTTTTCCCACAGCCAACCCTTACCTCACAAGTAAATAATCGAGCTTCGAATATTAGCCGAGAAGCAAATCGATCTCTTTCAGATCTTGACTTTTCTAGACAATCTTAACGCAAACAACCTAGTGCTTTCATATAAGCAATCTCATCAAGCCGTTTGTGTCACGATTCTCCCAATTGGAGTCTTCTTTATGCCCATATTCAACACAGGCCATAACCTTATGCTACAGATCTCGAACGCCATGGTTAGTCGCTAACATCATTTCCCTACCTTTACGACCCATGGGTATTGCAGCAAGTTCGGAAAATGATTTGATATCGTCCGGTTTGTATGAGGAGTTGTAGGTCGTCTAATGTCTATTCTTGTCAAGATCGATTCAATTCAAAATACCAGCCCAGTCATCGTCTCCCACCAAAAAATATACCTTTCTGGTACGACAAGACAGTATTTTGCCCACGGGAGTCTTGGAAGATTTCTTTTGATCGCGGTAAGGTATTTATTTCTGCCCCACGCAAGATTGATGGGTAAATTAGCATCAAGATTGCCACACTGACCATGAGTCTTCTTTCCTGGCATGCTTTTTATGTTTTAAACCAATCTCACGGCAATTTTTAGTCCAGTTTTTGTCTGAAATCCTATACGTCAGTTCTTCGAAAGTATCTAAAGAGAAGTTTGGATACTCCCTGACAAATCAATGAACCAACGGTAACGCCTCAGCGATAGAAGGTACATCACGACTCATTTTTCAGCTTGATATGCGATACCTATAGATCCTGTCGTAAGTGTGCAGGACCTTCACGAAGCTGATGATTGGAAAAGTATTTACAGTGTGCGCCAAGTTCGTCTATGTAGTACCGGTATTTACCTTGTAGGAGATAGCCCTCCGTTGTATATGATATCTCGTTTGTTTGTCAGAAACTACTATGTTAGTACTGAGGTATGAAGTATTATGAACATGAGTGAAAAGGTCTCCTTGTACTTGCCCTTTAATCAAAAATACCTATTGAAGTCTCAACTTTACATGATGTTGTATTTTGTTTAATAATCTTTGGTTAATAGCATTTTCGGTTATATGAGCTGCGTAGTTGTTGGCAGTGTTCTCATTTCTTTGTTGCCGTAGGGGATCTGAAGAACGGAAGGCAAGATGCATCCCTTCTGTCAGATATTTGATATTAGTATATAACTCACGTACCAAAATCTACTTCTTCCATCACTTCGTGAACTTGAAGATTTACTGTACCGTTTATTCATCTACTTATCTCAATACCGGATTATGATTCAATGGGTAAAATCTCAACGTATTAGGTGTTGCAGGACGTACAACTTATCGATACCCTTACAAAATAAAGTTAAAATTGTATCACCTTCAACGAAATCAATTTGAAACTATTATATTTAGAAAACGTTTAGAAAACATTTATCAAAAGATTCGTATACATCTTCAACATCATGCGAGAGTTTCTCGGTGTCACCACTTCACTGTCGCTCTCTCTCAACCTCAATTTCCTCTTCACGTCACCATCATACTAAGCGAGATGTAAAAGGGGATAACCGGTATTAAATCAGTACAGTAAAAGTATAGCATAGTTTTATACATATAAAATACTGGAATTGAGGTTTCTACTGTTATTGATGTTCACGGTCTCATCATGATCCATCTCAATTGAGGAGAGTAGCTCATGCATCGATTCAATGATCTCCACACAAAACTCCTGATCCCATGACTTCGGCTTTTGTTTCACCTTTTTATTTTATATCAAATCATATCTGAAGTATCCTCACTACTTTCTACTCTGTTTGCATATGTCGAAATGTATTACTATCCCAGTATCGATCTTGGTAGTCTTGCATCCTACAGGGCCTCGTATACTGTTCAGAAGCTTACGGGGCATTCAACATCCACAGAGGCATACCTCCGAAGACCTCCCAGGAATGCAGCGTTATAACATAAACTCTGCAGCCTTGAAAAAGGAATTACCTAACCAGACAATGGCGGAAGAATTCAAGATTAGAGACACTTGTAACTGATTGAGACATAGATTCCGGCCCTGGTCCCTTGAAAAAGAACATAGATATTGATTGTAATAGAGTCCTGGTTATATTTAGAAATGCCTTCTCCTGTAGATATCTCTTGCTATGATGAAGATTACTCGAAGATTACCCAGTGCCTAAACACCATCCAGACGAAAGACATGTGCAACTTTGCCAGAGGAAGTTTGCAGAAAAAGCACACCGCTCGGCCGCAATGAAGAAGATTCAGAAACTCCTCAACAAAGATGCTCGAGAAACTTTGCAGGGACAGTTGGAGATATACAATGAGCAGATCAAAAAGCAGCCCAATCACAGTATGACATATACGGACCTGCGAGGTAAACGATATATTTGGGCTAGACTAGATAGTGACTCTTAGTGAGAGGTTTATCTTTCTTGATACATTAAATTTGTAATTTGAAAATAAAAGAGCAAACACTTCTTTCATCCTCTGCTTCTAACTAGGAATGCTTGGGACTTGCTCAGAGAAATGGAATATGTATGTTGAACGTATCCCATTTAATTCTGTACAGAAGGGGCAGCCGAGACAACACAAGCAAGTGCTGATCTACAATAGAGGTAGTTCGGCCACCAACAAAATATACTGGACTTGTTTTAGCATGTAAAAGCGTTGCCGCACTTATACTCTTACCCATCCCTTCATTCTCCATTCTCCATTCTCCATTCTCCATTCTCCAAATCTCTAATCTCAACTCTTCAAACCCAAGCGTCCAATTCATAATAAAATCGAATGATATACTCGTAGAAGAACAAAACAACAAATCGTTTAAAAAGCAAGAAGAATGGCGATACAGCAGAGTGAGCTACTAAAGTTTATGCATAGTTTGGAAAAACGAGACAAATTTATAGTTGAGCAGCAGCTAGAGAGAGCACGAGTAGAATTGAAGCTACGAGTATTCATGAAGGTATGGCTGGAACGCCAAAGGATCTCGACTCAGGAGTAAGAAGATAGGATGGATGCAGAAGTGCAAACTAGGGACGCAACTACCAGGACATATCATGGGAGCGATGAAGAAAAAGATATACTCGAGTATATGTATACAGAATGCTAGATAACGTGATTAATACATAACATACGGGACGTTACAGTATTTGATGGTGAGAATCATTTCCTGCATCGATTATCTCGAATCAATAATTGCAATTGCACTTCATCCGACCAATCTCACCTCACAGGAAATACACCATTCGACTCCAGGATCCAAGGTTCCTTTCCAAGGTTCCAATTTACGTACTCAGTAGTGCATATAACATATATCCATCCAAACATTGTTACTCGTAATCATCGCAATATAGAACGAATGATAAGATCTTGGGAGCTTTTCACCTCATTACACGCACCGGGCAAAAAAAAAAAAAACTCCAAACATGAGATAGATAAACATCCAGGGAGCTCGATTATGCGATTCAAGATTAGTACCTGGGGAGATTGTAACCAGAATCAAGAACGATCTTGAAAACCACACGCGCGAGCAAGGGCATCATCATCTGGAGTCTGGACAGAAAAGGAGATGCGAAACGGCTAGTTCTAGAAGAATCATCAATCATCTAGACGTGGTGTGGTAGTCAAGCTTGAAAGAAAGGCACGAACGATGTTGAATTTTCCGAGCCTGCAGCGTTATGCAAACTCCCCTCCTCTCCTCTCCTCTCCTTAACTTAACTTAACTTAACTCAAGGAGAGGAAGGATATAGCTCCAATTATGTAGGAGGATTAGACAGATTAGGAGAAAATGGACAAATCTAAAGGAGAGTAGTGTAATGATTTTTAGGGTTCAGGAGAGGAGGAGAGAGGAGGAGGGGAGATTACAATTTGCATACACTGTTCTGAGACAATACCACCCAACACCGAAGCCATCACAACATTATTTCATTGTTCTTTGCTCTATACCCAAATCAAAGTAAGTATTTTAATACTCGAGTACTCGTAACATCATCCTAATTCCTAATTCCTAACATCAAACATCAAACATCAAACGTCACTCAAGCTTACCTAGCTACGTATTTCGATCTAGAATTAGCAAAACGTTTGTGTATCGACAACTTGTTCGCGGAAGAAAAGAATGAACTTATAACTGAAAACCCAATCTTTCCATTACATCTTACCTCTTACCCAAAAGAAATCGATCATTGAGCACCAACGGTGAATCTCACAACAATAATAATTTAACCTAATCTAAAATAACGTTTGTTTGGTGCGCAGAAACGAAAATGACAAAGTACCTAGGTAGGATTAATATACAAAAATGTTTCATCAATAGAATAGGCAAAAATTCGCACACGCTTCCATACAACTAGCGATGTGATTTGGATATCATATTAGCTCATGGACGCTTAAAGGACTCGAAGAACTATCTACCAAGTAATTGATGCATTACCAAAAATGCATCACATCAAACACTTCTCAAGTCCAACTAGACCATGTCATATTTCATCATCTCATCATAAAATCACAACGAAAAACACCATATCTTTATTTAGTTTGTTCCATGTTTTCATTTGACTTGTTCTAGTAACCTATGGTAATGTACGTATCTAACGAAGTGCGAAAGGTACTCAACCAAGGTTTGACCCAAGGTTTGATTCCTCCACAACGTATAGGCGCGTGCGTATAGGCACTTTAGAAATATGTCCGACCAGCAACTTCTGTCTGTAAGCTTTAACAATCTCTGATCTCTTACCAGTGCACTTCTCTTGTCTTGCTATCAACGTCGGCTACCTATCCATTCCACCATGAAACACAACTAGGCTTTGTAAAATGAAAATGATAATTGATGAATAATGAGACCTCCCCAGAAGCTGCTGTTCCCATGTGTGGTCGGTCACCCCTTGTAGTCTCCGAAGAGTATTTCATCCCGATTGTTGCAATATTGTCCCCCGAAGATAGTTGTCAAAGAAAATGCAACATCCCCCCAGATTGATTTCTCGAGTGCCAATCACTCCTCATTACCACATCACCCTCATCCCCTCTTCCACACATCGTCAGACTATCATTCAACGAAAAGCAACGAAAAGTAACGAAAAAGAAAATAAGAAAAATTCATCAAGACAGAATATCTCTGGAAAACAGTAGGCTTGTCAATACACCGCAATAAATTGGCAAATTCCATGTTTGACCTGTTGTGCCCTTGTATTCGCTTGTTTCGTGATCATGACGGATTGGATTGATGACAAATATATCCTTCGAAGTATTGGATCTGATGATGTGATAATTGTCGTGATACTTCGAGAAAGAAAGATTTGCCATCGACATGCCGTTCGATAATTTGGAATTCCAATGACGTTGCCCACCAAATGATGATTCCAAAGGAATAATCAAATGTGAGTCATAAGTCATGATGAAAACCAAAGTGCTCGAGCCTTTAGGAAAGCCAGTAATCGATCCATGAAAACGAAAAAGAAAGCGGTCCAAAAAAGAGATATTTGTTGGAGTGGAGATCGAGCCAGATTCAAGAATGTGTCAATAAACAAGTCTTGTATGGTCAACGATGTTTGTTTGTGAGGACTAATCTATGCCCAAGTAGCCGAATGTCGAGTGTCGAAAACGGTCTAGAAGAGTCGATTCAATCCAGGTCTTCAGAGACCATTGCCTGGTGGAGGTGGACCGGCAGAGCGTAGGCTATTTTAATAACTAAAGCGTTAGCCGTCTATTAGCGTAATGTCCTCTTCGCGGCCAGCGCTATTGAAGCCAAACGCGAAGAACAAAAAAAATAGTTCTGTGCAAAGGATGGTGATGAATATGAGGAGACTTACTAGTGACCAGTTCCTTCTGGGGCTTGTCCCTGTTGTTGAATAGGAGTGACAGTCTTGCGTTGTCTGCCTGCAGAGAGTCCAGCGGTTGCTTGAGCAGTGGTTTGAACCTCGGCTGGAGATGCCTTCTCTCCTTCTTGAGGCTTAACCTGTTGCTGGGCGTTCTTTTGGTATTTGTAGACAGTCCAATCAAAGACATAGTCATATTGGAAACCTTCACGAACGAAAAGATCACGGAAGATCTTTCGGAGGTAAGAGTAATCCGGCTTGTCGTCGAATCGGAGAGAGCGGGTGTAGTTGAGGTAGATGGCGAACTCATTTGGGAAGCCACGGCAAAGGACTTCAGTAGGGGTGGTCATCTTCTTCTCCATAATACGATCATACTTCTGCTTTTTGGTAGCAGCCTTAAGACCTTGCCATGGAAGAGAACCACGACAGAAGTAAAGCATGACGTATCCGAGAGATTCCATGTCATCACGACGGGATTGCTCTGTAATAATTAATTAGCATTGGGGAGGGCATAAGTGGGAGAAAAAGAAGAGTACGTACCGACACCAAGATGGGTGTTGATGGAGGCATAACGAGCAGTACCAGTCAAATTCTTGTTCTCACGGTATGGGATGTGGAAGTGAGTCTTTGGGTCTCTGTACTTCTTGGCCAAACCAAAATCGATGACATTGACTTGGTTACCACGCTTGCCAATACCCATGAGGAAGTTGTCAGGCTTGATGTCACGATGAATGAAGGACTTGGCGTGAATATACTCAATGCGGGAGATGAGTTGATCGGCAAGGAGAAGGACGGTCTTCAAGGAGAACTTGCGGTTGCAAAAGTTGAAGAGATCCTCCAAACTGGGACCAAGAAGATCGAGGACCATGGCATTGTAGTCACATTCGGTACCAAACCAGCGAACGAAAGGAATGCCGACACCACCAGCGAGAGACTTGTAGACACGGGCTTCATACTCGAGTTGAGGATGCTTAGCCTTGACAGACTCAAGCTTGATAGCGATCTCTTCACCAGAGATGATATTGGTTCCAAGGTAGATATCACCGAAAGAACCACTGCCGATCTTTCGGCCAATGCGGTATTTATTGCCAACGCGAAGATCCTATGAAGAAATGAGACGTTAGCATATTGTGATGATGAAGATGTGATGATGAATATATGAAGATATCAATTGGTGTTAATAGTAATGATGAAAGAGGATGAGTAGATGCCACATTAGCACAAGGCTGTGTGATAAATGTCAAAAGGTGAAAGGGTTTGTGATCATGCCCCATTTTCAATTTCCAGCCAAACAGTTAGAATCCGATGAAAATCAACAAGAATGTGTATATAGAAGGCTGGAAAATGGGAGTATAAACCAGAGGGGATGTTTTTGGCTTAGCACCCACCATAGTAGTCATCTTGAAGTAAGACTATGGACTCAGTGTATCGGAATCCGATACAAGAGAGTCGGAGGAGGATGTTGTTGTAGAGGTATGTGTGTGTGTATGTCTTTCGATGGAGAGAACCAGTAGACTTTAATGGATCGAAGGAGGAGGAGGAGGAGGATAAGGTCGAAGGGTCGAGATGGATTTGAGAGAACAGACACTAGAAGGTAAGAAATCGTGTCAGTCAACTTGGTGGATTTGAGATATGTTTTTTTTTCGGTTGAAGAAGAGAGAGTGAGAGTGAGAGAGAGAGAGAGAGCGGTGTGTAATAAGATGGATGAATGAATAGCTTTTGAGGGAAAGAGGAAATAAGCGGCTAACGCGAGTACAACACAAAACGATCAAGTGGATTGATTGATTGATTAACTTTATCGAATGATTAAGAAAATGAAAAAGAGTGAATGATAATAAATTGAATGAGGATTCAATTTTCAATCATCAAACTGTACGTACCTATTTGATGCTGTTGATTGATTTTCAAAGGTGTAAAATGATGTTTTTTGAAATTGCCGACCGTAAGAAGACTTTAAATGGGTAGGAAGATGAAAGATGAATTGGAATTCGTGGCCTCGTTTGGGTGGCTCGGAAGGTGTGAATGAATGAATGGGATTATATCAATCACAGTACCGGTATGTATGTTTAAGCTTTATGGTATTGAATCAAATAGAAGATTTATTTAATTAATATAACCTCAACCTCAACCTCAACCTCTTTTATTATTATAATTATATCAATTGAAAATGAAAATGAAGTTGCTGATTGTTGATTGTTGATTGTTGATTGTTGTTGCTTTCAGATTAGGGATGGGTGTGGGTATTAAAAGAGGTGAGGGGAAATAAGAGGGTTTTTTCGGTGGAGATGATTTCTTGCTTAAAATGGCAATGGGTCAAATTTATAGAAATTGTCAGCTGGGAACCATAAGTAGTTTAGTTTTTAGATATTTTGGTAAAAGATATATCCTATTCTGGTAAAGATCAGTAAAATGGGATATTGTATCAGAATTGAAACTCTATGAACATCTTGTAATCAATCACCCCAAGGCCCATTCCATTCTCTCAACTCAATGCAACGACAAACAAAAAGACTTGGTTAGAGATGAGGAGATGAGATAAAGGAGTGAGTTCATGTATGCTCCCAGTGTAAGCAGCTTCTTTATTCATTAAGCTCAACCAAACCAACAACAGCTTACATAGGTACACTCAAGCTCAAGGCTCAAGCTCAAACTCAACATATTAGGTAGGTAAGCTGCAGATGGGTATCAATGGTCAATGGTCAATGGGTCAATGGCATAACAAAAGAATAAGGTTAAAAGAGTCCGTGATAGATCTTCATCTTCTTCAAATATAAACATAAATTTACAGCAAACCAATAACTACATCAACAGCTTTACTTCGTATACTGCATGACAAGCTCTCCTTCATCCAAGATTCTATCCATTCATTCAACTATGGTATCTGATTACAGTATAGTAAATTACAGTACATTTATTCGTATACCTACCTACCTCACTTATATTTGCATGGCCTCATTCTCTTCATTGGCAATCAATATACTAGATCGAGTATGTACTACGTTACTCAAACAAGTTCAATAGGTAATCATGTACTGATACTGATACTGATACTGATACTGATACTGATCTGATAATCCTATTGTTAAACTCACACCAACGCCGCTTCAAGAAACTAGTCACTCACTCACTCTTACTCTCTCTCTCTCACTCACCTTCTCTTATCAAAAGCCCGATCTGATACTGATTCAAGGGAAAAGCCTAAATGAGGGGCAGACATAACATTCATGACCGAAAAGGCGCAATAATGCAATCAATCCAAATCAATCAATAATTCAGGGCAAGATTTAAGGCGAAGGGGCAATAAGGGCAGGGCAATAAGGGCAAAGATTAAAGCAACCAACTGACTATTTGTAACTCCATAACACTGTACAGTATCCAATCCATTATCCATCATCCTGTCCTGTGTCCCGTACTCAGTAACCTTCCATATCCCGACACCGAAAAGGATATAAGTAATAAGAATACAAGAGTAAGTAAAAGATCGAGAACTTACACTCCACAGCCCCTCCCTCCACAGCCTCACCTCCTTCACCTTGTTTCTTGGCCTCTCTAAGAGTACAGGTTTGGATTTCTTGGCCTATACGATGCGATATGATACTGTACCTGTACCTGTACCTCTTTCTCTTTCTCTTTCTTCTCACAACTCACAAGCTAAAGATTTCATTGATATATGTACACAATATCACAAGGCCAATTTAGTCGGTCAGGAAAATGTAGATATGCAGGTAGGCTCATATCATAGTAGCCGCAGCAGCAGGTTGCCTCATTTATGATGGGTTTGGTTTGCTATATACTCGTAATAGGTACCTAGGTAGGTAGGTAGGTAGGTATGCTTATTTATTACTATTAGATATGCCTTTATTGAATTACTTGAGTAATCAATCAATCATCTAATCAATCATTCAATCATCCAACCAATTACTTGGGGTATTTCACTCTATCCATCTATCTATCTATCCATCCATCTACCTGTCCAGTGTCTATACCTACTATATTTACCAAGTATCACTCCCCCCTATCATATCATTATCATCATTATTATAATCAACCAATTACAGTATCAAATCATCTCATAATATAAAACCCCTCATCTATAAATAAACAAACCCTCTCCAATACGGTACTACCTACTTCAAGAACTGCAAGAACTCCATACCCCCCTCCCTCTTCTATCTTTAACTTCACTAGTAGGCCATCCTGTAAGTACCGCTACCGCTGTATAATACTCTTCTTTATAATACAGCCATAAGTATAGTGCCATAGCTATAAATAAATAAATAAATAAATAAATGACTTCTCCCATTCATCATTCATCATTTACCCCGCCATCACTTATCGCCTATCCCATCCCATCCCATCCCATCCCATCCCATCTCGAAGTTATAGTATCTGTATCTAAATCTAAATCTATATCTATATCTATATTTAAATAAAGAGATCTATATCTACAGTACATCTTACATTGCACATACTAGTATCACATTTCATAAACATATCATATATCACAACGATTCAATATTTAATCAATCTTTAATCAATCTTCAGCGTCTAGAACTTTTAATTTTCAAAGGGAGAGAGGGAGAAGGGAGAGGGAGAGGGATTTATAGTACTGTACTATAAATAAGTCTATAAGTCTACTCGAGTATAGCATTCGTTTAACTGAATAGGCCAATGATGGATGTATTCTAGTACTTAAATCACCTAACCTTTAGTGACTTGGTTGGTCCTTGGGTTGTGTATATCATTACAAGAATTATTATTATACTCGAGTATTATCCCAATCATCCCCCATCAAACTACTCGTATATACGAGTATACAATACTGCAATATCAATATCAATATCCACATCCATATCCATATCCATATCCCAACAATCCAACCCCCCATCAAACTACTCGTATACAATACTCCAAACACCACACCAAGAAGGAAGAGGCAAACACTAACTCGAGTATTTAGGTAACCCATAACATAACCCATAACCCATACAGTATAGCTAACCTCCCCCCTCCTCCCTCCTTCCTCAGCCTACCAGTGGCAGTGCAGGCTGAGGCTTGAAGTTTACCACATCATCTCACATCACCACATCACATCACATCACCCACCACAAGCCAGAAATCCGACCCTATCTTTACTCACTCACAACTCACTCACAATTCACAACTCATAACTCACTCATAACCCACAACCCACAAGTTACAACCCACAACCCACCAAGAAGAAAAACGAAAAATGAAAAACACCGCTTTCGCCACTACTATAGCATCTATCTATCTATCTATTGATCATCATATCCAACTCACCTCACTTCACTTCACCTCACTTCACCGGATAATTTTCAATCTCTAGTACTATAATACCATAACACCACATATTACCTTACGACCAACAAGACAGGATTAACATACAATTAGTTAATTAATTAAGTAGGTAGGTAGATACACCAATTCATACTCATACTTATACTCATACTCATACACCAACTCATACTCTTTCATACACCAACTCATATCGTACTCTTTCATATTTTCTTATGCAATATATCAAAATCACCATTTTTGCCAGTGAGTGGGTGGTGTATCTATATCAAAAGTGGCTTGGTCTAAACTTGAAAGGGGGGATTGGGGGGGGGGGGGGGGGGGATGGATAGTGGAATTTATATTACTCGTATATTAATATCACAAATCAATATCACAAAGTAACGCATCAGAAATTCCACAACTTGAAGTAAAATCCTCATCAATCAATTCTTCACCAACATCTGTCTCCTCATCTCCTCATCTCCTCATCTTATATTTTCTTTCCCTCTTTCTCTCTTTCACTTCTCTCCTCTCCCCTCACTTCCCCCGCACTCACTAGAACATCATAATCTACACTCTCCCCTCCCTCCCTCATCCCCTCCACCCCATAAAATAAAAATTTATAGTACATTATACGAGTCATCACACCCACACCAATACCAATATCAATACCAATATCAATATCAATATCAATACCGCTTCCAATATCAAAACACGCAAACATACAAACAAACAAATTTTAATAAGAACAAACAGCAGCAGTATCAGATCAGATAGCAAGCAGCAAGAGTACTATTTACCACCCCTATACCTGCTCCTGCTCACCCCTCCCCCGTCCATATTAAACACACCATCCTCTCAACTCAACCCTTCCCACCCCAAACCAATATTTCCCCCATAGCAAAAAAACACATCTCGTCCCCCACCCATCAATCAATACACCAACATTCCCTACAACATTGTCATCACCCACCCATCTGACCTTCTTCCGACGAGAATCTCCCACCTGCCATCTTCTCACTTTAAGAAAATTAAAGCTCATAAAGTGCAATGCCACGTGCAATCCAACAAAGCCCCATCATGTAATAAAGAAGTTGACTTGTGAGACAACGCACCGCAACGCCATTACGAATGAGAGAAGGAAGACAAAAATGCAAAACATAGAAAAATTAGAAAGCAACGCAAATATGATATTTCCCCCTTGCTCTCCTTTCCTTTCCATGAGAATAACCCACCAAGCAAGCAAGCGAATTATATGCAAGAAGCAACATTTTATAGATTGCACAACAATAAAACAGTAAAGTAACAAAGAGAAAAATAAAAGACGGAAATGAGTAGGTAGCCCGACCATCTTGACACACAATTTGGTTTGATCTCTTCCTCTCCAATTCGGTATCTGAATCTTATTCCCTATTCTCATAAATTCATTAAAATGTGGTGGCCGTCCCGAATTCTTTCCATGTATGTAATTCGATGCACATCTTTAACCACTCCCGCAAGTAAGTAAAGCAATCCAAAACAATTAAACAAGTATTTCGCATTCGAAATCGAAACCCCAAGATCGCTGCCACAAGATCAAAGCATATTATCATGATGTGAACCTGATGCACCAGCATCATGATCACCTCTGCCACCAGTAGGACTCATGATTCTTTCCGAACCAGTGAGACTTCCTTGCCTTGACCTGGCTTCTTGTTCTTCGGCATCCAATCGTTTTCTCCAATCTGCAAGACTACCACTTAATTGAGGAGCATTCTCGGCGTCGGATTTACTGGTTGTAGGACGGTCCTCGTCATCACCGAAATTGCTAAGTCTATAGTTTTTGCTGGTCGTTTTCCATTGCGTTCGTAGCGTTTCTAGTTCCGAGGCAAGACTGTCTAGGGCCATGCTATTACGGTTATCGTTGGCACCACCATACATCGAAGAATCAGATACTGAATCGTGACCAATTGAATTTCGTTGATTTGTAGCAGCAATCGGGGCACCGGCTATGCTATCCATTTGACGTGAATGACGGCGGTAGTTGTCAACCGATGATTCAACTTGATCAAGTAGTAAAGAAACTTTTTGTTCGGCATCTTGAGCGCGCTTTTCTAGTTGGGCGTTTTCTTCTTGCAGTTGACTAAGTTCAAGGCGTGCTTGTTCACTGGTGGATGCCAATTGTCTTTCTAACTCTTCATGACTCTGCTTCAGACTAGAGTGATGAGTTTGAGTGTCTTGTAATTCCTTTCGAACATCTGTCAATTCCTCTTTCAATTGTGCAGATGATGAATTGATCTCGAACTGAAGTGTTCCAATTTGGCCAAGCAAGCCTGCACGTTCACTTTCCCAACTCGTAGGTGATTTTTCCGCTGTAGACTTTTCCTCGGCAGCTGTGAGCTGTTCCTTTAATCGTGTATTATCTTGCTTGTATCTCGACAGTTCATCCTTCATTCGCTTAAGCATTTTTTCAGTGCCCTTGACGTAATGTACGGCAGATTGATAGTCATTCTCCAGCTGACTCAACTTTTCACGGTAAGCACTTTCAGCTTCTTGCTCTCGGTTCTCAAAAGACTCTTTGGTTTCTTGATGCGAATGCATACTGGCCGAAAGTTGCTGTTCAAGCTCACGGAGACGTGCCATGTCTGGTGTGTTCGAACCTGACTGAGGGCTTGATAATCCTCGTGCCCGCGATGCGCCGACCGGACTGATACCGCGTTCACCTAAGATATCTTTCAACGTGTTGTGTTGTACGCTGACTGCATTAGTCTCCAACTGTTGGTTAGCAAGCTGATGTTTCATATCAGAGTTAGCAGCCTGAAGTGATTGTGTTTCACGCATGGAGGCTTGAAGCTGCTTTCGAATAGACATGCCTTCCCGACTGGCCTGCTCTTGATAAGCTTCCAGTCCTGCAATACGTTCCTCCGCGCTTCGAAGCTTATCTGAAGCAGTGTTCGCTGCAGCTTGATATTTCCGAACCAAAGCATTAGAAGCTTGTACTTGTGCCTCCAGAGCCGAAGCGCGATCATCTCTGGCAGAATCCTTTGGTGCAATATCTCTATTTGCCGAGACTTTATCGAGACCAGACATCACAGCTTGCTTGTGGGTTCGAGCCTCATTTGCGTGTTGTTCGGCGAGTTCTTCAGCATCTCGCAAGCGTCGATTGACCGATTCTAGCTCAAGAGTACGATTTTCGTGTTCAGCTCTGAGCGTTAAGAGGCTAGCTTCGACTGTCTCACGGAGACTGCGTTCTTCATCGAGTTTTCGCTCCAATAGATTCTTCATATCGGCTGATGATGTCATGGCTTCCCGAAGAGATTCGAATGTTTCGCTATGATCCTGTGCGGTGTCCATTACATCCCTGTGTCGTGCTTCCAATTCATCCTTCTCGGCTTGAATAAGTTGTGCGGCTGCGACAGCTTCAGCACAAATAATTGCCTCTTCCCTAGCTTGAACCTCCGATTCGTGTAATTCTGCTTTGAGAAGTTCAACCTCGGAAGAATTTTGTTGTTTATATGCTTGTAACTCAGCCATCCGTGATTGTGTGGTGTTCGCAATATCCTCAGCAAGCTGTCTTCCACGCTTTTCAGCTTCGAGCTCAGCAGTGAGACTATCCAACTTGTTCTTGAGATCACGTTGCGATGCTAATGCAGTAGCCAGTTTCCTACTAATATCTGAAGATCGATTGCTTGTCATAGCTTCAATGTCTCTGTTCTCGCTGTCAGGCTGCGGTGTGCTACTTTGACTTCCAGCATGAGCAGCAAGTTTTGCTTTATGGTATACTGCTTCGTTGATAGCGGCATCTCGTTGCTTTTCAGCTTCGGCAATTTGTTTCGCTGCAAGTACCGCTTGTTTGTCAATCGAGGCCTGAACATTAGCAAGCTCTGCTTTCATCGCCAGAAGCGCCTCAATAAGTGGTTTGTCGTCGTCATCGAATGACTCTGCTGCTTTCTGGTCCAGCATGGGGCTGCTGGATGGGTTGGGTGTATATCCAGCTTTCCGTGCAAGTTCAAGCTCCGAAGCATACCAGGCATTTCTGTTTCTAGCGGCATCTAACTCTTTTAGCAATGTCACAGTTTGGGAGTTCCTTGCTGAACTTCTTCGACTAATAGGATTACTTGTTTGTCTTGTGGGAGGAGGTGGCGATGCTTGACGACTGATCACGTTTCTCAAAGACACATCCGTATTACTATCCACGGAATTCTGACCACGAGGTTGTCGCTGTTTTGACGAAGCCCTCGAATTTGTGACACCAGGTTGCTGAGTATTGGAGTCTTGTCTGGATATCAACTTGACACTTTGCTGGGGTTGCCGAGCATCAGATTCTTGCCTTGCTATTGACTTGGCAATCTGTTGTGGTGGTGATTGTGGCGGTGGTTGAGATTGAGGCGGCGGTTGCGATTGAGGCGGTGGTTGATATTGAGGTGGAATTCCAGCTTGCATTTGAAGAGGAATTAAGCTCTGCGAGAGTGGCTGTTGCTGTTGTGGAGCAACTTGGAGCGGAGGACGTGGGCCATTGGTAATCGGACTTTCTCGAGTTTGAAGACTTTCTTCCTGCGCAGGCGAGAGCGCTCGCTGCGCTAGTGGTATGTTCTCTAGTTTAGGATTTCGCGTCGAGGTATCGATGGGAGGACCGAAGCGATTATCGAGTCTTCCCTGCCCTGAAGGACCCTGAGGATTTTGGGGACCTTGTGAACCCTGTGGACCTTGCGGACCCTGTAGACCCTGTGGTGGACCTTGAGGACCTCTAGGACCTCTACCGTTGGGTCCGGCATTTGGACCTCGAGGGTTAGGCACTTGTTGTTGTGGAGGTGGGCCAGGTTGAGCTTGCGCCATTGATGCCCTCGGTAATTTTGAGCCGGTTTGTGGGCCTTGTGGTTGAGCGGAACCTGGGGCGATGCCGTTGGAATCGTTCCCGTTAACATTGGGCTGACCAGCACTCCGACTGGTAGCACCCTCTCTAGGTGGACCAGGACCTCTCTTTGGTTCTGGCAATGCAGACGTTTCTCTGGAGCCCATATTTCGTGGAGGACCCAAACCACTCTTTTCACCACCACTTGGACGTCTACCTCCAGGCACACGTTCATTAACAGCAGACTGCTGAGACTGTGGAGGTGCCTGCTGATCATTGGGATATCGGATTTTGCTTGTATCGAGGACGTAAACGGTTGAAAGGTCTTGAGCTTCACGAGTTGCTGTGCTTGGTTCCCCGGCAAGAACAATGATTTGTTTGCCATAAGCCGTCATACTGTGTCCAGAGCGTGGAGAAGGTGACGGACCCATGTTTTGAAAAGTATACCAACGCCTTGATGAGATTCTGAATGCCGCTAAATCGCCCAAATCTGCACCTTCTTCCGTTCTACCACCAAAAATATACATTACATCATCGACAATTGCGGCTGCATGACCTTCTCGAGGAGCTGGAATATAGCCAATGCAATCAAGTTGAGCCCACGCATTAGTGATTGCATCGTAACACCAAACATCGTTAAACCATTGAAAACCATTGGTTCCTCCAAATCTGGAACAATTAGTACTGGTCCCGATTATTGACTGTTTCATTCTTGGGAAACTTACAGGAAAAGTTTCTCATTATAAGTCACAACAGAGTGGTTTGTCCTGGCTGGGGGAATTTGTCCAACAGGTGGTCCACCCTCATCACTATTCTTTATAAGCATTTCCCATCTATTCGTAGGAATTTGTAGTTGATTCAAGTCAAAAGCAACCAGGTCATTCATGAAATATCCTTCTACTTGACCACCAAAGACATATATTTTCGAGCCCAAAATGTTCAAAGAGTGCCCATATCTTCCTGCCGGCCTCGGTCCTGCTGGCACAGCTCTTGACCATTGTCTCGTAGCTGATGATTCTTTAGCGCAGTTCCTGTATGTGTTTGATTTGACTTACACGTATTCAAGAGGTATAGAGTTTCATCCAGGACATCGGCATCCTCCATTTTTGTGTCTCCTCCATATACAATGAATGCATTTCCCACCAGTAAACTTGCATGGCCGACTCTTGGTCCCGGTCCCTCAGCTGTAGTGCCCAGTGGGTAGCATGCCATATTTGCACCCGCTTCTACCATCCATAGATCTCCCTGTACTGTTGAACTGTTGATGAGACCTCCCATAAGATATATCTCACCCTCTTTCGAGGCCATGGAGTTGACAGCGGCACCATATCGAGGAAAAGGAGGAGGATGATTGGTTGTGTATGTTATTCTTCGATGCGACCACGGATATAACGATGAGTTGGGGTTTGAAGTCATCGATTGTACTGGAGGCGGTGCGCCGTTTCGGAGCTACATGCAATCATCACCAGTCAGTATTTGGAACCAAGTTTCATTATGCGAATTGTGAAATTCATAAGATATTGCCATTGCCAGTAACTCACCGCGAGATCTTGCGCCTGCTCTGGAATTGGTCCTCGTCGTCCGTTTGATTGTTCGGGGCTTGGCGCCATTGGATGACCTCCTTGCAGGGAAGTGATGGAATTATTGACACTGCTCGAAGGGGTCGTCGTCCTCTCAGCTTGTTGCGGCAACCGTCCATTCGCAGTTTGAAGGGATGACTGTGAACTAGGTACGCCAATCCCGCCATCTCTCAAGGCCTGGGCCTTATCTGCATTCTTTTTACTCTTGAAGAGGAATGCCATCGTGCCATTCGAGGCCAACCACTTTAACTTCTTCCCAATGCCGGCGCAAGAGGGTAAATGTTCTCGACGAGCTGACAACTACTTTTGATAAACGAATGTTGTTTATGTCGAGAGATTAGAGATTATTGAAATGTGGAATTGGTCGGAGGGTCTCAGGAAAAGGGATTAAGTCTGAGCAAAAGTCCAGGGTTCTTGCTGTTTGGAAATGGCTGGGACTGGGACTGGGAACTGAATGGGGTTTCCGTTTGTTGGTGATTATTTTCTAATCAAGTTTTTATTTAAGTAAACAATGTGAATACTGTATGTATGGTGTATTAAACGATCGAATCTAGTTTTGATGAAATCGAAGCGCAAATGGTATTATTTGAGAAAGGAGTTGAAGTTTGGGAATATTGTTGAAGTATTTGGTCGTCATGAATAATGAGGGAGTTGACGATGGATGGATGAAGTTGGAAGTAATTCTTGGTGGGTCGCGGTCAATTCTAAAATTATTTACCGTCGTCTTCGTCTGTAGGTACTTTTATCGCTTGACCTGAGTCCTGACCTTGGTTTGGCCGCCTGCTTGCTTGCTGATTTGACTGTAATTATGTACGAAATACTACTTACTACCAGTACCGGTACTACAGCATGGTAATACGCCTTGTTTTAACTTCCAGGTACCAGAGAACGAACCACAATTTTGGAATGAGATACCAGGGGGTTGGTTATATTAAGATCTATCTATTCCTGTCTGATTCGAACAGATTCACACAATTGTGTATGATTCTATACCCAATTTTGATGTGGAGAAAAATACCTAGGTATATCATGGGTGAGAAAGACGAGAAAAGGGGGAAAAGGGCAATCTCATTGTATATCTTGAAGTAAAGGAAATGATGAAATCTTTTTTGGTGAAAAAGAAACTGAGTCAAAAATATCCAAAAGGTCTCGCATCTGTACATCCGCATCTACTCTATATATACACGAAAGTCTCTTATTATTGATGTTACTAGTATCTCTCTTCTGTCCATTCTATTTCTGCTAGATATCCTTCCCGTTCTCTATCAGTTCTCTCGGTTCTCTCGGTTCTCTCATTTTTACAGTTTATATACTCGAGTAGTTTTCGATCACTTTCCGCTTCAGCCATTTTTATGCACCCCTGAATCTGAGCATTTCCCCCTTCATTTTTTCATTTTGGTTTACAGATGCTCATTCATACACTTTACTCCATTTGATCGACGATTTGAAGTTTTTAATTTCCATATCAATTTATGGGTAGGGCTATCGATACAGTATCTATTTAAATATCGAGGACCTTGCTCTTGGTTACTATTCGAAGTACTCCGTACTGTAAATAGCGACAACCGTTTGATTTTTACTTGATCTTGTATTTGAAGTAACCTTAACTCGATACTTTCTCTAGATATGGCTGATTATCCTTATCCTTCTCGAACAAATTGATGGAATTTTGAGGGGTCCATATGGAAGGGGGTAAATTGTAACTTCACTATGCCGGCACCCGCCTGAATTGCATGCAGCAACATTAGACAGAAGACTGCTCGGTCGAATAGCATCTTCCTTCCCTGTAGATCCAATCAAAACTATGCATTTGATCTCGAATCGTTTGGCTGCATGCTATCACATATCATACCCTCCCGCTTGACAAATGAGAAGAGATGGAGATCTAGGCTATGCTATACGAGTACAAAGTGGCGATGTATATCTATGCACGAGACGAGATCGATAAGATACAGATTTGAATCCTTTTACTATACAATTTTATGCAGTATACTACGGTACCATTCAAGATCCGTTGAAACAGCAAATAAGCTGAAGGAGGATCCGGGGGAACGGTTACATAGGTTATTCTCCTCACCGAAACAATACAATGCCTCCATCTTTCATCTGATAACGCTGGGAAAAGGATGCGGATACAACATTTAATTGGTGCGTGGTTTGGGGGATTCACACTTATATATATGTAGGTAGGTTTGCAGCGGCTAAAATCCTGACTGAGATTTTGTTTGACAGATGATCTAGGTATATATATAATGGGTACAATCATATCATATCAATCTACTAGGTATCTCATGGTACTGTGAATAGTAATCATCTAGGGATATTAAACAATGCCTTCTGTAACAGAGTGATATACACATGTATATAATGATTTCTGGTAATTTCTAGGGAGACCGGAATACTATGAAATTGCCGAATACATAACCCAAAAATCCAAGTTAAAGAACTACTACGAGTAGCTACTATTCTTATAGACATCTTATATAAAGACTTTTACTTGTATATAAAAGTTATACACTCCCAATCTAAAGATAGTTATCAATCATGGCCTCTATTCTTTCAGCAATCATGTTTGGGCTGCGGCCTTCTCCATTATTCCAAATATATAAGTACTTTAAGTCTATACACTGCGCCTATTCTACTCTCACTTCACCACAATCAACTCCAATTGTATACATTATGACAATTCATGCGCATCTCTTACAACTATAATGCTTTATTTCAATCCTACACTGGCGGTCGACCTGCAAAATGAATTTGTTCATTCATCAAAGGGCCAAAGCCGGCGATGATCCTCTTGGCGAGGCAGAGGCCGATAAAGATATGCGACCTCGAGAATTAACGAATCACGGGTTGGGACGATAAGAGCGACACGACAACGAGGATACCGCCAGTTATGACGACGACGGCTGTGCCATTGGGATTGGCAGATCTGGAGAATCAGTCTTGCAGCCTTTGCAGTGGTGCTAAACACGACGAGTTTGGTGAAGGCAATACGACAGTACGAAGCCCTCTGCTATGAGGATATCTGTTTCTGGATAGTCCAGAATCCAAGGCCTGGAGGGAGAGACCTTCTTGCCATGGAAGTTCTCTTACGGCATCATAAGGGAGTCGACAATAAGCCCAAACCGTATATTACTCGTTACCATTTCCGAAGTCCTAGCTAACTTATCCGAGCACGACTTTCTTGTTCCGAGAAAATCCTCTTCCTATTCTTTGTCCGATCTCTTTTATTCTGATTACCAATAGGGGTATCTATCATATATGGTTGGCGCGAAGTACCCTTCTGTGTTTTGACGGCGAAGGAGGGGTATATACATATTTGGATAGCAGCAGGTTCACGGAATCAATTGGTTCTTGTTTCGAAGGGGAGTTTGAAGAGCTTTTTGTACCCCTCAGTGCCTTTTCTAGTTTCCAGGCTGATGTTGTATAAATTACATTTTTACTCGCTTTGACACATTGCTATCAGTTCCCAAGCTTTTTCGAGAAACAGGCTCACTGTTCTCTTTACTAATACCACCCGGCTTGCCAAACTCCGCTAATATATAAGTAATAAAAAGACTTTTCTGTTTAAGATAGACGCCTTTGTTACTAGAGTCTAGAGCAACAGTACGAGCAGCGTCACCTGGCTTTATAAATTGCTCCAACAACGACGAACTTATCTCGGCACCAGAGCGCATTTTATCAGCCCATGGAATCGTTCTGGCTATATCTTTAATGAGCCATAAGTTTCTTTTCTCCCATAACCCGAGAGTGTTATCGGAATCGGAATCGAGCGGGTCGTAGAAAAACAATGCAGAGCACTAGTATAAAGTGGCATCAAATACACTAGTATTTGATATACAGACACAATTACCCAGAGTTGACAACTTGGCAGTTAAACGTTTGTGATTGTTAACATTTAAGTTTATCAGTACTACTGTTTCCATCCATTTCGCCAACTTCGAGTTAAGAAGTATCTGTGACACTTCTAAATTATAGTCGAGTTGCTGATTTGGTTCTCGAGAATCCAAACTGGCGAACTGTTTCTTAGCGAGCTGTTCCTCATCCGAATCCACATCGAAGTCTATTCCGAATTCCTTTTCGATAATGTCCAAGTTTATTTCACCATCTGACAACTCTTCACAGGTAGGAGAGAAAATGCTATGCACCGATGTAGAGTCCGGGCCAGTTGGAGAGTTCGGGCCAATTGGAGAGACCGGGTCAGTTGGAGAGTTCGGACCAGTTGGAGAATTTGGAGAGTTCGGGCCAGTTGGAGAGTCCGGGTCAGTTGGAGGGTTCGGACCAGTTGGAGAATTCGTGCCAGTTGGAGTTCGAGCTGGTGTTTCTGCAATCGCCACTTCGCTAGTATTGGTTGATGGCGTTTTCTGTTCAAAAATGATTGGTGGTGACCGGGGAACCTGCACACGTTTCTTGGTATATGCTGGTGGTAGTGATTTCCATTCCACTAATTCAGGCACTTGTTCAATGTATATTTCCTTCATGTTGGTTTTGCGTGTATCGTTAGAAGTATTGCTTAAGCGATTATGAAGTTGTTCCAGGCCCACCAACGCATAACTATTTGGCTTGATGTATACAGTGAAGGTTGTCGTATTAGATAAAGATTCAAGGCCAAGAAGCAATTTTGCTGAGGTTTTAGTCCAGGGCTTAATAGTCTCAGTAGACTTCTTCTCCATAACGATGAACCCCTTCGCACTTAGATCGAATTGTATACAGTTAACATATAGCGAATCGCTGATTTTAGCATCGTGAATAGCAGAAGCTTCGTGAAAAGATAAATCATCGACATTCGAAATTGAACAAGGCTTAGAAGCATCTGCGAAGTTGGCATCTAGAGGAACAACCAATAATATCTCTATATCCTGCGTCTTGCCTTCAAATATACTAGATACCTAAAGGGAAAAATGGATATGAATATATTCTTCTGTGTTGTAGTACGCCTCCATGAAAAAGTTGAGATTCTACCTATTACGATTCAAACGAGAACCTAGTGTGCAAGATGTACCTAATTGATCTTTCCATTTCACAAACACTCTCTCGCGAAGGAGACGTTGTAGCTTGAGTTTCTCAATCAGAATCTTAGTCGTATTCGACATAATTTGCCTATAACTATAATTAGCGACAAACGTAGTTAAAGAATGATTATATTTAAAAAATGATAGCCCACACTTTACATGTGATTCCCAACCCACCCAGGCTATAGATCAGCCTTGACTCTTGGACGAAATAAAGTATAGTTGTAGTAGATGCTGAAGGACAACCACTAGCGGGGTTTGTTCCAAGCAGTAAGTGCTGAAGGACAACCACTAGCGGGGTTTGTTCCAAGCAGCAGATGCTGAAAGACGACCATAGGCGGGGTTTGTTCCAAGCAGCACATACTGAAAGACGACCACAGGCGGGGTTTGTTCCAAGCAGCAGATACTGACAACACAACAATATAGGAGCGATTTTGATTCGTGATAGATGTTGTGCGATAGAGATGGATATAGATATGGCGATGGAAATGGAAATAGAGGGACCGAGGGATATAGAGATGATGATAGAAATGGAAATGGAGAGATGTATAAATGGAAATGGAAATGGAAATGGAGGGATATATAAATAGCGATGGAAAGACAGTTGTTTGACGTGGCATGGAACGAAATGCCTCATCAAGGGACAGGCGACTTGAGACTAGTTTAAATATGGTATAGCTTAGCCACAGTGTGGCGTCAATATCAAAGTGGCCAAGATTGTCAGTTATGGTAATTTCTTCTGACTCGTGAAGGCCAGCCGGTCATCCATTTCATCACTGCAAGCTCGTGACATCTTACTCACTCATGCAAGTACGAAATACACTCACGGCTTAACCATTTCCATTCACTTGAGAATATAAGTCGGCTCCAATTGAAGTTGATTTGCCCAACCTCGCGGTATATATAATTCATCCATTGTAGGTCAGTTTGTCATCATTTCGATACTTGTTGGTCCTTTTTGAAATGCGCCTAACATTGGTCATCAAATTATCTCAGAACACATCCACTGACTTATCGCGAAGCCTTACCGATACATCGACCGCCTTCTCGACCGCCTCGATTTATTCCTACTCTCAACTTCTAGCTGTCCAATGAACATGTAATATCTGAAGAAGGGTAACTTTCCTCATATAAGACCATGGCTGGCATGACAGCAGTTGCCGTTCAACATGGAGCTCCCCGCCAACAATATAATTCACACCGAACAAGTCCTTCGCCAAATTCAACCTCACCTTCGGGTCAACAACCTCAACCTCAAAGCTATACCTCCGCCACTGCGCCGAACTCACAACAATTGCAATATTCAAATCCAGTAATGAACGGTATGAATGGCACATTGGCGATGATGAATTCGAGGCATACTGTGTGCAATGATCCAATCCAGCCTGGCAATGGCGCAGAAGCTGGGTCTGCATATGCGCAGGCGAATTCAGATCGTTTTCATGCTTTGACGCTAAATGGATCAACACCAGCGGGCACACGGCCAACAACTTCGGTTGGAATCGCAGTAGAATCATCACCAGACGATTCGGAGCCAAATAAAATACGGCGCAGACCAGTCGCACTACTTCAAAGATCAAGGAGTGATTTCGGCTCGAGGGGAGAAGATACAAATGGAGGTATGGAAAAAGATACACAAGATTGGGGAGAAAGGCATGGATTTGGAACTCATTATGCATCCGAGGAATATGTTTCGCATCTAGCAAATGTAAGTAGCTCTTTCCTTCAATGATGGTATCTAGGTCCGGCACCAATCTTTTCATGTCTTCTCTTTCCACTCGTTATTTCTTCGACTTTAGCAAACTGTATATACTGTATATTTCATTGCATACTTTTCTTTCCAAAGAATGGATGAATATTTTGATGTTGGGAGTTTCAGTTACTCCTCTTTTGTTGAAAGCTTTGGTTTCTTCTCATCCGGGGCAAATGAAGATCAGAAAGGCGCAGTTTATTTAAAATTTAGGGAGAAATGTGATTATATGCTTGCAGTCTCGGAAGTTTGCTCAGAATTTCGTCGAGCACATTATCACTACCTCAAAACTTCATTGAGCTGGGGACCTGGATTTGACTATGTGGATACAGGCCCAGAGATAAGCACTGACATTATACAACAGAACTGGTATATGTACTTTACAGATAAACGACACGAGACGACCGGCAACCCTAAGTCATTGGGATATGAACTTCAAGATTGGCGGATGAAGGATCGTCTAAAAACAGTGTCTGCAGCCTTAGCAATATGCCTAAACATTGGAGTTGAACCACCAGATCAACTGAAGACTACACCTGGTGCAAAATTAGAGGCTTGGCATGATCCCACACTACCTACTGTACAAAAGGCTTTGGAAACAATTGGAAAATCTCTACAAGCCCAATATGAGACCCTGGCCATTCGAACAAGATACAAGCAATACTTGGACCCATCGGTGGAAGAGACAAAGAAATTCTGTATCTCACTCCGTCGAAATGCCAAAGAAGAAAGAGTTCTCTTCCATTACAATGGACATGGCGTTCCAAAGCCTACCTCGTCTGGCGAAATTTGGGTATTCAACAAGAACTACACTCAATATATTCCCGTCTCGTTGTATGATCTACAAACATGGCTGCAAGCACCCACATTCTTCGTTTGGGACTGCTCAGATTCCGGCAACATTCTGAATAACTTTCATCGATTTGTTGACAAGCATGAGCAAGATGAGCTTGAAAGTCTGCAGAAGGATCCAAATCATATAGTTACAAACTATCGACCTTACATCCACCTGGCAGCATGTGGCATAAAGGAAAACCTACCTACAAATCCTCTGCTTCCGGCTGATGTCTTCACTGCTTGTCTCACTACCCCTATCGAGATGGCATTATGGTTTTTTGTCCTTCAGAATCCACTCCCGTCACAAGTCTCACCAGAGCGAGCCAAAAAGCTTCCTGGTAGACTGCAAGAAAGACGGACCCCTTTGGGAGAGCTGAACTGGATATTCACAGCTATCACAGACACCATAGCTTGGACCACCCTCCCTCGGCCCTTATTCAGAAAATTCTTCAGACAAGACCTCATGGTTGCAGCTTTATTTCGAAACTTTCTGTTATCACAGAGAATTATGATGGCCTATGGATGCCACCCACAATCATATCCAGAACTCCCGGACACTCATCAGCATCCTCTTTGGGAAAGTTGGGATTTAGCAGTGGAAATGGCTTTGGCCCAATTACCATCGTTAGAGAAGAAAGAATCGGGGCAACTTCCAGATTATGAATTCCAAAATTCCAGTTTTTTCACGGAACAGCTCACAGCATTTGAAGTTTATCTAACGCAGGGTGCTGTAACCCACAAAGCTCCCGACCAGCTTCCGGTTGTTCTGCAGGTACTTCTCAGCCAGCAACATCGAGTGCGAGCTTTGATACTCTTAGGAAAGTTTCTTGACATGGGTCCTTGGGCAGTGAACCTTGCCTTGAGCATAGGCATCTTCCCATATGTTTTGAAGTTGTTGCAATCAGCCGCAGCAGAACTGAAGCCCGTGATGGTGTTCATCTGGACTCGTGTCCTGGCTGTTGATCTTACATGTCAACAAGATCTACTGAAGGATAGTGGCTACAACTACTTTTCAAGCATCCTGAAACCTAATGAGGGTCTTCCAGTGGTGGACAGCCTTGAACACAAAGCTATGTGTGCCTTCATCCTAGCCATGCTTTGCAATGGATACAAGCAAGGTCAAAACGTCTGCAACCAAACAGATATCATGACTTACTGTTTGACACACTTGCAGAATGCAGACAACCCACTCTTGCGACAGTGGGCGTGCCTATGCATCAGTCAGCTTTGGAACGATCTTCCGGAAGCAAAATGGCGAGGCATCAGGGAGAACGCACCTGCAAAATTGTCTGGGCTGGTTCGTGATGTGTGCTGCGAAGTTAGAGCTGCCATGCTATACGCCATGACAACTTTCCTGGGAATCCCTGACCTGACGGATGAAGTGGCCCGGAACGAGGAGTCGATATCTTGGACCGTCATTGAATTGGCAAATGATGGAAATGCCATGGTCCGCAAAGAACTTCTAGTATATTTCTCTAAGCTTATACATCGATATGAAAGCAAGTTCTGGGTAGTTGCATTTGAGCAACTGCAAGAGGAACGAGAGTACAGGCAGTACCCCCCTGTCGACGATGGGAACGATCACAAAATGGGATTGCATTATGCTCGTATGGATCACAGAAATAAGGACGGTACCATTAAAGCCACAGCTCAAAGCTTATCTCACAATTCTATCTTTGCTGTGGTATGGAAGCATGTACTTATCATGACCATTGACCCACATCCTGAGGTTCAGCGCAACGCAACCATTATCGTAGATTGTGTTCATGCGTCGCTTCTTCAATCTCCCGTTGGGGTCGCAGCACGCAATCTGTTTGACGATATAAGTCGACTTTCAGCGAAACCAAAGGCATCGAAACAACAAGCATCCGAGCAGAGACCTAGCACACCAACGCGGCAGGACAACTTGTCAAGTGCACAATCTAGCCAACAAGGTTTACTTAAAAGAACAGCTAGTTACCTGTTCACCTTGCCTTCATTACCTTTTGGTGGCTCTACTGGTGAAGCTACACCACCCGACTCAACTGGAAGATCTGGGTTGAAATCGCCGGGCCATCAGCGGAATTCTTTGCCAATGCGACCACGTCTCCCGCCAGATTTCAATTTCCCACCGGAACTAAACGATATTGCTTCGACCCCTGGAACATATCATGTAGCAGATGAGCCAACCTCAGGCGGATTTCAACCTCGAAAGCTGCCGGGACTGCCAGTCATACCATTGGAGAGTAGTTTCCTAGAATGGTCGATTGAATATTTCCGCGAACCACAAATGAAACCAAACGAGGCTGATGAGCCTGGCAGCACTGATTATAATGAACGACTCTGGCGAAGATCAAGGAACGAAGCCATACTGCGAGACACTCAACCCCAGAAAGAAACTGCCGGCAATGGAAAATGGACACATGCTACCGGATTTTTCAACAACTCCAGTCAGCCAACAAAGATGACCCTTCATCAATTTGAAGATCATCTTGCTGTGTCTGATGATCGCGATACAATTTGTGTTTGGGATTGGAAAAAACAAGACCGCTTAAGTCGATTCTCGAATGGTAACCCGGAAGGCTCAAGAATTAGCGATCTCCAGTTCATAAATGAAGATGACCAAGCCTTCTTATTGACAGGATCTTCAGATGGTGTTATTCGGATTTATAGAAATTACGATTCCGACAAGAAGATTGAAGTTGCTTCGGCATGGAGAGCTCTGACTCATCTTGTCCCAAGTAATGTCAATTCTGGAATGGTATTTGATTGGCAACAGGTGACTGGCAAGCTTTTAGTAGCCGGTGATGTGAAGGTTATCAGGGTGTGGGCTGCGGCGCCAGAGCTCTGTGTTGTGGACATCAACGCACGGTCGGGTTCTTGCGTCACTTCATTGACTTCGGATCAGATGACAGGAAATGTTTTCGTGGCCGGTTTCGGTGACGGAGCCATTCGAGTATTCGATGCTCGAAATAAGCCACAGGAAGCTATGGTTAAGAAATGGAAAGACGAGTCTGATAGAGTATGGATCAAGAGTGTGCATATGCAAAGAGGTGGTCAAAGAGAGCTTCTCTCTGCTAGCCGCAATGGTAAGGTTAAACTTTGGGACATCCGAATGGATAAACCACTACAAGTCATTCAAGCTACGAAGGACACTCTACGTACCGCAAGCACTCATGAACATCTTCCTGTATTTGCTGTGTAAGTTTTCTCCCTTTTAAAAACCCCCAAATGTTACTAATATATCTCTAGTGGCACTGGAAATCATACAGTCAAGGTTTTCAACTTCGATGGCAGGGAACTCTCTCGCGTAGAGCCATATTCTAGTTTCCTACATCAAGCTCGCCAATCCCCAATTTCAGCTACAGCTTTCCATCCGCATCGTATGATGTTGGCTTGTGCTGCGAGGGGCGATAATCATATAAATCTATTCTCGTGTGCGGAACGAAAGATGCCACCAATGGAATATTGATGTGATCGACAATTAAAAACATATTCGTTTAATGAAGGGATAAGATAGAAGGCGTCTTGATCGATCATCATATTGTTCGGCGTACTGGGAGTGGGAGGCAAACTTGAATTGAAATGCATGACATCGGTTCTTGAATCAATGAATCAGTAAGGTTTCATGGATGCCATCCCTCAAAGGGGAGAATCAAGGGCTAATAGCGGCCTAGGCGTTGGGAGGTCATATCACGGAATTGGTTTGAATTTAATTGGCTTGCATGCATGCTTAGCATGGTTTGGGTTTGGGTTTTGGTACTTGCATGCATCTGGCTGGATGGATCGATTGAATTGGCTAGGTTAGAGATTGGCAGGAGAGGTGATATGGGAGATGTGAGAGGGGAGAGAGGAGAGAGTGAAGGCGAGAATGAATAACAAATAGGTAATGATTAATAGTGATGGGTCGCTATATGTATGTAGGTAGAAATCCTCGGCATTTTTTTCTAAATTCACATATTGGTATATTATTTTACTTGAGATGTGAGCTGTAGGATGTGAAAATGGGGTTGGGGCGCTGTACTCAGTAGAGGGTGGATGCATTGTGTATTGTGTATGCGGTAGTGTAATGTGATGTCGTACGTATATATACTCTGTCTGCGGATTATTTTGACGTTTCTTTCTTTCTTTCTTTCTTATTTGAGTGAGTATTCTCATGTATGTATGTATGTATGTATGTATGTATGTATGTACTCGTCTTGGGATTGGATTTGGGGTAGATTGGGGTAGGTTGATGTGTGAGATGAGATGAGATGATATGATACCGGGTGGAATGGGATGGAATGGGATTACATAAAAGAAAAGTGAAATGGGATTATAAAAGATGAGTTATGGTATGAGATATATAGAGATGGGTTGAATTTGAGATGGGATTGAGGATTGAGATATTGCTTACTCGAAGGATAGAGATTTGGTATCTGGATATGAATATGAATATGGAATATGGAATATGGAATATATAATTGCAGCTGGTGATTGATGATATACGAGTACGTCGAGTAGGTTTATTTTGTATTGGGAATTAGGTAGAATGGGTGCTGGGGTGGGATTTGGGATGATAGGTAGGTAGATGGTTACATATAGGAGGGGGTGAGATTTACTGATTTAACGAGGTTAGACGAGGTTAGACGAGGTAAGGTAAGATGAGATGAGATGAGATGAGAAATATGACATGGTGAGTAGTGAGGTTGTAGGGTAGATTGAAGGGTGGGGTGAGTGGAAGGAGAAGAGAAGAAGGGGGAGAGGATATGGGCCAGGGGAGCACGGGGACAGGGGATTAGGGTCAATGTAGATACTGGGTAGAGTATTGTTACTAGTGATATGCGAGGGAGTGAGAGATAGAGGTGATGAATGAGATGAGGGTAGTGGATGGATATGTTTGGAATAGAGTAGGGGGGTGGATGATTGTTAGTGAGTGATGAGAGATGTAGAGAAAGACATATATAGATATCTCACAAGAAGTGGAGGTATAATAAGGGAGAAGGGAAGAGCAGGGGCAGGGTAAGAGAGAGGTAAAAGGTTTATATAGACAAGATATTGAAGCAGTGAGCTTGAGAAGATATATCATTATACCCATTCTGAGGTTTCCTCGTCTGGGCGACGATTAGAATAAGAGTGCATTATACCAGAGATTCAAGTGATCTTACATGCTCAAATTTAGAATCTGCGGGAACTCTTTTGTATTATAGAATGATCTGACAACAGGGGCTCTTGAGGTGACTCAGTAAGTTAGATAGGGGTTTGAGGAAGAGAGGAAGAGAATTGGAAGACGAAGGGATTTGTAGAGGAAGTAGGTTGTGAATGGAATATGGTCGAGAGGGAGGGAGAGTAAAGAAAGGGGTTGGAGAAGTAAATCCGAATATGAAATTGAGTGTCAGTCTTCAAGAATAAGCAGTGACTTGAATAGATTGTAGATCCATTAAGTTTGAAGAAGTCATCATCACATAATACGAGTATAGTTTAGATAGGTCTAATAGATTTTGAATTTACTACTACCGGTACTCTACTATTCATCACATAATTCACTTGTTCCCCATCCCATCACATCACATCTAAATTCTTCTCCTTCTGATATAAAGAGTAAACGGGGCTTGTACATGAACTCAGTTAGTTCTTTTATCAAAACGGTTAGGATTGTATGGAAGTAGAAATGTTTAAAAAGGGGTCAAGATGGAGAAATAATAGGAACTAGGCGGCTGTTCCATGGAGAGCCAACTATTAGGCAGAAGTCTAATCATGCAAATTCACTTCCATAGATATAGTACTGAATGAGGTTCAAGTTGTTCAACCTCGTCAGAAAAGACAATAGACCTAAACCGCCTTCCACGCAGAGTATAGATCTCGGAGAATAGGTACGGTATGGAGCGTAGCAACTAGGCCTTACTAGTTCGATTCCGTTGCTGTATTAATCGCATATGTTTACCGTATACAGTCATGTTATATGTTGAATTTATACGGCTCGGTTGTACCGTTTTAGCCTTCTTTACCATTTAAGGACTTCCCTCTCTTACTTAGCTCTCTTTCTTCTTCATCTAATACATCTTCTTTTGGTTGTCGGTTTACCTTCGACATCACAAGAAAGTTTCCGAAGCAACGACTTATCAACTATCACATACAGATTCCCTCACCACATATCCCACGCATCAACATCAACATCTACTCCTCCGATTTGATTTGACAGCAAGATGATGGGAAACGATCAGATACCAGACTGGTGTATCAAAATGGCCAACTCCGGAGCAAAGGAAAAGGAAAAAGCCAGAGAACAACAGATCAGGACACAACTCGCACAACTCGCACAACTCCAAGCACAAATCGAAGAACGACGCGAAGCTTCCACACCCTCCCGAATCCCTGAACAAATATTTCTCAAACCACTGCATGCGGACCCAGCCCACCACCTCGAACTTCTGTCCGTCCTCATGTTCCGCACACGTTTTTCGGAAATACCTATGCATGAGCAGAATCTGCATACCAAGGGACTTATGGGAGTTCCTCTGCTTGAGATGTTTGGGAAAATGTATTTGGAGCGGATTTGTTGGGAGTATGGGGTTGAGTTTGGCAAGTTACAGTCGCTTGTTGATGAGCTGTGGGTATCGAAGGTGTTTTCGCCGATGTCGTGTTGGATGAAGGAACTACGCAGGTATACGGATGAGGATGTGGAGAGCGATAGGTTTAGAAAGGCGGTTGGGTTATGGGATTCTAGGATATACAAGGCTAGTAGTGGTGATGAGGTGGGAAAATTCACTACAGCGCAAAGCAGGACTTTGCAATGGCTCGATACCCAAACAAAATCTAATGTTCCGGATCAACAACAACAACCGAATAGACAACTTGTCTCGCCGCCAAAACCAAAACCAAAGCTATCTTTGCAAAATGCTTCTGGAGCTGGACCGAAAGCTGCCCCTACTGGTAGCCACAAACAACTTCCTCCGAAGAGTTCTATGTCGAAAATTGTCTCTGGTTTCTCCCGGCATGGCGGTCCAAAGAATATCTATAACCCATCAGTCTTACGCCGACCAAAAGCCCCACTCGTCCCGAGCCATATTTCAACACAACCCCAATCTACACACCGTCAATACAGCGCTAGATTAAGATCTGGGACTGCTAATAGTAGCAAGCAAGATACTACGAACCGTCATCTGTCAGTCTCCACGTCGGACGTATCTCGAACTGGATCATCGGGAAGTTTTAAACATCCTCAATCTAAACACAATAATTCTGCGGTTGAGTCTAGACCTGGAATTGTGTCAGCTGATAGCCACAGACCAGATACTATAAATAGTCATTCGTCGAATGTTACTTTTGATGCATGTTTCGATGGAGAACCTATGGATATTGACATGGCACCACATACAAACCGAGCAAACGCCTCACTCGTACCTAGTCACAATTCAGCAGGATCAACACAAAGTAATGTCAAGTTGGGATCCAAATCTGGATCTGGAGTTGCTAGGAGTAGTCGAAGAGATCATGCGCATAGTCGTTCGTCGGCTGTTACCTCTGCTATCCATGATATGAGGAGCAAGCGTTCGGGAATTGTCAAAAGATTGCGCAGATCCCGTCGTTCGCTCTCTGGTAAAAAAAATTGTGGCGGCAGTGTTGAGGGATTAGGAGTTTGTAGGTGTGAAAATATCTTTATCCTATGAAAACTGTTATGCTAACACTTGATAGCTACGATGAAGGAAGCAGAAGTATTGAATTCAGACAGAGCTGTGTCCATCTCCACTGTTCAGGATGTTTGGGAATCACTTTTCTTGTGTTTGGGCCAGCCATCTTTAGGATTGATCGCTTTTGGTTGGGATGGCTGGCATGTGTGAGGAGGTCAGAAATGGATGCATGAGAAGAGGGATTCTGAACGCTATCTGAGTTGGGAGAGATTGAAGGGATCTAGGTGGATATAACAGGAAAATGGGGGGATATGGATATGGTATGGTGATGGGGGTAGGGAGAGGGAGAGGGGAGTGGATGCCACTATGAATATGCGAGAAATCATCAAATTGCATAACACAATTCTTACTCCAATTGTTGCACTTTCAAGAATTGCAACAGTTCTCTCAAAAATAACTGTAGTCTACTTGCAGGTGTCTTTTTCATAATATTCCATTGATGGTGTGATGATGTTTCTTAAGTGAAGCAGGTGTTTGTGTGTCAATATTCAAGACCATTTTCTCTATTTCACGACCAAGCTGTGTCAATATCTTATAATTTGAAAAGGCTATTGATATTTCACTAGGCTGTGAGCCCTATAGGTTAAGTATCTTTGAAGGCTATGCATATAATGGGACAAGAGGGGTATATGGATTTCAACTGCGACTTACTGTTTGAAAACTTACGAGGAAAAATATTCTGAATGATGACATGAGCAGTTGAGCCTTCTTAAGGCAAGGATAATATGGTATGACTCGGATGGCCCGAAGTAGGAGAAGGAAGAGGGGAGGCAAGAGAGGAAGGAAAGATTGGCATGTAGTCAGTGTGTCCAATAGTCTTGTAGTCTAGATGGTTAGTCGATGATATAGTTGGATTATATAGAACATAGGTATTGGGGTAAATTTGAAATAAAAAGTCTAGTTCAGCTAGTCTGATATCTAAAAGTCTAAATTGCTATCTGGACATTTGGACTAATTACGCCAATAAAATTATATGATTGAAGATTATGAAAAACTTTACTTTATACAAATTCAATTACCCAATACATTTACGACTGTTTAGTAACGCTAAAATATATATTTAGAATCGATCTAATAGTCTAGATTAGCTAGACTGCGGTTCAGCTAGTTTAGCTTCAAATATCACTGGACTACTAGTGAGTCTGTCCTTTTATTGGACTCAAGATGAATTGTTTAGTTCAAAAATGCAATTTTGTGCACTAGTCCGTCCTGTACTCAGGACTATTGGACACCCTGCATATAGTCAAGGGTAATAAAGTTGGCAAAGTGGCTAGAGGGTTTTAGGAAAATAGGAATAGTAAACATGGTGCAGCCCGGAAGAGTCATTGGTGAAGAAGGATAGATCGAGTATATACATCTTACGGTAAAGGTGACAAGTACCTATTTAAATGATCCGAGGTGAAAGCATGAAGATTTGACTCTCAATGATTGAATGAAAGACTTCTTTCTATCATGACACTTAAGGAGAGAGTCATAATTGTACGAACTTGACATTTGCAATATAACTAAATTACAGCATCAGCAGAACTTGGCAGCGGTCACATACCAGACGAAGAACTTTCGATCCTATTCACAAGAGGGAATATCTTGAACCTGTGAACTCCGGACCTCACATATTGACCAAGGTATTTGATAGACTTAGTAGGAAATGTGCATAACATTTCAACAAAGCATCAAGCATTAGAATCTCCCAGTTCGGTATCACCAGAAGAATAATGAGAAGAGAATGATGAACAGTTCGATCAAACGCTAGAAGTCCTTCATTGCCTCCAATCAGACCAGTACAAGGAGAGATGTTGTCATCACGGGAGACTTGCAAAGGGATTATCATCAAACAGGGTGAAAATACCAAGTCTACGAGGGGTATCAAACATAGACGAGCTTGCCACTTGGAAGATAATCAAGAATCATGGTCTTGTATACAAACATGACAACCTTCCATAGGATTGGCTCCTTCTTGAAACCAAAGACCTACTAGAAGAAAAGTCTGCATTGTAAGAAAGAAGTATACCATCTATGAACGGCGAAACCTTGATAAAGGCACAAGGGAGGACTCCATGAAGCAATATTGTCGTTCTCGTCTAATTGAGGGAGGTAGTTGGGGGTTTGACTAGCAATGATGAGGATAGTGGGGCGAAATGTGTTTTTGAATTGACCTACTCTAGTACTAGAAGAAGGAGCAACAATGAGATTGTAATTAGGTATCTAGATGATGAAGTCCAAAGTATTATTGTTTATAAGATGAGTTTATTTTACACTTCACGAAAAATACTCAGTAGAGAGTACTCCGCAAATAGATGCTGTGAGACCTCTGCCTGTCGTAAAATAAAAGCTAGGGCCTCCACGCTAAAATTCTTGCCGCGTTACTCATGACCACAGCCAGCTTATCAAAAAGTACCCCTCCCTCCATATTTTTTTAATTTATTGAGAATTGTGAAGAATAGAACTTAACACCACCCAAAATTCTAGTCAAAACTTCTTATATCTTCAAATATGGCGGAGCCAAGCAAAGAAATTCCAACCGACCCCGCTGTCGCACATGGAGGGGCTCCCCCAACCGGCGAAGACCCCGCACAACCTTCCAAGAAGGGAGCAAAGAAAGCAGAAGCCAAGGCCAAAAAGGATGCTGAAAAGAAACGTAAAGCCGATGAGCAAGCTGCTAAACAAGCTGCTGCTGGATCTGCAGCCTCCGAAGATCTCGCAAAAGATAATTACGGACAAATTAAACATACCACGAAAATCGAAGCGGAAAGTGTACATCTGAGGGAGATTGGTGAACAACATGTTGGCAAAACGATTAAGATTCGCGCATGGATTCAAAATGCACGAATGCAAGGAGCGAAGATGGCGTTTGTGGAATTGAGGGAGGAGGGCAATTGGACAGTGCAGGGAGTTGTGAGCGCGAGTGCGGAGGGCAAGCCGGTCAGCAAACAAATGGTTAAATGGATTGGGGGACTGAAACTGGAGAGTTTTGTTGCGATCGAGGCTGTCGTGCAAAGGCCATTGGAGCCCGTTAAGAGCACCAAGGTTTCCAACTTCGAATTACATCTCGGAAAGGTTTACTTGGTAGCTACGGCTCCTGAGATGTTGGGATTGGGATTGGGACCAGCGAACAGGGCTGTGGGAAAGTTGGACGAGGAAGAAGATCTCAGTGAAGCTGCCGCAGGTAATTTCATATGCTATTTGGTCTTTACTAGTGAGCTAACAAATTTGTAGGTCTCAGTGTCACAGAAGGCACCCCAACTGCCAGTTTAGCCTCCCACCTTAACAACCCTGCTATGCACAAACGAGCACCTGTCAGCCAAGCTATCGCGGATATTCGAATTGCTGTCGAGGACTACTTCTGCGAATACCTGAGAGCTCGCCGTTTTAAGAAATTCCATCCTCCTAGTTTGATTGGAGCTGCTTCCGAAGGTGGTGCCAACGTATTCAAAATGGCATACTTTGATAAAGAGGCATACCTCGCTCAATCGCCACAATTCTACAAACAATTCGAGATCGCCGGAGGTCGCAAGAGAGTTTACTGTGTTGGACCTGTTTTCCGTGCCGAGAACTCGAATACCCCAAGACACATGACTGAGGTAAGAAAGAAGAATTTCCAAAGCGATTAAATACTAATATGTTTAGTTCATTGGTCTCGATTTGGAGATGGAAATCGACGAACACTATCACGAAGTCTTGCACATGCTCGAAGGTGTCCTCCTATTTATTTTCCGTAACCTTGCCGAGAATTACCGCGAAGAAATCGACCTTATCCGCTCAATCTACCCATCCGAAGAGTTTCTCCTTCCTGAAGCTGGTAAGGAAATCCGCCTTACCTTTGCCGAAGGTCAAAAACTCCTTCGTGAAGAAGGCCCTGCAGAATTCAAAGACGTCTTGGACACCGAAGATATGAGCACACCCCAAGAAAAAGCTCTCGGAGCACTCGTCCGCAAGAAGTTCAACACTGATTTCTACGTTCTCGACAAATTCCCCGTTGATGCTCGTCCATTCTACTCCATGCCCGACCCCGAAAACCCTGCAGTCACAAACGCATATGATTTCATGATGCGTGGTCAAGAAATCTTAAGTGGTGGTCAAAGATTGCATCTACCAGATCAATTGGAGGAAGTCATTAGATCCAAGGGATTGGACCCTAATCAACCGGGTATCAAAGAATATGTAGATGTCTTTAAGAGTGTGGGTGTGCCACCTCATGGTGGTGGAGGAATTGGCTTGGATAGAGTTGTCGCTTGGTATCTGAATCTGCCAAGTGTGCATTTGGTCTGCGATTATCCTAGAACACCAAAGAGGTTAAGCCCTTAGGTTGCTCTTCTGGTGTATAGAATATGAAGGATTCAAGATGCCGGAACGGAACGATTTGATGATAGATAACAAATAAAGAGTGGTGTGGTTAAATATATGCCACAGTACGAGAAGAGAACATTCAGTAGATGAATGGAATACATTTGATATCACAATCAACCAGATTCAGGGGACGCATAGTGCCACAACGCCATTCTTGAGTTGAATAATATAGTCCAGTCGACGAGGTAGTATAGTACTAGAGTGAGATTTGAGAAATTATATTTACCAATTGAAGAAGCATTATACTGTATTGATATCCACATCTACTCGCCAGTCTCCTCTCCAGTAGATTGAAGACCAACGAGAAGATTCACTCTAGTCCCACGACTCCCACCCACCCTAAATGAAAACACTAATCCATAATAATATGATAATATATATATCCCCTATGAAAAGTAAAGTAAATTAATAAAAGATGTATGAACAAAGTAGGAGTAGGATAGGAGTAAGAGTGGGCGCTAAGCGAGGTGTATGGCATGGTGTATGGGAGATGTAATGATTCCGGTTTGATCTTCATCTTTAATCTTGGTTCTGGTCTTTTACTAATGATCTTTACTTTTGATCTTTGCTTTTACAGTGTATGTGGTGTCTAAATATGTGGGTTGTTGCTTTTGAGTATATATATGAATATGGATATGGATAAGAGTCTAATTTAGTGCTAGGGCCAGGGACAGGGTTCTGGATACCCTCTGAACTAATTAGTAGCATTTTTTTACTGGCTTGGCTTAGGTGGATATGTACTCGTATGTATATTACTCTATCTACTCAGTACTGAAGTATATATAGTTGGGATGTATGAATATAAATATGCACACTCGAGTTATATGTGTAGTAGATGTATAGTATATGATAGTTTGTATTCTTTATTTATTATAACTAGTATTATATGAGTCCTGGAATAGAAGGTTGTTTGTAGGTAGGCAGTGTATACCGATACTATACTCGTCGCAGCTGATAGATAAAAGGGGGAAAGAGAAAGGGAGAGAGAGAGAGAATTAGATAGATATATAGTTGTAGTTGTGAGGCCTGAGATGGGTGTATAATGTGTGGAGGATGAGATAAGATAGGGTAGGACATGATAGATAGGACATGATAGGATAATTTATAATGATGTTTGGGTAAGAAGTAAAAGATGGAAGATAGGAGGTGCTAAGGGAGATACTATAAGATCATATTTGTGATGTAATATTGAGTGTATATACTCGAGTATACAAGTATATGAAACCCTCTTTTATATTAGGTGAGGATATCAGATATCAGATATTCAATAAGGTAAGATGGTACTTGATATAATACTACTCGAGTATTGAATATCATTATTGGCCACTCGTAGATTAGAGGATATTTTGATAAAAATTACAGAATCTGAATATTCGTACTACCGGGAGTTCGTAGTAGATTGAATAATGTATAGGATTGCTTTCTAAAAATCTTTCATAGGTTGCTTGCTGATTCATGTTGAACAAATCAAAAAATAATATAATATATCATTTCGATGTTGAAAATTTGATAGTGCGTGTTGATTGGGTTTATAATAGCGTAATTTTGCTTTACTTTACTTTACTATAGGTCTAATAAGTGTATTTGCTAAAAGAATGGCTCGCTTCTGGCTGGCTGGTGTTACAGTTACTAAAGGATACTCTCCTAACAGATTAGGAGAGAATATATGCGGATTTGATGTGAGTAGGTAGGTGGTGGAGAGAGTTAATATAAGGGATAAAGTACATTCTGGAAAGAGACTAGAAAGTATGATATTATCTAACCTAACCTAATCTCATCTGACAGCAAGAGTAACTACATAACTTCAAGACAGATTCCCTTCCAGCTTACCAGTTACCAGCAATACCACCAATTCAATCCATACACCCCTTCCTGCCCTTTCCTCCTATCCTTCCCTCAATTAATCATCTCCAAGCATCTACAACTACAACCTCTTCCCAGCCACAGAAAACCTCTTCCCAATCCTCTTCCCAAACCTCCTTACAACCATCAAACATCTATTTCTCCTCGAACTCGAGCTCCTCAACCTCATCTGCAAAGCATCCCGTCTCTCATTCACAAGTTTAGATATCAAATCTTTCATAAATCGATCTTGTTCGTTTCTTTTGTGATTACTGTTGTTTATGGTTGATGTTGTAGATGTAGAGGTAGAGGATGTTGTACATGTTGTAGATGTAGATGTAGATGTAGAGGTAGAGGTAGAGGTGTTGATACTAGTACCAGTACTGCTTATCTCGGGATTCTTGATGTTGATGTTGATGTTGTTTTTGGATGTTTTTGACGAGGATGATGATGTTGATGAATCGACAGGTTGGGGGATATGCACACCAGTATGCACATCTGCCATTACATCTTCATAATATCCAGCACTATCCAATAATTGGCTTGATTTCCTCTGCGCTTGTATTGTCTCTTTATCATATATTTCAAGTTTTGACACTGAAGCAGAACTTGGTACAGCAGGTATATCTTCTCCAACTTCAGCAATTCTTTCAGTAATCCCTCCAGAATCGATATAACACTGGTCAGCTTCGGGTTTGACTTCAAGAATAGTTGAAAAGACCAACTCCCCAGTTTCTATTCGTGGATTTCGTTTCGATCTGGTGTGCTTATGGAGATGTGAGGTAAAGTATGAAAATGGAAATGATCTTTTGAGACTTTTGATTGTGGGCTTTTTGCTTGGTTTTTGTATTTTGTTGGGATGATGATGCTGATGGTGGTGGTGGTGGTGGTGGTGTTGGTTGGGCATTTTGGAATTTTATGAGAGGTTGAGTGAACAATCTTGCTTCACTTGTGAATATGGTATTGTGATTTGTAGTATGTATTTTATTGGGTTGGGTTGGGTTGGGCGTGGAGGTGTGAGACTTAATAAGATTCACAAGTGACAAGAGGATGAGGAATATTCGTAGTTGAAAAAATGTATACGGCCTGTGTTGAGCGTGATAGCTATAGACGACCTAAAGTTTTACTGTCCTACTCGAGTATCATCCTAAGATACTTGAGCCAAATTATCAATTCTTGACGTTCTTATCACTCCGTCACCTTAGCTTTTACTTTCATCTCTCCATTTTTATCTTTATATTCATCATCTCCTCTACCTTCTCATTCACTCCCCGAATATTCCTCCTCATTAACTACAACATCTTAACCCATATTCTAATCATTCGAATATCCATTCCCGCTCTCTTTTCCATCTTCATCTTTATCTTTATATTCATCATCTCCTTCACCTTCTCATTCGCTCCCGAAATATTCATCCATATTAAACTTCAACATCCCAACCCATATTCCAATCATTAAAATCTCCATCCCCGCTCTCTTCCCAATCTTCATCTTCATCCTCACTTGCATCCCCTTCCTCCTCTCTTTCATCCTCCTCCTCCTCCTCTTCCTCCTCACCAATCCACTTCCACCATTCAAAATAGCATCAGCACAACTTTGAAAAAACTTCCCCCCTCCCCTCTATCCTTCATCTGTCTCCCGAAATTCTTCCTCCTTTTCCGCAAACTCATACTCATACTCATCATTCAACATCTGCTAAAGGGCCTCTTTCCTCTTTGTACGGCCTAGCCCCTCTTCAAAATCATACTCTTGGTCGACATCAAAATCCTCTTTCACTCTCTCTTTATTTTCATCTTTCATCTTCATTCGCATAATGGTTATGGTTGAGTGGCTGTATAATTTTGTAATTGTGAAGAGGATATCTACGATGAGGTTATCATCAGGGTTTCTTTTTGGTCACATGATATAGCTGCTGCAAGGGAGTTTTATGTTGTGGTTGCAGTTGTGATAAACTCTAACTAATTTAAGAGTGGAGGAAGGGGGGCAACGTTGAATCTTGAATTTGATTTTGATTTATCGGAGAGAAGTATCAAGTATGCTGGATATCTTGGAACAAGTAGAAAATTAAGATTTAGATCAAGTAGCTTACAAGACCAGACTTACGATTTTAAGTGCACCAGAATCTAGAGTACCATATCTCATATCTAATAACCCTGATCCCACTATCCACTCTCCACACGAAGAAGTAAAGAAAAAGTAAGTAAGTAAATGTATCTATCTATCTTCCAACCATACGAGTACAACAAACAAAGCTCCTTAGCAAATAAACCTTTCTAGCAAACAAAGCTCTTTTCAAATTTCAAATGGAGAAGAAAAAGGGATGAGAATTCTTTGATGTGAAGTGAACTGACAGAGAACCACTATTTTTGCTTGATTGTTTGCTGGATAAGAAGGTTGTGTATGGAACGTTGGGTTGGGTTGGGTTAGGATGGGATGGGATAGGATGGGATGTTTTTGGAAGAGTAACGGAACAGAGAGAAACAGAAAGGAAATCTAATAATATAATAGAACGGATTGGAATAAGAGGAAGTGCAATGGGTGGAGGATTAGATGAGCTGTTACTATATATTAGACACTGACATAAATCGCATTTTCATGAGTTCCCATTGATATTACTGAAGGATTGAATTACGCTATGCTATGCTATGCTATGCTATACCATGCACCCTGAATTGAATTGACCTCTGTGAAAAGAACAACCAACCCATCGTGATTTTGGTTTCTGGTTCCTGAAACATTATAAGCGGCATAGCATACATACTAGCTTGACTTTCATCCTCAGAATATGCATCCCGGAAATTTGCCTGCATAAATGCAAGGTGCTAACGGGAAGGACCACATTCATTGATCAATTAGCCATATCCCATCCATCATCGATGCTCTCTTGCTCGGAACGATCGTTATTGGCAAGGTGCTTTGCAGCTTGGCCTTGATTGTCTGATGCACGGGCGACATTGACACTGTTGGATTGTGGATTTGTGACAGCGAAGGAAGTGATACCAGATGCAGCAGCGGGCTTTTGAGTAACCGAGACGTTGTTGGTGGAAATTCGATCAGCCAATCGTTCGCCAGGCGCAGAAGGATGAGCCACAGCAGGACGAACATTAGTATGACGAACTTTAGCTTGATGAGCATTAGCCTCCTTCAAAGTACGTCGAAGGGGAGCTACATTGTAAGTATTAGCATGATGCGAAGCGTAACCCTGCAAAGAATCAATGGGAACCTCACCGGCATTGATAAAGGCAATATCTGATGGAACCGGAGTGGACATCTGGAAATCAACGGCAAATTGTCTGAGGTCTTCGAGATTGGCTTCCTTCTTCTTCTTTATCTCCATGACCTTAGCAGCAGCAATAGCCTCTTTGGTACCAGTGCGACCGGGAACTGCGAGATCATTGGGAAGCTTCTTGATTTCACCGAGCCTGGGTTTCTTAGCGTCCTTCGATGTAGGAGAATTAATTACTTGGGTACCAGTCTGGGCGGGACCTGCGAGAGCATTGGGAAGCTTCTTGATATCGCCGAGCTGGAGTTGCTTAGCTTCCTTCGATGCAGATGCAGGAGAACCAAGTTCTTTGGCATTAGCAAGACCGAAGTTAAGAGGTCCGAGAGAAGCACGAGAGTCACTTGCTTTTTTTTGAGCATCAGCGTAAAGTCGACGTGCCATCTCGAGGTGCTCCTTGCTATTAGTATGATCATCTTGTAAATAAGGAGGAGGATCTGGCACGGGATGTCGTTGAAGTGCACTCATGACCCGCTCTCTGATTTCAGTTTCATAAGCTGCTAACGAAGCAGGAGAAGGAGCTCGCATGGTATGATGCATTTGATAATACATCTCGAGTCGCTTTCTGTGCTCCTGTTCAAGTGTCATCAACTTGGTATAATAGGCTTGTGTGGAAGGACGAGCAGAAACTGGCATGATAGAATGTTCTTGATGTACCATTTCGACTCGTTCTCTGTACTCTCGTTCGAATCGTGCCTTATCAAGTAGCCCCTTCTCCTCCTGTTGGGATCTAATGTAGTCTCTTCGAAAACTTTCTATGACAAAAGGACGTTCGTAATCATTTGCTCGAGTAAATTGCTGCAAAGGAAAAGAAGGACAAGGAAAACTGTTGGCTTCGATATTATCAAGAGCTAACTTGATTCCCGCAATCGACTCTTTAAGTGACATCGGTTGCATTTGATGTTCTTGCAAGACATCATTATTCCCATTGGATCCACGAGAACCTCGTTGACCAGGCTTTTGACTAGAACCCTTTGAATCAACATTATGAGCAGCAATCTCTCCGGTAGATTCACGACGCATGATAGAATCTTTCTCGGAATTAGAATCAGCAGCGCGAGCATCGACCTCAGAGATAGTACGAGCATCAATTCCGTCGACACCATTGCCACGACCGCTAATATGATCTCTAGAAGCCGCAGCACGAGCCTTGGAGTCCTTCCAAGAAGGAGCTTGAGTATCAACAACTTTCAAATCGTGATCTTGATCTGAGGTAAGTCTGAAGTCTGACATGTGATTGACACGATGTTCTTGGCTCAATAAACGTCCAATCATTGGATAATCATTCTCTAACTCTGGAAACAAGGACGTTTCAGAGTGAGGAACAACCTCTTTCAGTTCGGAACCGTCCGGCGATCTAAGAACAGATAAACGCCCATGTGTTTTCTTTGATGGAATCCAATCGTCAGATTGGGCGGGAAGCCAACCAAAATCAGAGGCATCTCCCCAATCTGTATCGCCTTTTCCGTCATCTGCCTGTGTGCTCCATGTCGATCGATCTCTGTATCTATTTCCGTTGCCGTTGACACCGGGGCTTGTGTGGACATGATAACGATAATCAGGAACGATTTCCTCGCGATAATAGTCGTCTCTTGACTTTGTTGAAGCGGTGGAAAGGTACTTCGAACCCAAAGTAGATGGTGTATCTTTAGGAACTTGAGCACGACCATGCTTCACATCTTGCTCTTTGATGTGCTTGCGGACACATTCTGCACGTTGATCTGCCGTCATGCCTTGAAGCTTGCTACCCGAAGGAAGGCTGAAAGCAAAAAGATTTGGATTGGGCGAGCTCATAAAGATAACCACACGGCGAGCGAGGTAGTCCAGACATTGGTGGTAACTCCAAGGATGTTGCAAGTCTGAAGTGATATCAGCTAAATTAGAGTCCATATATTGACTGATGGGAGGAGCTGGACCACGAGGAATTGGTTGACGGAAGGCAGATGACGAGCCGGCACCTGAAATAGCCTGAGGTGGACGTTTGTTGAGTAGGTCTTCGGCGCCATGATGGTAGATGAATATATCATCAGCTAACCACTGCTGATACTGGTTCCTGAGCATCTGTATATTATCAACTGACCACTGCTGCACATCACGGGACAACTATTTTGAAGCTTAGTTCGTTTCCTGGAGAACATCAAAAGATAGAGAGGTACATACAATATCTCCGTCTGAAACGGTTGGGGTAGATGATGTGGCAGAAGTTGGTGCAGCTGCAGCTTGGACTGTTCGGATGGAAGCGGTAAGGCTTTTGCAGCGTTTAATCGTGGAAGATATCAAATATCCATTTTCGCTGCGAAGAGAATAATCTTCGAGGCTAAGATATCTATGACTGCTCTGGGAAACGTAGTATGCTTCTTCGATCGCTTGGATTGACTTCGGATTTCGCGCGACTCGAAGAAGAGCACACAGTTGCTGTCTGAGCTTCATGCGTTCCTCTTCTTCCATTTCATGATATGGTTTCTTATACAGCTCGCAAAAGTGTTCAAACTCGTCAAAACTTTGAAATCCTGAATTGCCAATGATCAACACATCCAACACTGTCAAGCGTGGAGATGTTGCGAAATTATCGACTTGACCATGTGCACCACCGTTGGTAGCAGTATCAGCGCTCTGATGACCATTGTCGAATGATACCAATTGTTGAAAATCAAGATCATAAGGAGGAGGAACGTGAGGAGGGATGGCAGGCTGGTCGGGAGGGTCGAGAGAATGATCGGGAGCTTGGCGCGTCATCTTGCTGGTGACGATATAGTGTTATATTATGTTATTGATTTCGTAAGTTGGGGTTCTTGACGGGAGTTTGTGATTATAGTCGACTCGAGTTCAACTTCAGAACTCAAAAGCTCGTAAGTTGAATACTTGTGGAGTGACTTGAAGGAGGTGATTTGAAGTACAATGTCGAATAAGGGGTAGTCTACAAGCTACAATTATTGTGGCAAGCATAACAACAATAGACTTGTAAACTTGTTGGAAAGAGAGTGGTTTGGTCAAAAGTATCAAGTAGAAGGTTTGAAGATCGAAGTTGAGGGCAGCAGGAATATTAATGGGAACATGAGTGGTTTGTTTTGATCGAGGATTTATTAGAGGTCCGTGCGGGATAGAACCATAGGCATAGTACAGCAACGTCAAGGTCAATCTTGTATCATATGTTGAATTCACCAGCCTCGTCGGCCCTTACAAGTTCCGAGATGATCTATATGTGCATGAGAGTATATGAGAGTATATGAGTGTATGAATGAGATTGAATAATAAAAGAAGTGGCCATGATCCCAAGCTTGGTTTTAGGTGAATTGGTGAAGTTCACTTGCCAGCATAGGTATAAAAACCTTTGCTGTTATTGATGGCAAGCATACTTCTTCCATTCATTGACTGTGTTCAAGTTAAATATAGCTAGCTATATAGTGTGATATGATATATCGACAATAAAGAGCAGCTGAAGACAAGGAAAGTGCACAAAAGACATACAATGGATGTTGGATCACTTGACATTTGCTGGACTATTGTCAAGTATATTGGACTGGTATAGACTGTCACCATTTGGTGCAGACTGACAGTGATCCTTTATTTTATGAGTCATATAATGCAGAAATCCCTCCCCCCTTTTATTACCGACAATGCAGTGTAGGAGAAATTGTAATACCGGATTGGGTATATTACAACCTCACTCGAGGCTACTCATTGCCACGGAGGTACCTTCAAAAAGGCTGATGTAGGGATGGAAATTGGGATGGTAGGTTCCTCACATTTGCATAAGTATGATCGTACGGTAATTTCCTTGACCGTACCCCGGATGAGTTTCATTGTCTCCTAATTTACGAATCATCCATCACGTCCATCACGGAAATTCGTGCCTCCCCCCCAGGAATCTATCAACACGGGTTCAATATATGCAATCTTAAACCACCATGACCCGCCATCCTCTCTTTCTTAAATTTAGTGTTTATCGGCTTGCTTTGGGGTCTTTGCGTTTGGGTTTCTAGGGTCGTTCTTGAATTCCTCGCCTGTCATAGCCATTCTCATCAGTATCCCTTTAATAAGCGGCATTCCGGCCCATTCGCGCAACCAAGCAACGGGGTAGACATACTGTTCGCCATAGCGGTGGCAGCAGAGTTGACACCGTACATAACGATGATACCTAAACCCCAACTGATATCAGCCCAAAGTTCTGATACTGGTCCTCCTCAATGTCATAGATGGTTTCGACAATTGCAATTCGCCGTATTATCTGGGTGACCCCGCTCTCATAATAACATACCGGCGATGAAGAAAGGAGCCATTGGCTTTGCTAGAATCATAATCTCATCAGTAAACATTCTTTCAACATCGGAAAAGTACGGAACGCAAGCTTTTCAATTGAAGGGCTTGACATACCGATAGGCGCAGGGAACTTCTTTCCTAACCAAGACATAGTGATTTTATAGTATGGGATACGAGTGGAATTGTACCGGAGGGTTGAGTAGAGGTTAGATGGTGGCAGATTATATCATTAAGAAAGTAACCTGGTGAGGTTGAGTAGCGAAGGGCCGCAATAGAAAGCAGACTAAGATTGGATTAGGTTAGTCGCTTATATCACGTTACTGTGAAACTGTGAAGTAGTGACTGCCTGCTATATTAGGCAAGAATAACTCACTTCTTGATTAGGATTAGTTTTATCTTCACGTGCGACAGCAATTATCAGCTCCAGCTTTCATTTCCCCATACAATTTATATTCTCGATTCTAATTGGTCTCCACATGAGCTCAAGCCTTCACTTCCCACTCAAAATGGAACTATACATCCTTGCTTACTCCTCACTCTCGTCACTACCCAATTCATCCTCTTTCCCTCTTTCAGTTCTCTCATCACACATAATAATACATCTCAATTACAACCATACAAAACTTTCAACCAATCTATTTCTATACAATTTTTGACTTTGTACCGCGCAACCTTTTCATTTTCATTTGACAGCCGTTCTTACTCTATTTAAAGGGGAACAAGAAATTCAAGAAGTGCGGGGTATTTGGCAAGCTTGTTATTGTTGCAATCAATTTAAACCAATTAAATTACTTCTCGTACTACAAACCTTTTAAACTTACCTTGCAGCTTCCATCTTCCTTTGTTACTGTTGTTTGATTCCATCTCCGAAAGAATAGGAGGAGATAGCCAAGAATTCTTTAAGAGAGTCTTGAAATTCATTTCTGCTTTGCATTCGAAAACGAGACGAAGACGAAACGGGGTAATTCAGCCACGACAACGACATCACACCGCGGTACATCAGAATATACGAAGATACCAATATAACAATTGGACGATAATTGAAACTTTAAATAAGCTCAATCGTTCAATTAGCCAGGCGACATTCCTTCCTTCATCTTTCACTTACCAAGACGGATCATCCATCTCCGAAGCTTCTATAACTTCAACAATTATCATCACAAGCATTGAACGTTACCAATAAATCATCAATAACGTCATAATGTTTACGCGACGTATCTCACGCAGCTCTTTTACGAGCCAGCCTCTCCGAGCCTTTACAACTACATCTACCAGCCTCTCTCACGCTCCAGCCCTAGCAAATATTACCCCCCAAGGAGTTGCCTCATTCGATGCAAAGCAGAAAGAATTTCGAGAAAGAATCGCAGAACAACATCGTAAGAAAGAAGCTGCAAGTGAGTCTAAACCTTCCTCCTCAATTCAAAAATCTGCTTCGGCAGACCATGCACTAAGTGGAGCAGAACATACAAACGGAAGTGGCGAGAAGAAGGGAAAGCTGAGTAGCTTGATATATGGTACCCCCGAAGGTCGGGAAATGGAAAAGGAGATTGAACAGAGTTTCAGTCAAGTTCTGGCGAGAGGTAAATATGTACATTCGATTGTATTCCATGAGGTAAAGCCAGACAAGGTTGATGAGTATGTCGAATTGGTTGGCAAGTGGTATCCAAAGATGGCGGGAATGGAAGAGAATAAAGTACATTTGGTTGGAAGCTGGAGAACAGAGGTTGGCGATTGTGATACATTTGGTAAGTTCCCAGTTCCACTTATCCATGTTTTTATTGCACTTGCAGACGCTAATGATGAATGGCGATGACAGTTCACATTTGGGAGTACCAACGATATCACGGTTACCACGACTCTCTGCACAGTATTGCCTCACATCCCGATTTCCATGAGTTCGACAAGAAACTCAAGTCCCTGATTACCAAGAAGAACGTATCTCTCATGCAAGAGTTTTCCTTCTGGCCTACCACTTCCCCCCGTCAACTTGGTGGACTCTTTGAATTGCGCTCTTACACATTGCACCCAGGTAATCTCTTAGAGTGGGAGACACACTGGCGCCGTGGTCTCAAGGCTCGCAGAGAAGTCATGGAAGGTGTTGGAGCCTGGTTTGTGCAGATCGGGGAACTAAATACTGTGCATCATTTGTGGCAATTTGCCGATCTGGAGGAGAGAAAGAAGAGAAGAGAGCAAAGTTGGGAGATTGAGGGTTGGGGAGATACAGTTCATAAGACTGTACCACTCATTCAGAATATGAAGAGTCGAGTGCTAATCCCTATGGTTTGGAGTCCGGTTGCTTGATTTGATGGATATTTGTATGGAATGAACATTGGAACCGGCGACAGGAATGAACTTGAGCATTGAACATGAGCATTGCGGATACCAGGACAAAGTTAGTCAACGAAGTACGATATTGAAGCGAGCAAGATGGATGAAAGATGAATGGATGATACCCAGCTCTGGATCTGATAATCAAATCTGGCACGCTGCTGCATGTATTGAGAAATTGATGGAAATGGAAGAATATTGTAAGGGATTCAATTGCGTATATTAAATCATGAACCCGTAGGGACAGCTCTGAATCCAGTTTTTCTTGCAAATAATACTACATTGCCACGTGAGATTTATCTTCAAAAGCATAGAAATCTCTCAGATCCATCCAAAATATATATTCGTACATCCTTGTTGATTAATGATTTGGTATGGTGATTCTTGTTCTTGTTCTTGTTCTGCTTGCTGGGCTGAGTGGGCTCCATGGATATACCCGCAGAGTGCTTTGTGGAATGGATATATACGGTACGACGACACCGAGGGGCGTCTTTGATATCGTGATTTGTGATTTGTTGGGGGATGGGAGAGCGGGTAAGTATGGCTTTAAATGGGCCGGGGTTGTGGAAGGGACCTCACAAATTAAAAGAACGGAACAAGTTAATGTTTGTGAAGAGCAAAAGGGTATAATTCAACGGCGAGGCATAAGGTTGGCTAGAGTACAGATGTATCGATGTCATCATAACACTAGCCTTCACCCCACATTACTACATCTCCAACCCAACCTCACAGATGCTGATGATTACCTAGGTACAGACATTTAGAAACTCTCGTCCATCCTACCGATATATGGAAGGTCTGGACTCGACCATACACCGAAATCAGGATACCCCTGGTCTCTAACCCTGATCTTCAATTAGGGGATTCCTATACCAAAATCGGGAATATGTTCATACCCCATATATTTCGTACATTTTGATTTCAGTTTCAGTGGTGTGTTTTTGTTTCGTTATTTGTTAGTGAGATTTTATACTCAAATCCCCTGCTCTTCGATTCATTCTTCTTATCCCTCTTTTCTTCCCTCTCGAGGAATTAGAGGTATGTGGTATGAGGTATGAGGTTGTTTAGTTGGTGGGGTAGGTGGGGTGATTGGGCTAGTAGGCCTATGATCATTAGCTAAGAGCTAAGAGCTAGCCGAGTTGCGATCAACACCTCCCCGCGAACTAGCACATGAACTGAATTCTGGATGCGTGGTAGAGATACATAGAATGGTTTTAGTACTGTATTTCGTCATCAATCGGGATACTTTGGATATTCGTCTTCTAGAAGATGAGTACTTGATCTACTCGAGTAGAAGCAGCTGATATCATACTGGGGAGGAAAATCAAGACTGCTTCATCATTACATGAGATTAAGGCTCTTACTATGAGCTTCATTGCTTGACTTGATGATCACCAGTGATGACATCAAGCATAGAATCTGAAATCACGGGAACGTCATGGACTCCTTTGAACTCGAACTTATATCCTTGTAGGCGGGTTACTTTCCCATATCGATTTCGTGGGGTAGTTGGAAAGTTGGCACGCCTATCTGATAGACGTACACTAGATTCTTTAGCTTTTGGCTGTTCCGAGCTAAGTGAGAGCTTCATAAATCCGGCCATCGATACCTTTCTTCAATGTCAAATCGTTTTATACTCAGCTTTCCTTCTTTCTATTCACCATCTCATCCTATTCTATAATGGCGTCCACAAGTCTAGGGCAAATTGCCGCAAAAGTTGCCGGTGTTTCAACTGGACCTTCCTCCCAATATCAAAGTCAACAACGCAGCCCAGCTCAAATAGCTGCGGAAACCTCGGGTGTTAGCAAGCCCACCCCTGCTCACACAAATACCTCCACATATATCACCGATCTTTATGGACATCCCTGGCCTGCTGATGGATCTCATGCTTTGAACGTTGGCGGACTTCCCGTAACATCCGACCCATTCCTGTTTGAAAAGCAGCAAACCTTCGTGCGCGAGAAGATTGTCGAACGTCGAGTTCATCCTGCTGGTTCTGGTCATTTCGGATACTTCGAAGTAACCAAAGATGTATCTTCACTTACCAAAGCCCGATTCTTGGGCGAAGTAGGAAAAAAGACCCCCGTCTTTCTCCGCTTCAGTACCGTGACATTTGGGAAAGAGTTTCCAGATCTCGCGAGAAACCCTCGTGGCTTTGCAGTGAAATTCTATACTGAAGACGGGAACTACGATGTTGTCGGATTAAACTGGCCGGTTTTCTTCGTGAGAGATCCAATGCAAGGACCTGACAATATTCGTTCGCAGTCGAGAAATCCCAAGACTTTCTTCATTGATTATGATGCCACAATGGACTTTCTGGCAAATGTGCCCGAGTCAAATCATGCGGGAACTATGTTCTTCTCGGATTCTGCCACTCCTGATGGATGGAACTTTCACGGATATGGATGCCACACGTTCTCCTGGGTTAACGAACAGGGTGAAAGAGTTTTCATCAAATACACTTTCCTCAAAAAGGGTGGCCAGAAATTCATGTCATTTGCTGATGCACAGAAAAATATGGGTATGGATCCTGATTACTCCAAAAAAGATATGTACAACCAGATCGAAAGCGGAAAGGAGCCAGAGTGGACCGCCTATGTACAAACCATGACGGCTATCGAAGCCGAGAAACAATCGTTTGATCCCTTTGATGTCACCAAGGTTTGGCCACGTAAGGAATTTCCCCTCCAGGAATTCGGTCGAATTGTCTTGAACAAGAATCCAGACAACTATCACCGAGATGTCGACCAAGCCGCCTTCTCGCCTTCTTCCCTAGTCCCAGGTATCGAACCCTCTCCAGATATGCTATTGCAATGGAGAATGTTCTTTTATCGCGATGCACAAATGTATCGTCTGGGTGGCAACATGCACCAAGTCCCCGTCAACTGTCCATTCATGGCGCAAAACTACGCACCCCTCTCGCACGACGGAGCCATGCGCATCGACAACAATAACGACGATCGACTCAACTACATGCCCAACTCCTACGACAAACCGCAGTACTCGGCCCGCGCATCCGAAACCCCCTTCCGCGTCGCCGACTCCATGGTATCTCGCCAATCGCACCACAAAAACGAAGGCACAGATATCGAATACGTACAAGTGCGCGAATTATATAACCGCGTCATGGATGATGAGCAGAGAGATCACCTGCATTCCAATACGGCCTTTTGCATGAATACGGGTGTCAGCAAGACGACGCGCGTCAAGTATTTGGGGCAGGTGTATAAAATTTCGCCAAAGTATGTCGAGGGTATTATTTCGTACTTGGTGGATAAAAATGTTACGTTGGCGGATGCAAAGAAGGCGAGTGAGGGGGCGGAAATGAATGGGAAGAGTGAGAAGTATAAGCCGAAGGAGAGTGCGCATCATTTTTTGACGGGAAGGGAAGTTGAGGGCGAGGGTCTGGTGCCGCCTATGGGTGGGTTGAATGTGCATAGTGCTTAGGCTGATGTGTGGTAGGAGATATTGTCTATTTGCTCGTATATTTGTATATAAGTGTATATATGAAGAAGATATTCTCAATATAAATGTCGATTCGATTTGCTATGTGATAAACTGATTGAAGCACTCTTCGAGATTTCTCAAAACATTATTAGTTCCCGCAGGTTAATCAGTATATATTAGGTAGATTTTTGAAAGTTTCGGGATATGGGGATATTTGTTGGATGATGGTGAGTGAGCCAGATGGTTTATATGGATAGCTGGATAGTTTATGGGTCTGAGAGGAGACTGCGTAGAAGTTGGGTGCTCCAAGTAAGTGCACCCGTTAGATCTACTCGAGTAATTGAGACAAGATGATTATCTCATGATTCATATCGAGTTCTCTGGGAACTTGGAAGTGTGTGGGATGATATATACTTGTACAACTATTGAAATAATTCGGCTTTGGAACTACTTGAGTATACTTACTGTCTCTAAATTGTCCCGTCATCTGATGAACGTCTATTAGATGTACTCGAGTATAATCTTTGGGAAACTTCATCAATCACGGTGCTACTTGACTGAGCGACTGGAGAATTTGCATAAAGTGTATTTGACTACTAGGAACAATCAACGGGATTCCAAACCACGGCGAATCTTTCTCGCCACTGTAATAGGCTGATAGCCTGTAGCGAATCTATTCCGAGAGCGATAAGGTTAAATTGACATCTAAGTTCGACAAAGTGGTGTTGCTTGAAACAACTTCTTTCGAGGATTAGAAACAATTCATGGATCATGATTTAATATTGATGGTACCAAAATCAGCACCGTTTAGTCCTGCCGCTATACTATTTGCTTCTGCGTAAAAGCATTAAGCTTCAAGTTCTTTTTGGTAAAGTTGTAGAGTTCTTGCTCTTTTCGATGAAAGCTGTACGCTCTGCTGGCTCATGAAAGCTCAATATTGGATCCGTTATCTCTCCTTTCAGGAATACGTTGATATTATCAGCTCTTGCAAGTCGCATGCCATTTCCCAAACTCTCTTTTTGTACGGTGGAGAGTAAAGAGATCATGGGTAGCATATTCTTGTAGCCGAGAAAACACTGCGAAGATACTGACTGGGTCTGGAAGGAAGACTTCTCGAATAAAAATGCCTGTTTTCCGTCAAGGGGATCTTCAATATTTGGGACCTTGAGAAGCCGAACTTCGAAAGTTTAGTATAAGTATCGAGGATTGCTGTGATCTGCGTGAGACGCGGATTGGTGATAGAACGGCTTCGCGGTTTAGACGATCTAGCAAGTTTAGTTCAGTGGCAACAGTGTTTCGAAGAAGCGAGAAATATATTATCAAGTGTAAGTATCAGATGGTATTATTCATAAGGACTAGATGATGATAATGCTCACTAATAAGTCGCCAGCTACACTGCACTCAAGATAAGTGTTCGATATCCCAGATGATCAGATCTGATGTATACCAATACTTCAAAGTTCTTCGCCGAACCCAGCCCACCAAGCCACACAATTGATAACATGCAAAATCAGCAAAAGTCATCTTGCGATATCTTGGTTTCGCAGTTGAAACTGAATGCTTACATAGAAACCTCTGGATCAACATCAGCTAGATGGTAAACCATGTTGAAAATGACCTTTTATTTACATTTTCGTGCAGCCATGATGGATAGGCCGTAAGCCTTAAGGTTAGTTAGTATGTACCCACTATGGGAATGTTTCCAATTCTATTTCTAAAGCTTAGCAACCTCGTTTAAATATACCGGTATACACTTGAGGGATCCATCTTGGTTTTGAGTCACTCAACACTGGGCAGTAAAGCCATTTTCGAGGTACATGTGTAGCTATATATTGGTAATAGTCATATTTGTATACAGTGATGTTGGAGCAAATCAGGAGGTGGACGATGGTGACAAACAATTGAGATCTTACAACCCACCTTTTCTATGTAAAAGCTCCTCTTCCTTGCCAGCATATCCCATCAGCATTCAGTAATGGAGGGAATCCGTCCAGTGGACCAGTCAAGGGAGACGAGAAATAGAAGTTCCACCTAGGTGGTGACTGAGTAAAATCCAGAAGTTGCACGGCCCATTAGACGGTTGGTGGCTGAAGTGCTCGGGTATTACATCACGTGTTACGTAAGCCACACCTACCTCGAGGTGTTCTCAACCCCCAGCCATTACAAAACTTCTCCTAGAAACAACTCCTACTGATACGATTGAATCAAACAAACAATAAATTGCTGTACATCCACTCCTCCACAATGACAATCCGGCCACCATTCGGCCATCACATGCGTGACACCCATTTCCAATTCTCCCCTACCTATACACCTCTAAACCACGGTTCCTTCGGCGCCTACCCACATCCCATCCAAGAAGCCCAAGGCGCATTCCAAGAACAATGTACATCAAGACCCGACACATTCTACATCTATTCACTCCCCAAACTAATCGACGAATCTCGGAATGCTGTAGCGCCTCTCCTAGGTGCGGATCCAAGGGAGGTGGTATTAGTGCCGAATGCGACGACGGGGGTAAATACTGTGTTGAGGAATTTGAAGTGGGAGGAGGGGGATTTGATTGTGTATTTTAGTACGATTTATGATGCGTGTGAGAAGACGGTGGAGAGTGTGAGGGAGATGGTGGGGGTGCAGGTGGAGACTCATTGTCTGGTGTTGGAGTTTCCTATTGGGGAAGTAGAAGAGTTGAAAAGATTTAGAGAGTTTGTGGAGGGGGCGAAGAATAAGGGGTTGAATGTTAAGCTGGCTATATTTGATACGGTGAGATTGATCTCATCTTATGTGAAGAGTTGGTCCATATTGTCGGTAGTTCTGACATGCCTTCCATATTTTGATTTTGATGCATCCCTTTCAGTCTTCTATCTATGAACAAAGGTATGGTGACTGATGTAATTATCAGGTCCTAACCTTCCCCGGTGTTCAAATGCCTTGGGAAGAACTGGTTCGTATATGCAAAGAACTAGGTGTCTTAAGTCTAATCGATGGTGCCCACGGCATTGGACACATCGACCTCACACACCTCGGTTCCATCAGTCCCGATTTCTTCGTCAGTAATTGCCACAAGTATGTTACTCTTCCCCTCCCCAAATACCAAAGACCAATCCCAACAATACACAGATGGCTCTACACCCCTCGCTCATGCGCAGTATTCTATGTTCCCCTCCGCAACCAACATCTCATCCGCACCTCTCTCCCCACATCCCACGGCTATCGCAAAAGCTCCGCGAATGATACTCTAGAAGATATTAACACCTATTTCCTCTCCATGTTCAACTTTGTCGCTACTATTGACTATACACCCTATCTTTGTATCCCCGCCGCAATCTCATTCCGCAACACTGTTTGTGGCGGCGAAGCTTCTATTCGCCAATACTGTTTCGACCTCGCTAAAGTCGGTGGTTCCGTCTGCGCGTCCGCACTTAACACATATACCCTTCCCATCGACTTGGGGAGAGAAACGTGTTTCACCAACATCAGATTACCCATACCATTTTCGTGCAGCAAGCCCAACGACAGCCAAACCAATAATATAATCGATTCCGACTCATTGGCATTCCCCGCCGCCGATGCAGAAAAAATTAAAGCTTGGCTAAATAAAACTGCGGTTGAGGAATTCGATACGTATCTCCAGATTGGATGGCACGCGAATGTTCTCTGGGTTAGATTGAGCGCGCAGATCTATTTGGAATTGAAGGATTTTGAGTGGGCGGGGGAGAAATTGAAGGGGCTGTGTGAGAGAGTTAATGCAGGGGAGGTACCCGGGACGAGGAGAGGAGAGGGCTTGAATGTGCCAAATTTTGGGATGATATAATTGAATGAGATGAGAACCATGGGGCTCGAAACTTACTAGTGGCTGATTCCAACTAAAACATTAGTAAATGGGGATATCTGGAAGTGGATGATAATGTGAAGCTACCCATAAGAAGTTCAAGGTGAGAGAAGACTCCTCACGATCGACTTCAAATCTGGAGTTTGTTGAAGGCAACTTATTGCTTGGTCTTTATTCGCTGTAACAATAAAGGGGTGGTCTCGAGCGGAACTCGATGAATGAGTATAATTATTTTCATTAAATAAACATTCAAAAAAGCAAAGCGCTCCAGTGGTATCATCGCAAAAACCTAGCCCCGTTCCTGAAACAGTAGAGAGGAACCCAATCAATACGCTATCTTTCATAGATCTGGCATGCGTGCCAGTTGTAACTTCAGCACCACGGCGACAAAGATCACCTCTGACTTTATTGATGTCATCCAAGTCCATCGACAAATCTTTCGACAAATCTTGCAAAACTGTGTTGGCCGACGACCAGCGAAATCAATAACCAAACCCATACCTATTCCTCACTCCCTTCCTCATCGCCACCCATGACAATTTTCAACCCTGCCCTCGCCCCCTCAACCGTATGCTCCAACGCCGCCACCTTAGCCAAGACACTCATCAGCTTTGGATCTGCACTCTCCACCCTCACTTTCTCCTTAACCCTCACCTCTTCCCCTTTATACATAAACACCTCGTCCATTTCATCATGTTCTAGTCTCCTTTGCGCACCTATCGCAAACGCTATCCTACTTCCGATATTCACCTGCTGTGCAACGGGCTCAAGAACTCGTATTGTAAGCAGTAATGAACCATCGGAGATAGTGAGATCGAGAGAGAGGTTGGAGGGTAAAGAGGGATCAAATATATCCGGGTCAACGGGGTTATGCGCCCAGTTCAAGGAGGCGGGGGTTTGAGTGGGAGACTCGAGGAGAGAGGGACCTTTAAGGACGAGCTTGGTTTCGGTAAGGATACTGTGCAGCAGATGTAGTTGCGAGGATATGAATGGGGCAGAGTGACGATCGCCGGTCCAGCGGGTTATATCGACGCAATCGAGACTTTGGTTTAGGAGTGTGCGGAGTTGGGTGAGAGGTTCGAGGAGCAGAGGCAGGGTTGGGGAGAGGGAAAGGGAAATTGGTGGGATGGACTTCAGGCGCAGGTGAAGGGTCTAAGAGCTTAAGAGTTAGTGGTGGGCAATTGAAGTCAAAGCCGGGCTTGAAGAGGTGGAATCGACGAAGGAGGAAGTCATGAAAGAGAGGAAAGCGAAGGGGGAAAGCGAGGGGGGAAGACAGACTCCTTTAACCACCTGAGTACCAACGCGTGTAATATGTCCCTTCAGGTACTCGGAACGAGGTGACGACATAACAAGTGTAGATCCCGGCTCAACTGGCGCGAGAAGTGCATAACAATCTTCGAGACCCGTCTTTAGTGAAGCTAAAGTTTCCTGAAGTGAGTCTAGAAGCCATGATAATTCACGTTCCTAGAATGATCGTTAGTTTGCCATTTATCACAAACGTGTGTTGAAAACCAGGTAGATATATACCGTAGAATCGTCCTCTTCTTTCCTTAACTCATGGGCAGGTAACGATGGCCAGACCGTGGTAGACATATTGATATATATGGTTGGTTTGAAGTGAAGATCAATGTTCACCAAGAATGATGTAGATTGTGGATTGGGAGCTATAGTGCACGTACCGAGGCCTGCAACTATCATTTGGCAATAATTCTGAAAATTTATTTCTGCCTGAGATAAAACAGTATATTGATTTCGGTAATGTGTATATAGTATAGAGTATAGTATTATAAACATCGTAGATATTAAAGCTATTGAGAAGTTTATCGAAATATATAATAATATGTATATATAACGGATAAATGACGGCCCGAGTTATATAATTCAAAATCATCTTTTTTAGGATTTTATATTGAAACTAGTACAGATTATTAATATTACTATAAAAATTTATATAAATTATATCAATCGATAACTGTCACGGGTTCACCACACGTGACTGCCTGCACCTACCTGCATCTGTCATGTGCATACTACCTGTTCTTAATTAGATCGAATAGATGCCTTAGGTATCTATTCATTATATAATCGATATCCCTCTACACATCTTCTTTCTTCTTATCGAATATTGTACTGTGAGGAAACCAATCAATAGTATTAGAGTCACGTGATAATATAGAGAGGATACTTATACCCCCTCTTCCAGTAGTTTAGATTGGGCGTCATGTTTTACCCCTTCAAAGTTATATCTACCCTCAGTGTTTAGACGAATAGTTACTTTATCCCTTTTTGACCATAATTATCTTTCAGTAACACTACGATTAGATGATTGTTATATAATATATGATTATATCGAAGGCTTTCCTATAATTTCACTACCTAAACACAATATTCCGAAGAAAAATTTCTGATCACCAGAAGTTGAATTTCGGTCTAAATTCAAACTCTATGGAATCATAACATTATATACAATATATATTACTTTTTACAAGTTAACATAGTGTTTTATATAGTATTGCCTGAGGTTATTGATCTGAAAAACGCGAATTATATCAATCCGCAGGTCCCAGAGATACTCTCCAATCTTAAAAACTGTTTTAAAAGAAGATAGTGTACCTTTACTAACGAAATACCATTAGTTTTCAAATTGGGAAATAAAATATATATCAATGATATTAATCTAGTGATAGAAGCCTTTAAGACTAAACTTATTAAATACAAATATATTGAAAGAATTTAGTGAAAGATTATAATCAGTCTGGTAAATATAATCGACAGATACATCGATTTTTTCGCCGTAGGAGATAAACGAACTACAGCCAGGAAACTGAGTATCAGAATTATAGAAATCCTTATACTCATTATCAATAATAGATCCAATTTATTATCGAATCTATTGTACACACTATTAGTAACAAAAAGTATAGTTTTTTTGAAAATACAAACCATTACCAAAACCTATGCAGGAATCCTCAAAACCTCTAAAACAAGTTAAAACGGAGTAAGTCAAAAAGATCTACCCATATCTCAAAAAGCTCTATCAAAGATTTTATCCAACAATATATACACTAAATAATGGGCAATACAAATCATCTGGAGCATAGATCACAGGCTACTAATAGTTATCAGCCCTACAGCCTGGATCAGCTGATTAATCTTATATATATTAAAAAATGCTTTTGTTAAAGTAATCACAGATCTAATATTAGCAGATGTCTTTATTATATCTGCCACTAAAATAAAATAGATTATTACACCAAAGAATCTAGTAATTTATAAACTATTCTTTACACAGGAGAATAAGGAAATTATCCTTCGAATCAGTTGAGGTATGTAAGTATATCAATTGATAATGTGGTATAACTATACAGTCCCTAGAATCCCAGTATTGATATATACATTGGATGGACTTCCAACCAATATTGCAAATTATATGGAAGCGGAGATACAGGCACAAATAGGCCAATCCCCAATCAGCTGTAAACTCTTCTAATACAAAGCCAATCCTCACAATAACACAATTATATAGATAGTATCCTTTCTCGAACCAATCTGTGGTTTTAAACTTTTTAATGCTAGCGAATTGGTACAGGAGATTAAGGCAAAACCTACTATAATCTGATATGATATTGGCTACCAAGGCTGGTATAATTCAACAAGATATACCAGGCTCACCTACTATACAAACTACAATATCTAAAAAGATATATATAAAGGTCTACAAGGATCCAATTGTATAGCAAAAGCATGATATACTAACTACTTTGAACCCTTCGTGGCAGAATATTAAAACTGTTTAGTGGCATTTAAGGTAATGGATAATAAAGTCATGGTATCTACCAAATTACAATTCAAGGCTATACAAAAACCGGCTCTAATAATGGAAACGGCAACACTCGCTAACCAAAAGTCAAAGAATAACCCTAAGGAAGGATCTATCCCAGACACAGTCATACCCACACTTATACCTACCCCAATACTAAAACACTGGGGAGAATAGATTATTGTATACGAAAAAAGCGGGGACAGCCCAATAGTAACACAACTCAAGAGAGATATAATAACAACAAACTAACCAAAGCAGAAATCTTCAATAAATACAAACTTTAATAAAAAGATTCTAATCAATAGTTAATAGAATATCGAAATAGAAGAGAACCCCTAATCTAATATATATGAATAAATACTTAACACATCAAGATAATATATATAATTATTAATAACCCAGAATACAGGATCTAACAGTCTGCTAGACAAATGTGGACAGAATACCAGAGGTTTATAATACCTTATTACAAATGATATTTGAAAACAAATCAGATATTCTATATGTATAGGAACTTTTTATATTCCTATTCACAAAAACCAAAATATATTTTAGATAAATCTTATATATATTAATAAACTTATGAACAGAAATATCCCTTAAACAAAAAGAAGCAAAATAACTCCGAGTATTGATATATATCAG